GAAGTCAAGCCTGATCGGACTCGCGGCCGTGAACCTTTGCTCGAGCTTGCAAGCTATATGATGAAAGCATGCGCCATGATGTCAACATAGACGTTTGCTACTGTATTTGCTGGAGATCAGGCGGTATTCACGTCGTGCTAGTCGATTTGACGCACGTGAACACAGCGACGCGTATGGATCCTGCAGCAGGCTTCCCCATTCCGATCATCGAGTACACTCTGTCCAAGCCAGGGCAAGCCATCAAGTTTCTGCTGGAGCAACAACAACGCAACATGCCACTGTGGGATGAACCAATGTCCAGTGACCCGATCTCAGGGAGCGGCAGCCGAGGCAGTACAGCCTCCAGCCTGGTTGTGTCATTGGTATGTTATCGGGTGCATGGTCTTTGGCGACGGTCCAGAACCAGATTACTCACTTCTTGATTGCATGCTCGCTCCTCCTCCTCCATGACACACCTGACACCCGCTAGAGCGAAGGGGAGCAGCAGTTGATGAATGTGACGAATCTTCACGGCAACACCACTTTTGCGGGGCAGCTTGCTCTCAAGGGCGATAACACTCGCGTCGTTGTCAAATTTTCGGACGGCAAGTACTACGGTCAGATGGAGCAGCTTGTTCGGGAGGGCATGGCACTGGCTCTTCTCGGTCGCGCTGGTGCGAGCGAGCACAATCTCCCCGTGCTGCTGAGCTTCTGTGAAGCCACTCTCAATGACACCAAGGGCTTTGCGCTGGTGACTCATTGCCTGTCAGGCACGACCCTCGAGTGGTGGGCTCACCAAGCACACGCTGAAGGTATCTGCGCAAAGTTGCGCGAGACCCTGCAGTGGGTGCATTCGCAAGGCATTGTTCACGGTGACATCCACAGAGGGAATGTGCTGGTAACGATCATGCCTCCGTCGCCTCCACGAACCGACCAATCTCAATATCAGCAACAAGTCTCCGTCTCCGTCGCGTTGATCGACTTTGGTCTGTGCTGCTTCCGCCCAGAGATTGCGACCCCACAGGTCGTCAAAGTGGCGCTCGAAGCTGCACCCGTCACAGCTCCCGTCCTCGCTGAGCTCAAGTCGACGTGGCTTGGACGTGTCGCCGGTAACTCGTGGGACATCTGGCCTGGGCACTTTTACGCCATTGCGAGGTCGAAGCACTGTTGCACGCCGCGGGCCGACTTTCTCAGTCTGAGTCTACTCATGGTGGCTGGGTGCACTGGCGGCTCGTTGCAGCTCCAATTCCAGCTGTACTGGCCAGAGGATGTCGAAAGGTCCGAGAGCGAGCGGATGAAACGCGCGCTGCTTCGTGATCGGACTGGAAGTCTCGCTCGGTTGATGAAATCGCGTGGAGGCGTTCTGCGTGAAGTTTGCACCACTCTTGATTCCGCCGAGGCGCCCGAGGCAATGGTTTAGTCATGTCCACCCCTTTCCTTCCACCCATCTTTACTCCTTTCATACAGTCAGGTTGGGCACGCGTCGCCTCAACTGTTGAACTTGTCAACGCGTTGACTTTGCTCCTGCCGTGCAACCATTGCCCCGCCTGTTCAAATAATAAACAAACATGTCGCATGCATCACTTCCCGCGCAAAACGAGGCGGCCAGAACCGCGTCTACTCGACTTTTGACCAGAAAAGACGTCAAAACTCAAGAGAAGCCTGCTGAGCCTGTCGACGGGTTTTCAGCTTGCATTTGGCCACAGATGTGCTTCTACCGAGGTTGTGGAATGATCCATTGACTTTTCTTTGTCTTTTCTTAGTCTTTTTTTTTTTTTTTTTTCAATTTGTTGGTTTTGAGTAAGTTCTTTTTTTTTTCTTTGGATTTTGCGCGCGCTTTTTCACTCTCTGCCAAGTCGACGCTCCCTTTTCACTCGTCTCCACTCCACTCCACTCCAACCGCCAAATCACACTCCCTCCAACTCATCTCCTCACTTGACAACATCCACTCTGATCGGGTCGGGTCGGGTCGTCGCTTGGTCGTTCTTGCATCGTCGTCGTTCTTCGCTGTTCGTCTTGGCGTCTCTCTCCTCACTCGCCAGCAGCGTCCGGACCTGGACGCGATCGCATCTTTACTGACAGAAACTCCAGTCAGTGTGTCGATTTTTGCATTGCTTTCGGGAATTCGTTCTGGTTCATTGATGACGATCAGAAACAAAACGTCAAAAAACAAAAGATCGCGCTTTTTTTTTTTTTTCCCTTTCTTCTTCTTCTTTGATCTCGTTCGTTCGCTTCGTTGAGCAGGAGAAAAAGAGAGAGAGCGAGTAGAAGAACAAGGAGAGAAGGAGAGATCGACTCCGGATCTCAACCACCACTCAATCGATCGACGCGACGTTGGCCATTGAGAAATTTGCGCTTCCATTGAATGCTTCACTCAAACTTTGTCACTGACGTTCACTCACTCTGATCACCTGGTGAACTTGGCGTATATGAAACAAGATCAGCTCAAGAAACCTCGAGTCTCAGACACCAACTGGCAAACTGCTGCACAAGACAACCAACGTTCCTTCAAAAACTCAAATCACAAACCATGTCCAACCGCGGAAACCGAAACAACAGCAACAACCGTAACGCCCGTCAGCTCCCCACTGCTGCGAGCCTGCCTACCGGCTTTATGCCCTTTGGCGCGACTGGGTTTGGCCAGCCTGTCGGCAACTTTGGTCAACCTGGCGGCTTTGGTGGATTTATTCTTGCCAACCTGCCTCAGAGGTAAACAAACCACCCCCCTCCTCCCTTTCTCACCTCTTTGTATCTTTGTGAGAGTTTGATTCGTCTTGCTTCAGTTGTACTCCACCCCCGCCCACCCTCCTCAAATTCCCATCCTCGCTCCTGGTCACTGGTCACTGGCACTGCTGCGACTGCTGCCACCGATCGATGCCCGATGACTCTTGATAACGCGCATGACCGTGGTTTGGAAAACCCCCCCTCCTCTGCGCAATCGTATGGCCGAGTGCTCCAGCCAGCTCGAGTTTCGCATTTTCGAAAATTGCCAAACTCAAAATCGGTGTAGGGTGCGCTGCCGATTGATGTCACAAGCGAGTTGCGCTGGTTAACAGTTTCCGACAAACGTGTTGTTGCTTTGATGGGTCAAGCCGCCGCAGCGCTCCTGCGTTCGACGTGGGGTGAGAGTGCGCGCGTGCCGACACACTGCTTGCTTGCTTGCATGCTGCTGCTGCTGCTATGATCTACTGTAGCTCCCAGCCACGAGAGACTTCGAAAGGAGAATCAGAGACTCTTTCGTCTCTTCTTCTTCACCAGTTGGTCAACGAAATGCAATCGGGCAAAGCAACGTCGCTTGCCCCCCCCCCCGCCTTCGGGTCTGCCAATTTCGCGTTTCTCCCTCCCTTCCCATCTCTTCCCACCCTCTTATTTCGCTACCACGCATCCGTTTCTCCGCTTGTGCTCGACTATGCGCCGCAACTGATCGAAACCTTTCGTCAAATCCTTTCGCCTTGCAACTTCGTCACCACCCAGCCTTCCCGCCCAGCCAAAGCAACAAAAGCAGCAGCAACCAGCCCAGCGCAACAACCGCAACTCGAACAACTCTGTCCAGCGCCAGATCACCCAGGGTCGCCAGCGGAACGCCCGCGCAAACCAGCTGGATGCTCGCCGCCAAGCCATGGACCTGTCTGACGCCCAGCCTGCCTTTGCGCAGTTTCCCGGCATGCAGCAGCCCGTGATTATCATGGCTCCTGGCTTTGGTCAAGTTCCCCAGCAACAGCAGCAGCAGCAGCAGCAGCAGCAAAACCGTCGCCGTTCGGGCACTACCCGCCGCCTCGCCAAGACTGACCAGTCGGTTGCTATGGCTGTCGACTCTCAAAGCAGCAACCGCCGTGCTCGTCGAGGACGCTCCAACACTGGCAACAGCAACACCGGCAGCACCACCAAGACTGTCGCCATGAACACTGGCGCTCGCCAACGTGAGTGACAAAGCGCAACGCGAGAGTGATGTTCTCTTCGTTTCTTGTTATTGTGTTCATTGACCTTTTGTTCCTCGCTCTTTCTTTCCTTTCTTTTTATTTGCCAGCAGCCAACGCAAATGGTCGCGCCGGTCGCGGTACCCGAGGCGGTCGTGGCGCGCGCGGCGGCCGCGGTGGACGCGGTGGTCGCAGCAGCAGCTCTTCTGCTGCTGCTTCGGAACCCATGACCAGCGACTCGCTTGACACTCAGCTGACCAGCTACATGATGCGTGACCCCTCCACTGCTGCCAGCATGCTCGACAGCCAGCTTGACGACTATCTTGCTCTCCGATCCAACTAAGCGTGTTGTTTGGGTTTTAAAATTGAATTTTGCCTTGTTGTTGGTTCTACTTTCGGCGTGATTGGAGAGCTTGTTTTGCATCTCATTTTCGCCCGTTGTCAGTAATTGCTGTTTTTGTTTCTTTCCCTCCCCCCCCTTCTCGATTGTATCAAATCACAACGTCCCCCGTTTTTGCATCATTCCTTGTTCTCTTGACACAGAGTTTACTTTGAGTTGTTGTTTGAATCACGTTTCGTTCCAAGCGCTCCTGCACGCAGGATACTAAATAAGGGGACTGGGCACACTTTTGCAACGATGGCGCATTTTTTGTTAGAACATTTTGTTGCGATCGCGTTGAGAGCGGGCTTGGAACACCAGATAGAGTGCCAAAACCAGCACGGTGGCAAAAATCAGCCACACTTGGAGCGACGATGCGGCGCTATCGTGCACGTTCGTGATTGCGCGCAAAATCTCTTGCTGTGAATGAGCAATGGACTGAAGCAGATGCGCGTATGGCAGCGTGTGAGAACAAGAAACCAAGCACAAGGGCTCCATGCAACGCAGTCTTGGAGTTGGCTGTTCACAACTCACTGCAATATCGCTCGTCGACTGCACGCTCTGATGCTGGAGCTGCGCAATCAAGGCACGGAGTCCTTCAATTCCTTCGCTTGCAATGCTGGAAGGAGGGATGCGGTTGAGGGTCTCCTTGACACCAGTAAACTGCTGGTTGACGTCTCGAATGGTGCCTCTGTGTCAATTGCAACACAACAGCACAGCGGAAAAATTTCGAAGGGTTGGCCCATGGACCAAATCCTGCTCTTCGACCAGCACGCTCTACTTACTGCAGTTGAAGAATTCGCATCGAAAGATCGCGAACCTCGGCGGCCATCCGGTCAATGTTTACTTGCGATTCTGACGGCGGGGTTTGGGGTTGAGCTTGCTCCGCCTGGAGTGGAGAAGGAAGGAGCAGGGGAAACGAGGTGACCAATTCAAGCAGGTCTTTTTTTACAATCCGATCTTTTGTGTTTGTTGATGTTTGAGTACTTACCCCATCCAGAGAGCTGACCACAAGATCAATCAAATCATGCTTGTCTGCACAAGTTGAGAAGGTGTTGAGCTGAGCACTTTTTGTCTTTTGTCAAAAAAAAGAAAGGAAAAAAAAGCAACAACAAGAAAAACTCACAATAGAAACACATTCTCCGTCCACAGCATTACGTACCTGAGAGACCGCCAGTGGCAGCTGAAATTCCCATGTAGTAGCCGGTTGGCAAATGGACTGTCTTCTTGAAGCACACCTCCAGGGGCTCGTCAAACGCCAGGTTGCTGCTCACCTACAAGCATTCAAAAGGCAGCCAAGTCAAGTCTCGTTTCAGCCATGCCAAACACCACGGGCTCAACCAGATCAAACGAATGTTGGCAACGGACTTGAAGCTCGCCGTTCTGGTACAGAATCTCAATCTTGAAAGGCTTGGCCGTGTTGCGGAACTTGCGCACACACTGGCCGAACGCCATGGGCTTGCCATCGGTATGGCGATCATACACGATTGTGTTGTCGTTGACAAAGCCAAGCAGCGCAGGATTCAGACCCTGTCAACAGCAACAACAACAACAGCAGCAACAACAACAAGTTGCACATGGATTGGGATTGAGAGCAATACCACCACATTCAAGCAACTATCAGCATGCTTCAGAATGCCTCTCTCTTACATCGGCATCGTTGTCATACGTGTCCAGAATGACAGCCAGCCCATCGAACTTCTCAGCACTGCCGTAAACGTTGCCTTCGGGGAGGCGGTTTTTGGCGTACCAGAATGCAATACCATCGCCACCGACCTGAATACAAATGCATGTTTGTCATTGTGTGCACGTCAGCGTGTGACGCCAACGGACGTTGCCTCCGATGAGGGTGAATCGGGGGTGGGATGGGCGATGATGGTCAAAATCCATCCAAACAGTCCAAAGCAGCCTTACCACGCCACCGACGACATGGATGACCATGCTAACGACCCAGTTGTGCATCTCGACTGGCACAGTGTTCCACACGGCGCCCTTCTTGCTCTGCTCGAGCTGAGTGAGCCGGACGAGCGTTCCCGCGACGGCAGCCTCTGCCTCACGGCCAATCCAATCCAGTCCAAGCCAGTCCAAGCCAGTCCAAGCCAGTCCAAGCGAATCCAGTCCAGTCCAAGCCAAGCCAAGGTAAGTGATCATGATTCAGTCATCAAGTCATCAAGATCGTCCATTCAATGACCAGCGCGCCGACGAACTCGCCCCCCAATGCAACTCCACTCAAAACCTTCCATCTCCAAACCCAACTCCAAACCCAACTCCAACTGCAAAACCAGCTCCAAAACTCTTGGCAAGATGCTTTCAATGAGGAACGTACGGCCAGACAGGTCCCAGTTTGGGATTTGGCCGGTCGGGCTGAACGGCGGTCGAATCGAGTGCTGCGGCTGCAGCTCTGCGCCAGTCACACCGCTGAGCAGTGCAGCAACGACGACGACGACGACGCCGATGGTGAGCAGCGACGTTGTATGCAATGTCATTGCGGTCAGTGAAAATTGAAAAAAAAATAAACAAACAAACAAACTGAGACTGAGCTCACTCTTAGAATTTTTCAAAGCAACAAGAAATGTCTTGGGGTAAAACATCAATATCATCACCATCATCATCATCATCACCATCATCATCAACTATAACATTACATGTTGTAGCTGCAGTAGATTGGATGGAGAAGCGGGGCAGCTGTTGTTGGCTGGGCTTCCATTGCGATTGCTCTCATTCTCTCTCTCTCTCTCACTCTCGCTCTCGCTCTCTCGCTCTCTTTCGCTCTTCCGCGGACATGACGTCGCCAGTAGTTGCTGCAGTTGATTGTGCGCGTGGAGAAGACGGGGACTGTTGCAGCTGGGGTTGGGGACTGGAGATCTCTCTCTCTCTCTCTCGCTTCTCTCTCTGCTGGTCTTCCATGTGTTCACTGACTTCACACACACCCCACCCCCGCGTCCACCGACCACTTTTGCGTTTGGCGTTGAAGACGACGAGGACGAAGATCAGGGCTACAAGGCGGTCGGCAAGGCTGCGGCGCCTGCTGGGCAGTGGGACGACGAGGACGCCGACGACAAGGTCAGCGAGGCATGGGACGCCGAGGAGGACGACGACAAGGACAAGGGTGGTGCTGCTGCTGCGACTGGCGCTGGTGCTGCTGCTGCTCCGGCCAAGAAGAAGAAGCGGTCCATCCACCAGGCCGCCGCCGAGCGCGAGGCAAAGGAGGCCGAGGAGCGCAAGAAGATGGCAGAGAAGGCCGCCGCTGCCGCCGAGGCTGCTGCCGCTGCAGAGCGCGCACTCACGCCCGCACAGCGACAGCGTCTGGTCGAGCAGTCAGACCTCGACGTCGCAAAGGACTTGTTCGGCGGCGACGACGAGCCGCGCAAGGCCGCCAAGTCCAACAACAATGCTGGCGGCATTCTCGACGCGATGGTCCCGGACACGGCTGCCGAGTTTGAAGAGTACGGCAAGGCCCTCCGCAAGAAGTTTACCTCGTTCGAAGTACGTGCATTTCGTTCCAGTCACCAAGCTGGGGGTGCAATAGGTCTCGGTGTCGTTAATCACTTTCGTTTGTTTGTTGTTCTTGTTTGACAGAAATCGTTCGAGTTTGCCAACTTTTTCCACGCGTTTGTGCGCGATGCGGCTGCGGGTCTGCCGAGCGACGAGTTGCGAAAACTCACGGCCACGCTCAACGTATTAACCAACGAGAAGCAAAAGGACGAGAAGGGCCCCGCCAAGAAGGGCAAGCCAAAGAAGGGCCCCGTCAAGAAGATTGGTCTGGACGAAGACTTTGTTGAAAACCCTTACGACGATGCTGCGGATTTCATGTGATCATTTTTTTTTCTATGTCGAGTTAAGCAGTTGTCAAGATGACCATTTTTTTTGACTCCTTGATTTTATATTGTACTTCAACGTCAATTCAATGGAGAGGGGGGGGGGGTGGTTCTTCTTGTTTCGTTATCGCCCGATGCTCGCACACGACTGTCGGTAGCCTGGCATGTGTTGAATGCACTGAATGACAAACGGGTCGCTAAATCCAAACAGCTGATGCGGCATCGAGTGAGTTCGTCGATGGCTCCCTGACATCAAAAAAACAAGACACCACAGCTTACTAGTGGCCCCGAGACCCGACATCCTGGCGAGTTGCTCCGGAGGCAAGCTTGTGTCCATGGGGTTGTTGCTGTGAGCCAAAGCACAACGCAGTCAGGGCGCAAAAAGCGCATCAAAACCCACCCGACCCGACCACAGCAATTCCAACAACGTACGGTTTGTGCCACGCCATTCCTCTTCGCCGTGTTGAACTACAAACACAGGACCGGAGGGAGACTCTTCGATGCGCATCTGGTACAGGTTGCCAAAGTGGGCTTTGGAGGCGTGGTAGCCAACTGGATATGGGTGTCGATGCAGACACTGCTTGTTGCTCCAGTACTTGGACGCGTTGGGTCCGGTAACAAGGTGCCCCAACTCGTAGATTGTTGTTGGCGTGGAGGTGAGTAGCATCGGCAAGGCGGGCATTTCAAACAAGCTGTCGGGATCGCTCAAATCCGTTGGCTTGAGCAGAGAGAGGTCTCCCTCATCGTCTCCGGTTGTCGACTGTCGCGTCTTCTTTGAGTCTGGGGTTTCCGAGCGCGAGCGGACGGATCGGCGCCGCCGTTTGGCAATTCGCTTGTCGTTGGCCTCGATTTCAGCGTCAGCATCGTCATTGTCGCTGTCGGCCGACTTTAAAAAGCCTTGCAGTGCAGCCGTCTTTGTCTTTCGCACAGCGCGCGCGCTACTGGTCGTAACTGGGGGTGGTACGTTGGTCGAAACACTCGGTCGCGGATCCAGTCCTGCCAAATCTGCAAAAATCCGCTCACTTTCGCTGAACGTGGTTGTCGGGGATGGAGGATCACTGGTCGAGTCCGTAAACGATGAATTCAAGCTGGGCAGCAGCGACGCAATGTCTGAGGGGTCGTCCTCCGGGTACAGGCAATCCGACAAGGACGCGACCAAATCTGACGAGAAGCCGGACGGATCGGACGACAGCAATTCGAGCATGTCCAGCTCTCCAGCATCGACTTCGAGTGTCGCTGTGGGTAGAATGTGCGGAAACTCGGATTCCTCGTCTGCGCCAAGCAAGAGCGCGTCGAACATGGACAGCTTGGACGACCAATCCGGCGCACTGGCATGAAGCGTGAGCGGCTGACCAAGCACAGGAGTGCCCAAGATTGCAGTATCGCCATCCATAGTTTCAGCAAGAGTAGTAGTTGGGCCAATTGGAGCAGCAGCAGCAGCAGCAGCAGCAGCGAGGTGGCGAGGTTGACTAGTGCTGCTAAGGGGAATCATTTGCTCGTGTTTCAACGCAAGACTGTAGCAGCAGACGACAGCAGCACAGAGTGAGTTTTTTTGACGGCGGTTTTCTGCGAGTGACATTGCTGAGCATTGTGCTCGTGATGAACAGGACAGCAAGATCGAGTCAAAAGTCCAGGAAAGACGGCCACAAATAAAAAAAAAATAAAAAAAAAAAACAAATAAAGAAAGAAAATTTTGAAGTTTTCGCGCCAAAAATCTCAACTCTCGATGAGTCGCTGCAGAGTCGCACGGGCAGCCCACTCCAGCACGATTTCCACAGCAGCAATGACGTGGAAATTCCCGACTGATTGTCTCTTGGGCCCGAGCACAGTGGAAGCTGGATGCGCTTTTGCACAGACGTCTGCATCGCCAATGCAATACAACTCCCTGATCCCTACTCTCCCTGTGCAACCCCACTAGCCCGTCTTCTTTGAGGGGTCACTGAACCTACTGTCACACCTGGATATCCAAGCAAAACAATCCACAACACAAATTACAAATCCAAAGACCAGCACACACACACACACACACAACCGAGCGTGCGCGTGCGAGTGAGCTGCGTCTCGATTTGGAGGGTCGGTTGTTGATGGGAATTGCCTCGTTCTTTGGCCTGAGTGTGATTGCCTTGTCGTGTTAACACAAGTTATCTGGCGGGTACTGTCTTCTGGTGCTTGCGCAGTCGCAGCTGTGCGTTCTCGGTGAGCGTTTTGGCGAATTGCCATTCCCCGCTGTTTCTCCACGCCAGAATCAAATGCACGCTTGAAGCTTGATTCTCGATCCATCCCTCACTGTACGTGTACTGGACCCTCCACCCTCTCACCCTTTCTTTGCATTGATTCATGGATGCAATGGACGCTCAGCCAGTCTTTTTTTTTTTTGTTCTTGTTTTTTTAAATCTTTGTAAGGCCATCTTCGACCCTTGCGAAAAGCACTGCAGCAGCAACCCCGTCGGCCGTTCTCGCTCTGTTCGCAAATGCATTTGAGCGTTACTCCAGTTGACGACGAATCGGGAGGCGGGGGGGAGGGGAAGCGGCGCACCATCATCATCACTCATAGAGAAAACGGTGATCAGACATGAGGCGGGTGGCCGTTGGAGAACGGGGTTGGGCGATTGCACGAATGGATGTGGCTGCGTGTGCTTGGTGGGGCCAAGCTTGGCTGTGCTTTGACCAGACAAACGAAGGGGGGGGGGAGAAGAGGAACTGTGGGGTTTGCGATGGGTGATGAATCGGCGAAGGTGAGCGGGAGTGTCGCCTGCCCCCCTCTGGATGACTCCAGCTCGTTCGACAGTCGCTTGTCTCTCCTTCTCCGTCCCCCTCATCCCTCGCTACTCTCACCCCCCCCCCCATGCGTTGGCCGCTCGTTCGGTTTGCTCCCCATCCACGGCACTGGACGTCAAAAGCCTGCGCTTTTTTTTTTTTTTTTTTTTTTTTTTGATTTTCTCCCTTTCTTCTGCTTTTTGAGCTTCTCCTGGTGCGCTTCGTGCTGTGCCACGCTGCTTCAACGCGTGATCTCGCTGTGACTTTTCTCTTGTTCTCTGCAACGTTCGCCAAACGTCGCTTCTCTGCTGCGATCGCCACTCAATCACAAGAGCACAAACGACCCAACAAGCAAAATTCGCAGCCTTGAATCAAAAAAAAAAAAAAAAAAAAAAAAAAGGCATAAAAATTCGATCTATTTTATTATTATTATTATTATTATTATTATTATTTTATGATTTTTTTATGATTTAATTTTTTATTGTTTTTCTAGTTGAGAGCAGCAGCGACAGGACGAGTGAGACTGGGCGCAAGTTGAAGCAATGCGCTGTGGGAGATGAGCGGGATGGCACGAGGCCCAGGGTTGGCGCGGGGGGGGTGTGTGAAGCAGAGAGAGAGAGCGACGGAGAGGGCAGAGGTGCGGACATTCCGAGGCGCAACCAAGTTAGGGCAATGCTCGCATCCGATGGCACGCTATCTCATGGCAGGATGGCAGGATGGCAGGGATGGCAGGGGTGCTGGGGAGGGGAGGGCGAAACCGAGACAGAGATGACAATGCTGAAGGCGAGAGTGCGGTCGCGAATGGACAAAGTAAAGTGGAAGACAACCAACGCACTTTCACCGTCTCTCGCGCTGGTCTCTTGGTACTCACAGGCTTGTTGCTTTCGTTGACAGAGTCTCAGAACACGGCCGTATTGTTGTCACAGCTCGTCGTCGTCGTCGTCGTCGTCGTCGTCGTCGTTGAACCAACAAGCAAACGAAGCACCAAATTTCACCCATACATTTCAAAAAGGTTTGTAAGAACAAAAATGTCGAACATTTGCACTCAATCGCATCACATCAACGACGCATCTCACTCTGCTGGATGCTTGTTGCTGCTGACAGACCCAAACTAACCCTTCCCCTCCCCCTCTCCGAACATCGTCAAAGCGTTGCGGTCTCCACTTCTGAAAAACATTGACGATGGCAGCGGCGCAAACGGCCAGCGTGGAGCCAGTCCCTGGCGCGACGAGTCCAACGCTACTCCGCAGCACCACGAACGCGCCCACCATCAGCCAACCCGTGACAAGAACAGTCAGCAATGCCGCATCCTTGCAACAGGCTGGCAGCGGTGGTAGTGGCGGCGCCGCGGCAGGGGGTGTCGAATTGTTCGTCTTGTCTGCAGAAACGCGCGCCATGCTCCACGATGTCGCCCAGCAAATGCTCGGCTCACTAAGAATCGGCACGTTGAAGCTACGGATGAAAACGTATCGGCTGTGCTTTACGGGAAAGGACGCAGTCACCTGGCTGCTCTGCAACAACCTCGCCAAAACCAAAGAGGATGCCATCCGGATTGGCAACATGATGATTATCGAAAAGCTGTTTCGCCACGTCACCAACGAGCACCTCTTCAAGAACGAGCCCAACCTGTTCTATCGGTTTGCCGTGCACGAAGAGCAGCTCGAGCGCGAGGAGCTCGAGGGTGGCAGGGGTGGCGCGACCCCAACAAGCGGTAGCGTGGGCTCGGGAGGCTCACATCCTCTCGCCGCCCAGAGCAATTCTGCGCTGGGCGTGTCAGACCGAACCAGCATTGGCGGCAGCATTGGCAGCACTGGCAACATTAACGCCATCAACGCCGACCATTCTGGCTCCTTCCCCGGCGGCGCCAACGGCTTGCTCACCCCTGGGATGCTCGGCATCAACGGATCCACTGCCTCCAGTGGCGGAGACTCGGATGCCGCTCACGGCACCGACACGGACATTGACAGCCAAGCCGAGCGCGAAGATTTGAACATTGCCCCTCAAACGGCCATGGTGCGCATGCTCACCCCGGAGGCAATCTTGCTACTACGCGACACGACCAAGTCTCTCAAAGACCTCGACAATGCGCTTCGCAAGCTCGGCAACGAAATGCTCCAGTGCCTGGACATTACCACCCGCAAGACGCAGACGCGCACGTTCAAGGATTGCTTTGTCGGCAAGGACGCTGTCGCATGGATGATTCAGAACGGCGTGGCTGCGGACGAGCAAGGCGCCATTCGCGTCGGCAACATGATGGTGACGCTGGATATTTTCCACCATGTACTCAAAGAGCACACCTTCAAGAATGAAAATCTGCTCTACCGCTTTACTGTTCACGAGGACTCTGGCCAAACTAAGGGGTCTTGGGTCTATTCCCGCAATCTCCCCGTCATGCTCCGAGTTTTGACACAAGAGCAGCTGCGGCCGTTGAAAAAGTCGTCGACAAAAAACGTCCCGCCGCCTGTCGCAGCGGCTGCTGCAGCAGCAGCAGCAGTAGCAGCAGCAGCAGCAGCAACAACAACAACAACCTCCTCTGCCACACCCGCAGAGTCAACACCAGACTCACCAGCACCACCACATCATCATCTACAACAACAACAGCAACCACCACAGTCATCCATCTCTTCCACATCCGGCTCGTTGCCACCAAACAGCAGTAGCACCAATCTGCAACAGCTCGGCGCGCTCAACGGCTCAGCAAACAATCTGAGCCCGGCGGACGAGCTTCGTCAATCTCTCGATATTCTTGCAGCTCGCATGATGAGCAGTCTCGAGGTCAAGGATCGCAAGTTTTTGCTGCGAACGTACAAGGACTGCTTTGTGGGCACGGAAGCTGTGGACTGGCTTCTGTCACGTGGTGTGGCCGAGGACGAGGAGGACGCTGTGCGCATTGGCAATCTCATGATCAAGAACAATCTCTTCCAGCACGTCACGCTCGACCATCTCTTCAAGAACGAAAACCTCTTTTATCGCTACACCAGCACCTACGGCTCGGATTTGGACTCGGTACTCGCATCACCTCCTGGGGCAACGCCGTCGCCCGCCATTTCAACGCCAACGCCGACCGTTGGGTCGTCGCCCGCGGTCGGCCCGTCGAACTCGCCTTTAGCTACTCGAAAAATGTCGACTGCAGGCAGTGTCATGCTCAATGCTGGCGCTGCCGCAGCGGGGGCGAGCAGCGACCGACCTGCTCCCTTGCTATCCACAGGCTCGGTGTCGTCTTTGGGCGGTCGCAAGCAGCGCGAGCTGCAAACCATTGTCACGAGCATGAAGCATTTTGTTGATGTCCGCGACCGCAAGTACATGCGCAAAATGTACCGTCGAACATTTCTCGGCAAGGACGCGGCCAACTGGCTCATCTGGACGGGTGTGGCCCAGGATGTCGACGACGCGATCGGGACGGGCAATCGCATGCTACAAAAGGGGCTGATTCGAAGCATCAACGGCTCTGACCAGTCCTTCAAGTACGACTCATCTGCCCTGTACCGGTTCTCGGAAGAAGGCGCGGCCCGTGTCGTCCGCAAGCCCACCTCGGCTGCTGCCACCACGGGTGCAGCGGTTGCGTCCGCGGCGGCCGTGCTCGTTGGCGGTGTTGGCGCCGTTGGCGGAGCGGCCGCCTCGCTTGGCAAAAAGGCCTTTGGAGGCGCGCGCAAGCTGATGGGCAAAGTCGTCAAGCGATCCAATACATCGGTTGGCCTCGAAGATGTGCCTTCGGGTGGCAGCGCCACTGGTCGTCCCAAAAGTGAGGCTGGCAGTGTCTCGTCGTCCGACCCTCCTTCACAGCCCAGCTCGAGACCAGTCAGCCTCATCTCGCAACCTGGCGAGGTGGTTGCTGTCGGAGCCGAGCCGTCCGGTCATCGTGGCCTGTCTAGCGCAACGTCCATTGACGAGGCTGACCTTGCGGAAGACGATGAGGATGTCGAAGACCTCGACGATGATGACATTGTCGACGATGTGTTTGATGACGACGATGAAACAGACGGCGGCGAATCGAGTAGCAAGAGCGTTGTAACGCCGCTTCCAGTACGAGCCGTGCATGTTTGTGTTTGGGGGGGGGCCCTTGTCGTTCTTGGCGGATGACTCACTGTTTTTTTTTTAATTTTTTTATTTTCTTGCTTGCTCTCTACTCTGTTGTAGTCTTCTCCAGACCTCGCTCCAACCGCACCTGCACCACTGACGACATCGCAAATGGCCGCAGCCGCAGCTGCACCCGCTTCGGCTAGCGCTTCCACGTCGAGCGCTGGAGGTCGCATCGAGGAGAGCAATCCCATCATTGCCAATTACTATGGCAAACGCAATGCTGTCAGCATTGCTGATGTCAAGTCTGTCATGAACTTGTCCATCGGTATGTGCCTTTTCTCGTCTCCTTTGGTTGGTTGCTTTTTTTGCGCGTTGATCCGATTTACTCATGGGGATGATTTGGTGTTGACTCCAATCCAATTTCAGAGGCCTGCTTTGAACGTGCGCAGTTGGGATCGATGATGATGCGCTCAAAAGTCAACAAGCCACCAGCCTGGTTCCGTGTCACCATCGACAAGGAGCGCAAAATTATGTACTGGCGATACAAGAGCGGCATCACGGTCAAAAATGCCTGTACGTTTTTTTTTTTGGTTCGCAGCCTTATCCCCGCACTCAAATGTGATACTAAGACTAACTGTCTGTTTGGCGACATTTTTTTTCTTTGTTCTTCCCTTTCTTGAAAACAGTGCTGCTGGGCTCAATCCGCGATGTTCGACTTGGCGCATCCAAGCAAGTGTTTGAAACCAAACTCGTGGCGGAAGTCTATGCCCGATCCTTCTCGATCGTGTACGGACCGAACTGGGAAGAAGTGCACTTCACCTCCGAAACGCTCGAAGACTTTTTCGTCTGGTCGCGGCTGTTGGAGCACATTGCCGAGCAGGCGCGTTTGTCGGCTCCTCGAAACGCGAGCATCCTGACCTGGCTCAAGCTGGAGTTCTTGCTGGCCAACCAAGTGACTATTGACACCATTTCTGGCGAACGCGCAGTGTTCCTCCTCGACAAACTGCTCAACTTTAGCAAGACGGAGCCTGACATTCCTCGCAAGTTCCTGGTATGTTTTTTTTTTGTTGTGAAATCTCCTCTTGGTTTTGTACATTTTGGGACTGCGAGTTCTCACAACTTGTGCTTTTCTTTGGTTGTTTTGTCTCCACTCACAGACCATGCTCGAGCACGAGTCCATGACCTTCCAACAAGTCGCTCGTGCCTACGTCGAGCATACCATGCCTGCACATGTGGAGGTCGTCTTCCATCAGTACGCCAAGACGGAGAGCGCTGACGGCAAACTTGTCATGAATCTGGAGTGCTTCTTGGACTTTCTCTACGCTCAAGGGGTGCGTACCTTTGGCGTTGCTTTGGTGCTCAAGGTGTTTGGACCCTGTGTCTTGCTGCTGACTTTTTTTTTTGTTTTTTGTTGTTGACATTCTGTTGACAGGAGACGGATATTTTTGACGACGAAGGCAGCATCATGATTCGCAAATACAGCTCGCGCAACAACGAACAATTGGATTTGGTCGATTTTGCGCTCTTTTTGCTTTCCGACGACAACATTGTCGTTCGCAAGGCCCATTTGCCCCTTCACGAGGACATGACGCGTCCGCTCTCCGAGTATTTCATTGCATCGTCCCACAACACGTGAGTTTATTTGCGTTTTTGTTTGGATGTGTGTGCTTTGTAAGGGATCCTCGGACTTACATTGGAATCTTCTGCACTCGCAGTTATCTTCTTGGTGACCAACTGAAGGGAGAGTCGTCCATCGAGGGCTACATTCGCTCCCTTCTTGAAGGCTGCCGCTGCGTCGAGCGTATGTTGTTTGTTGTTGTTGTTGTTGTTGTTGTTGTTGTTGTTGTTGTTGTTGACTGCGGATGCCTTGATCTTTGCACCAACCAACCCTTCTGCTCTCTCCTCACGACAGTTGACTGCTGGGATGGCAGCGACGGCGAACCAATCATCTATCACGGCCACACACTGACCACCAAGATTCGCTACGTTGATGTCCTCAAGGCAATCAAGACGTACGCCTTCAAGGCGTCACCCTACCCGGTCATCCTGTCGTTTGAGAATCATTGCTCCATCCCACAGCAGGTGATTATCGCCAAGTACTTGCGCAGCATCTTCCACGATGCGCTGCTCGACAACTATCTGGTGGGCATCGACTCTGAAACACAGCTGCCATCACCCGAGCAACTCAAGTACAAAATTCTTGTCAAGGCCAAGGGCAACAAGCGCGACGATCCCACAATGTCTGGAGTCGGCCCGGTCGCTGCAACGGGGCAGCTGAGCACTCCACGAGCGACTGGTCGCCGCATGTCTCTCGGAGATGCATTGGTCAAGCCCCGCGGCAGCCGCTCCAACACGCTCAACAAGGCCACCCAGCCATCCGAGCAAGACCTCGCTCTCTCGGCCAACGATATGCGCGAACTCGGGGCGAAGGACGCGTCCGCAGTCGCGCCCGCCGTCACGGCCAAGGACAAGAAAGAGACCCGCGACAAGGACAAGGACAAGGAAACCAAAGAAGAAAAGGAGGCAGTCTCTACGGAAGACTCTGAAGTTGAGAAGGTGGCTCCCGAACTTGCCGAGCTTGCCATTTACTGCCGAGCGGCGCATTTCGTGAGCTTTGAGGATAACATGGGTAAGTGGGCATTTTTTTTTTTTTGTGTGTGTGTGTGGTTTTTGATTTTGTTTGTGCCCTCGCTGTCGACGTCGGTGGCTTACGCTTTGCTTTGCGATCATTCCCTTGCAACAGCTTGTCAAGTCTGGTACCAGATGACATCTATTGGCGAGTCCAAAGCCAAAAAGCTGGCGCAGACGAATCTGGCAGAGTACACGCTGTACAACCAGCGCTTCCTCAACCGCATCTATCCTGCAGCCAAGCGGTTCAACTCGAGCAACTTTGATCCTCAGCAGTTCTGGAACACGGGCTCGCAAATGGTGGCTCTCAACTACCAGACGAACGACATTCCGATGATGATGAATCGCGGCAAGTTCCAGGTGAATGGCCTCTGCGGCTACGTGCTCAAGCCTGCCTCGATCATTGGTACTCCCGACGCGCAGCCTGCAGTGCCCAAGCAGCTTTCTGTTCAGATTTTGTCGGCCCAAAATGTGCTGCACTATTCCGAGTTTGCCAAGTTCCGCGACAGCGAGTTTGTGGTTGAAGTCCGCGTCGATGGTGCTTCAACCGACACTGCCCGCAAGAAGACCAACTCGCGCACGGGTACGCCGGCACGCACCGAGTGGAACGAAACCCTGAATTTCAACGTGGGTGACTCGGAGTTGGCCCTGATTGGTTTCATGCTTTACGAGAACAAGTCTCGTCGCCTTCTTGGGCAGTTCTTTGCCCCAGTCTCCAGTCTGAATCAAGGTACGAGTTTTACTCTTGTGTGGTTGTAAATGGTTGTTTTTGCGTGGAAAGCGCGACTCATGTCTTTTTTTTTTTTTTTTTTTTTTTTTTTTTTTTTTTTTTTTTTTTTTTTGGTTTGTTTGCTTCGACAGGGTTTCGTCACATCTATCTGAAAGGTGAAGGAGACGACCACCTGCACCACCAAACCTTGTTTGTCAACATTGCTATCGAGGACCTTTTGGACGGAGCGGACTGGCAGATTGCCATTTAATTCTTTGATCGTTTGTTTTTTTTTCTTTTTACTCTTGTTGTCGCCCCTCTCCTTTTGATCTTCTTTCTTTTTTTTATGCATGTTTTGTATTTGACCGGTTGAGTTTTTCTTCTTTTCCCTCTCTTTGCGTTCCATTCACCCCTTCCCCTTCAAGTTGGGTTTGATACTCGATTTTTAAGCTTTTTTTTTTCTGTTGATTCTTTTTTAAAATTCTTTTCATTTGTTTCATCTTGTTTCAATTAAACCTTCTGTATCGATGTTCAGTATGAGTACACGTTACCAACTTGACTGTGTTGGCTCAGTCGAAAGGGTTTTTGTTGGCGCAAATGTTTTGTATTCCACGCAAACTGTTAACTACCACAGCAAGAAACCTGAACTGTTGTACCGGTCGGTTGGCCAGCTTGTCCTGCTCCTGGCCGAACCGTCGCAGATCCGGCGCCACCAGGACGTCCCGAGAAGCTTCCAAAACCTACATTCGAGTCACCTTCATCCGATCCCGTCCGCAGCTTGATCATTTCTCGAGCAGCGTGCAAGAAGGCGTCGCTAATGCCTGTGCTCGTCACAATACGTTGGTCAACAGAAGCACAAAAAGTTGAGCATGTGAACAAAATGCAATCAATGAGGATTTGAATACACGCGACCTACCGCTATCCGCCTTTGCCGATGTCTCAAAGAAGAGGGCGTTAATTTCCTCGGCGTAGATGGCAGCAGTTTCTCCAGACACCTTGCGCTGGCTCGCCATGTCGGATTTGTTGCCAACCAGGACGAGGACTAGTTGTATCAAAGGATCAGAGGTTAAAGTCGGTAAAATGGATGAAAAGTTTGAATCTCGATGCACGAAAAGGTCTCTGCTTACCAATGTCGCTATCCACGTTGTGTTGCAGTTCTATAGCAACGAGAAGGGGTATGGAGGAGAGTGTGCAGTGAGAACAAGGCATTTCAAAGTCCAAAGGGCGTTCCGAAGTGTTTGACCGCTCACCTTTTACCCAAGACTTGATGTCGTCAAACGTCTGTTCGTCTGTAATGTCGTACACAAGCAACGCGGCATTTGCTCCACGGTAGTACATGGGTGCCATCGAGCGAAAGCGCTCCTGGCCGGCGGTGTCCCAAATCTGCACAGTTTCGGTGGGTTGGGCGTCAGTCGAGAAATGGCGAGATGCAACCAAATTCCAAAACAAAGCACCGACCTGCATCCGCACTTGGCAGCGGTCAACCGTCCTGTTGCATTCAAAGGGCGCAGAAAACGGGTGCGGGGTGAGGGGCCTCTAAAACCAGCAACAGCTTCACACAAGTGCTCAAAACAGCGCTCCATACATTTTCCGAGTCATGAATGATGCTCCGATCGTTGACGTGATATCTGCTGCATATGTTCCCTGGACGTATCGTAGCACGAGCGAGGTCTTTCCAACGCCTGTCTCAGACAATGAGACAACAAAAACAAAAGTTAGGACCAAAAGTTTCTCAGACATTGTCATCAGAGTCGAGCGTCTTTCGCAATTACGTCCATCCGTCCTCCTCCTCCTCCTCCTCCGCCTCCTCATCTTGTTGCCTTTTGTCAGTATCAGTTGACCAGCTTGAAATCAAAGTGTTTGGAGATGAAAGAAGTCGCTTTTTTTTTTTTTTTTTTTGCTGTGCGTTGCATTGCCGACAGCTCGTTTTGCTGCTTCTCTCATCACAAGTCGCCGTATCCTTTGATTGCTTTCCTCTTTCACTCATCCCTCCTATTTGCTTGCATCGATGCGTACTTTGCAAACCGAGGGGAGGCGGGCGCGGGGAGGCTGTTGCTGTGCCAGTGGAGTAGCATTTGCATTTGCAGCGACTCAATGTCAGGCGTCCCGCAGTCAAGTCACTCACTTTCCCCCTTCCACTCTCACTCATTCGCTCATCACTCATTCGCTCATTCACTCAGTTCAGTTGTGAGCTCCGGCGTTTGGGTCTCTCTGCTGGTTTGCTGCATGCACGAGCGGCAATAGTCCTCCCCCCGACTGTTCCACGCTTCTACTCATCTTCTCTCTCAGGTCATGTTCGCTCCTTCGACGTGTGCCCCCCTTCTCCTGTTCACCAGGCCCTGCTTCTCCCGCCCTCCCCGCGGCCTCCTGCGACTCATTGCCACTCCAGCACACTCGCGTGACATGCAGGCTGCAGCATTCTCAGAGACCCGCGCCAGAGAGCCAACCGAAGGTCACTCGCTCTGCTCTGCTCCCTCTTTCCCTTCCCCCCCCCCCGCCATAGCCACATTCAAACTCGCTCACCTTGCGAGCCCAGAATGACAACCTTGGCTTCCAGTGCGCGGCCACCCCCTTGCTGCTGCTGCTGCTGCTGCTGCTGCTGCTGTTGCGCTGCTCCAGACGGTGAGCCACTCGCCATCGTCGTTTGAGTGTTGAATCAAAATAGGATTGAAAAATGGAAGAGTGGACCAATTCCAAGCTTGCACCTTGGAGTCAGCTCCCGCGACCGATCGGTTTACCAGGCGATCACACCGTGTGCTGAAAGTCTACCGTCAGAGTAAGAGCGCACGAACGATGCTAGACTCGGAGAAACGGCGGATGTAGCGTTTCGGCTCAAGTCGCTACAAAAGCAAGCTTTGGCTCACTTCTGCGTGGAAACACGAATCCTTGCGCCGCCGACCAGGTGGCCAGGTAGTCATCAACGAGATACACCTGCTGATATGCGGAAATCCGGATCCGGAGCTGCCGTTGTCGCACAAACGGAGGCATGGTCGAAACCAAGCCAAACCAGCATCTCGGCCCCATCGATAGCCATTTTTCCGCCGATTCGATTTACTGCATTCTCACATCAAGGTAGTAGCGGAACTTGAGTGAAATGCCCGATTGGAATTGGTGTGTGGCTCAGGCAAACACCAACTCTCAAAACACCCCTGAAAGTTTGCATTGATTGCCTCTGGGTTGGAATCTAGCTTTTCTTCCGCTTTCGTTCTGACCATGACTCCTTTGCAAATCTGCTCCGGATTTCAATTCATCAGTCGTCTTTTTTTTTTTGTGTTTTCGTCCTGCGGTTTTTTGATTGCTGTTGGGGGAATTTAACTGCGCATTCAAACGCAAAAAAGTCTCCGTGAAACGGCGACATTTGTTTTTGCACACACGCCATTTCCCATCTGTCTTCCGAATGCCATCTTCCGCGGCCACTGCGGCTGCGGCTGCAGCACCTGCACCGGCACCAAGCGTCGCAACCAATCGTCTTGCCACTGAGAAGAGCCCTTACTTGCTTCAACGTAAAACAAACAAACATTGTTCATCGGAAAACACAGAAAGGGGACAAAAACGGCAAAAGTTCGGCATTGAGCGTTGTTCTTCTGGATGGAAACAAACACTGATCGCACTCGCTTTGGCTGCAGATCGATGCAGTGATCTCAGATCTGAAAAGGGATGATCATGGTTGCACGGTGAATGGCTCAACACACGAGAGTTCTTTTTCGACTCATCGTTCTTCTTTGGTTGAAGGCAGAGTTTTTCGTTTGTTCGCTTTTGCGTCGAGTGTCGCGTGTGATTCACGGCGCGCGCGAAAAAAAAAGCACGGGCGTTTCGATAGGATGCGTGTTATTGTCAACAAAACAACTCAAACCATTTTGGAATCACTGATGGCGCTGCTGGTGCTGGTATCCTGAAATTTTGATTTTTGTTTTGGTGTATTCACAGATGCGCATAATCCGGTCGACTGGTATCCTTGGTGCGAAACTCGGACGTTGCATGCATTCTGAAACATGCACTGGAGTGCGAGGCACTGACACTGTACATGCGCGCAACTCATCACCAACAGGGGTCCAGAGGCTTTTCAAAAAGCGCGAGAACGGCAGCTGCCAATCTTTCTGTCGGTCGGCTACAGCACTTGCCATTGGTGCCACGTCATGGAGGAGCAGTCGTTCATGAATCCCGGCATTGCCAGTATCATGAACAAGAACTTTGTCAACATCAAAGTGGACCGCGAAGAGGTTTGTCTCGTTTCCGTTTTCCGCAACCAAATTTCAGTCGAGCGACTCGAATGCTCACTATGATGATTGCATAGCGCCCTGATGTCGATCGCGTCTACATGGCATTCATCACGGCCACAACAGGTCACGGTGGATGGCCAATGAGTGTCTGGTTGACACCAGAACTGACGCCCATTTTTGGTGGAACGTAAGCTTTGCTGCAGCTGTTGATTCTCATCTGCAACCCCTCTGGCTCATTTCTCACGTGCAACACTTTTCTCCTTTGTAGGTACTTTCCGCCAGAGGACAAGTGGGGCACGCCCGGATTTCCGTTCCTGCTGGCAAAAATTGCGGCGCTCTGGAGCTCTCGCCGCGACGAAATCCTTCTCAAAGGTCGCGGCATCATGCAGCTGCTCGAGCAAGGCATCGACGCACGCTTGCAACCAACCGAGGAAAGCAACGAAGGTGCAGTTTCTGATGCAAAGCAGGATTCTGCCCGCGACTGGCTCGAATTGGCCTTCACCAAGTTTGAGGAGGAGTTTGACCCGCAGCTCGGCGGATTTGGTGGCGCGCCAAAGTTTCCTCGACCCGTGATTTTGCAATTCCTGCTCAACCTCTATGCGCACTTTTCCCGCGTGACTGCGTCGCTGAAAGCGCAAGCTACCGACGCTACCCCTTCACCCACATCCGCATCGCCTCGACTTGCAGGGGCGCCGGTCGCTGCGGCGGCGGCAACCACGCTCTCAGCCTCTCCCAAACTCAAAGGCTCCAGGCGCCTCAGCGTGGCAGAGCGCAACTGTCTCCAAACCATGCGCATGTGCACAACCACCTTGGACGCCATGCATCGCGGTGGCCTGTACGACCATCTTGGTGGAGGTTTTCATCGCTACAGTGTGGATCAGTTCTGGCATGGTAACACACAGCGCATACATGTCTGTTCTTGCAAACTTGGAGAGCAGAGAGATCCAACTTACGTGCCTTTCTTCTTTCGTCTGCTTTGCACGTTTACAGTTCCGCACTTTGAAAAGATGCTCTTCGACCAGGCACAACTCGCGCTGACCTATGCAATGGGGTTCCAGCTGACTCGAATACCTGCGTACGCACAAGTGTGCCGGGACACTCTCGCATACGTGCTGCGCGATCTTGCCCACCCACTTGGCGGATTCTTTTCGGCAGAAGACGCAGACAGCCTGCCTTCAGTGACTTCGGAATCCAAGAGCGAAGGAGCCTACTACGTCTGGTCGTACGAAGAGATATCCACCACCTTGAGCCAAGGCGACTGTGCTGCTGGAGTAGCGTCCAACGCGACAGACTTGGCCGTCTTTTGCTACGCGTTCGGAGTGCGTCCACAGGGGAATATTCGCCGAGAGAGCAATCCACACGGCGAGCTTGCGCGTAAAAACCACCTCTTCCAAGAGTACACGCTCCAGGAAACCGCCGACCACTTTCACCTGCCCCTGGCAGACGTGGCCAATCGCCTCGAGAATGCACGCGCCAGACTGCACGGGATTCGTGCCGCACGTCCGCGCCCGCATCTGGACGACAAGATCATTGCCGCGTGGAATGGACTCATGATTTCGGCGCTGGCCAAGGCCGGAGGCGTGGTCGAGGAGCCCTTGTTTATTCACGCTGCTCAAAAGGCAGCTCGTTTCTTGCGCGGCTCAATGTACAACACGGAAAGCGGACAGCTCGTGCGATCTTGGCGGGACGGATCTGCCTCGAAGGTTGGTGGCTTTCTGTCCGACTATGCCTTTGTCATTCAGGGGTTGCTGGATTTGTACGAAGTGGATGGCGATACGACCTGGCTCGAGTGGGCGCTGCAGCTGCAAAGCAAGCAAGACGAGCTGTTTCACGACCCGAACGGCGGTGGCGGGTACTTCGTGACAAGCACGCACGACCCGAGCATCCTGGTTCGCCTCAAGTGCGAGGAAGACAGCGCTGAACCAGCGGGCAATTCCATTGCAGCCATCAACCTCCTGCGGCTTGCCAACTTGGTCAACCGACCAGAAATGCGCGATCGAGCCGCTGCACTCATCACCTCGCACCAATTCCTCTTTTCCAACGCCCCGACCGCGCTGCCAATGATGCTCTCTGCGTTGCAGTTCTTGCACAGTCCGAACGTGCAAGTGGTACTCGTCACCAAGAACAGTCCGACCGATGTACCCAAACCCAAAGACGAGCCGACCCGTCCTGCAGCTGCTGCTTCTGCTGCGAGCGAGGCCGCGACCGAGCTTCAGAGCGTAGTCCTATCCCAGTGCTTTATTCCGTTCAAATCCATCGTGCATTTACAATCCGACGCGAGCCGTCGCTTTCTGCGGAACAAGCTGCCGGCCGTCGACGACTACCAGATGATTGACAACCAGCCCACCGCCTATGTTTGCCAAAGCTTTGCCTGCCAGGCCCCCGTCACCAGCGTACGCGAGCTGCGCACCCTTCTTGGCGCGACTCTGCCTGTACAGCCATTTTCTCCCTAGAGAGTGTCGCGATCAAGTATTATGTACAAAAACTTTGTCATTCACATGAATTACATGTATTACACTACACATACGTCTCCTTCATGCCGCTCGCAGTTGTAGATCTGTCAGTGCTGCGCATGAGTGATTGAACTTGGTGCACCGTGTTAGGTAAAGTGAGGCGTGCATGGCTTCAAAGGGTTGAGCAAACGCAACCGCCCCATGCTCAACAGCATCCTCCCCGCGACTCTGGAATTTGGATAATAGCTTGGACATGCACTTTCCAGTGAATAATACCACTTCCGACAACTCCTCGACTTCAGTCTTCAATTTTGGTTTTCGACTTGGTTTTCCCCCAGCCAACAAAATGGGGAAATCGGTGGATGCATTTGTGCCGGTGACGATATCGTCGACCTCGGCATCATCGTCGCCATCACCATCAATACCATCATTGCTATCGTTTGGGTCGGTCGGACATGCGCCTCAATCGAATGCGCCACCACCGCTCGTGACGGGGTTTGTGTCATCGTCGGCCTCAGCCACGCCAAGCATGAGCGCCCATTCCACCATCAATACTATCTCTGGTAGTACTAGTACTAGTACTACTACTACTACTACTTGGAGCGGTCATCATGATACAAGTCCGATTGGTGAGGGTGATGGGGCAGCAGCAGCAGCAGCAGCAGCAGCAGCAGCAGCAGCAGCAGCAGCAGCAGCAGCAGCAGCAGCAGCAGTGGCAATGGCGTCATCGTCGGAGGTTGACAGCCACAGCAATAGCCGCCGCGTGACACCGACGCCGGGCGCAGAAGCACCAGCACTCGATGCAAATATCACTGCAGCACCAGTACGATCGAAATCCGGCGCAGAGAGCCCTGTTGGGCGACCGCAGACTGAACCACCACCACCACCATCACCACCACTGCCGCTGTCGGAGTTGGGTCGGCGCGCACTGTCTACGTCGCTCGTCCCGCGGCTCGGTCTCTGCATCCTGCAAGAGCGTCTGAAGGCTGGTTGCGCAAGTACGTCCGTTGCCACGCGACAGCATCCGAGTCCGAGTCCGATCCAGAATCACAGCAACCTGAGCTTGACCGCCAATTCAAACTCAGTACCACATCACAAGGAACCTCAGCTCCAGCCTCAAACAGCAGATGAGCCAGTCATACTCGGTGGAAGCATCATTGAATCATCATCAGCATCAACAGCAGCAATAATAGCAACAGCAACGGCAGAATTCTCGCCGCTCGCTGATTTTCCGGTAACCTTTGCTGCTCAGACTGTTTGCTCTTGCATTGCTTTATGATCTCTCGCTTCTTCATCATTTGAGCTGTGATTGTTATTTATTTTGGATGCTACTGTTTTTCTTTTACCCTATTTTCTGAGATTCTTTTTCAAATCTCAGTCTCTTTTTTTTTTTATTTTATTTTATTTTTTATTTTTATTTTTTTTTTTACTCGTTCTTTCACTCAACGTTTTCCCGCATTTTTTCTGCTCCTTTGTTGTTGCTGGTGGGACATTGGGATTTGTGCTTTGTTTGCGCTTTAGATTCTACTGCGAGACGCGCAACGGCAGCTCGAAACGCTTGCTGCGAGTGGCGAGCCGGTGCACATTGACATTCTCAGCCACGCAGCAGCAGCATCAACACAGCCAAACCCAGCACCAGCCCATCGTTCGGCTGATTCTTCATCCTCAGTGACTCTGGGTCGGGCGTCTGTGCCTGCTACTACTACTGCTGCTACTACTACTACTACTGCTGCTGGTGCTGCTGGCTCAACGACGGTCGATCGTCGTCGTCGTCAGAGTGGCGGCGGTTTCACGTCCGAAGCAGCAGCCAGGCAGCCCCAGCCGACAGTCCCATCCTCCGACCCTCCGCCACCGCGCCTGCGTCTGATCGAGCGCTGGACACTGCTGCTGATGCCGCCGTCCAAGCGCAGCGCAGCCGAGGCAGAGGACGGGCTGATGCCGGTCTTGTTGCAGCAGCACAGCAAGCAACCGCGAACCTCAGCTTCACCTCAGCCATCGCTGTCCAGTAACAACGACAAGGACGAAGGCTTAATCATGCATCAGACATCCACCGCCGTGCCTCAGGAAGCAGCGACAGTGCTCAATCTCATCGGGCAGTACCTCAACGGGTCGGAGCACGCTGGCAACCAGCTTGAATACAGGTACGCAGCTAAGCAGCAACCAAGCGTCTTTTCGCCTGAGGTGTTCTTCTAGCTGTACCGCATTGTTTGTAACCAATCAATCGTGGCCTTTTTGGTGTATGCACAGATTGTCGGGCGCCGAGCACGAGTCGTTTGATGGATCGGAACGAGTGCAGCGACACACGTTTCCGCCGCTGTCGTCGCCTGCTGGCACGCTGTTCATGTCTGTCATGTCGTTTCCTGGCTCTGAGGCAATCCAAGTCGATGTTCCACCAGTGACTTCGGTGAGTTTGGGCACGCTAGACGGGGATATTTAGGCACAAGCCGTCGAACTGACCGTTTGTTTACGACCTTTGAAAAAACACAGCGGGAAGCATCCAAGCGTCTGAGAATGTCACCATCAGAACGAGTATGGCCTTTGTTGCTTGTCAGACCCGATGCCATGTGTGCTGCAGCGACAAAAAATCGTCTCACACTCTTTTTGTTGTATTTTGGGTGTGTGTGTGTGTGTCACAGGAACTTGCAAATGCCCAAAAGCCTCGACAGCCCTCCCCGGCTCGAAATAGCTTGGCTGCCACTCTCTTGTTCAACAAGAAGACTGGCTTGCCAGTCATGTCCAGTCCAGATCCACGAGAATCGGCTGAACTCAAGCACGGATTTCCCTTTGACCGCAATTCCATGCCTGTGCACGCACCTACGGCCTCGGTGGCGGAGATGCACGATTCGCTCAATGCAGTGGCCGACAATGGTACACCAATGCTGCCGATATCGCCATCCGCGAGCAAGATTTCGTTGAATCTGCACAGCGCGAGTCCATCTGCGCTCGCAGCTCGTCGCGCCTCGTCTGGCAGCTTGACTGGTCTGGTCATGCATTCGCCAGCCCGCTTGCCAGTCACCAACATTGCACCTGCGTCGACCTTGCAGACCAACACACCTGCACAGCTTGCTGGGCTCGATGCTGGAACAACTCCCGTCGTCACGATGGCTCCTTCCAAGCCCATTTCCATTCGTCCATCGCCAGGTGTAGGCGGACGGTTTTCTTCACCCGAAACACAAGCACGTGATAGCTGGGGCGATTCCGGCGCAATCGATTTGCAACGGTTTCAGCCCCCGCCCAATCGACGTCCCTCGTTCGTTGGCAACGCCTCGCCACCAAGACCGTCCCCTCCACCCCGTCGACTGTCGATCGGCATGTCGCCGACGCACACCCCTGCCACCAAGACACTCGTGGGCTCGTTCGAAGAGTCCATCCTGCAAGGCCGCATGTCGACTGCCGACGCCTACTCCATCCCTGGATTTACCGCCGAGCTCGCCGTTTCTGGCGAGGGCAAGCAGCTACCCCACGTCTCCATCCCATTCTCGCCCGTGTTTTACTCGCTCCCGGGCGAGGACGCGCCGACCCCGTACGTTGCCAACATTGAGCTGGCCCACCGCGACGACCCTGGCCGCCACCCGGCGCTTCTCAAGGTGCCAGTGCGAGGCATGGTGCAGCTGGCCATCTTCAATCCGCAGCAGACCGGTGTCAGGGTGTTTCTAGTGCGCTACGACCATTCGGAAATGCCGCCGCGGACAAAGACGTTTGTGCGACAACGGACAATCGACGAAACGTTCTCCAATGGAGCGATTCGGTACCTTGCCCATCTGCGGTTTGTCTGCCTGAAGAAGAGCGTGTATTTGCACGGCGGAATCCGCGTCGTTTTCGCGCACCGCACGCTCGATTCCGCGGAAGGCCTGTCTGTCATCACGGACGGACCCAGCAACCCGCGATACATTCCGCTGACACGTGCGGAGCGAGTAGAGCTGCAAAGCATGTCGTCGAGCGGTCCGTCTTCAACCTCTCCTTCGCACGAGCTGGGTGAAGATGGCATGTTGCACCGCGGTCGCAGCGGCTCCGTGGACGATGACGACGCGCTCAAGTGCGCGCCCACGACTCAAGTTGCCTTCTCTCTGTGAAAAAGCAAGAAGAAGAAGGGAGCGAGGAGGCGGCACATCGACCAGCTCATCTGGATTTTTCTTTCACTTTCATTGTATTCTATTGTACTTTTTTAAGCTGCCTTTAGTTGCAGTTTGGTTTCATTTATTAAACTCTTTGACTCTACAAGCGAGCGAGCAGCCTGCTGAATCCAAGCTCGGATGCTTCGATGCTCAGCCATCTGGTTTAACCAAAACCAGTTTGACTGTGCAACCAGACTGTGTGATCCATTCATATCGACCACCCTTCAGCTCTTTCAGCTCTCTGTTATCTCGACTATCTCGCGCGCTCTCTGTTTTTTCAGTGCTTTTTGGCATTGAGTTCACTTTCCGATGCGAAATCTTCTCAATCTTTTTTTTTTTTTTTTTTTTTTTTTTGTTTCCCCTTCTCTCTCTTTCTTTGATCAACAACAATGTCGACCGCTTTGCTCAGTCGCGCGTCCACCTCGTCGTCCACCTCGTCGCTGGCGTCGTCGAACAGCATCCGCGATGTCACTGTCGCAGTTGCGTCCTCCGACCGAGGCGCCGATGCGAGTCGCAGCAATGCGTCATCTGTCGTCGTTGTCGGGGAACTCCCACAACGGTCGCCGCTGCTGCACCACGAGACCAGCAACCACCCGTCAGCCAGTCCTCGTCCTCCATCCACCACGGCCAGCACAGCGTCATCTGCCTCTGCAGATGCAACAGCGTCGAGCGCAGCCGCGGCAAGGAGGCTCATCCAGCAGGCCGCGCAGCTGGTCGCGGTCCACTCGTTCGGCGATGCTCCCTCAGCCCGATTGGCGTGGCCCTTCAGCAGCAGCCTGACTCCAGCGGGCCAGTCGGAAGGTGAGCGCTGCTCGTCCCCCCTTCGTGTGTAATCTTGTAGAATTCAGGGATTCCGAGCTCCGAGCCAAGTCGATCGTCCTGCAGCAGGACATGCATTGGAAGCGGATCAAACAACATTTTGCCGGCTTTTCACTTCCAAATTTATCCATCCATGGCACCATGATGAAACACTCAACACTGAATGATCTTGAATGCACCGCTCATCCTGTTACTCACCATGAAAACACACACACAAAATACCACAAACTGCTTGGCTGCGGGGGGGGGGGTAGAGATCAGTCACAACGAATTTACACACGAACAGGCGCCAGCCTGCCCGAGCCCGCCGCCAATGACCTCGAGTGCCATCGCCGAGCTCGCCGACCGCTTGGCAACCCCTGGCGCAACGTTCGACCGGGTCGAGTAAGTCGTTTTTTGGTGGTTTGAATTGAAGCGTTTTGCAACTGGATGCGATTGATTTTCATCTCCAAATTCTAAACTTCTTTGGATCCAACAACAAAAAAACAACCTCAGAATGATCCAACGCCGCGTGTCAAACAAGCAACTCGCCACGATTGTCGGCGCAATGGCAAGCAATCAGGACTCGCGAGTCACCTTCTTGGCGTGCGCCCACAACCCCGAACTGACCGTTTTGCCGGACGCGATTGGCCAGCTCTTCCACTTGAGCAGCCTGTCACTCCATGACAACCATATTGGGCAGTTGCCAGACAGTCTGGGCGAGCTGGCTGGCCTGGAGGACTTGTCGCTGGACCGCAATCTACTCCGGTCGCTGCCCGCATCGCTTGGCGGAATGTCCATGCTCAGCATGCTCACGCTGGACGGCAACTCGCTCACCCACCTCCCGGATGCACTTGGTCAACTCACTTCGCTTACGATTCTCTCAGTGTGCCGCAACGAGCTCGTGGCGCTTCCTGCCTCCATCTCCAACCTGACCCAGCTCACCATGCTGCTTCTCGGCGACAATCGTCTCGCGACCCTGCCGGACTCCTTCCGCCGCATTGCTCCCAATCTGCGGCACCTCGACCTCTCCAACAACCAGTTTGATGTTCTGCCCTTGTTTCTCGGGCTGCTTCCAGCAAATGCAAAGTTCTTTGTCGCTGGCAACCGCATGCTGAACATTCCCGGGCGGATTGCACTCTGTGGCAACGCTGTCGTGCTGGATTATCTGGGGGATGTGGCTCGAGGGAGCATCCCGAGCGGCAGCGTCCGGGTGGCCATTGTGGGCGCCCAGGCTTCGGGCAAAACCACCTTTGTCCAGGCGTTGCTCAACACCCGCAGCAGATTGGGCTACTCGGACCCACTCGACCCCAACCGCGCCCCAACAGATGGAGTTGCTGTGCACACGCTTGCCCTCCCGCATCCAGACGCCTTTGACCGAACACTGACCCTGAAGCTGGCCGATTACGGCGGCGCGGACATATTCAAACACGCAAACGCCATTTTGCAGCAAGCTGGCGACACTTTGTCGATTGTCGTGTGGGACCTGACCCAGTCTCCAGAGGCCAGCAAGCTCAGTTACTGGCTGGGCTCGATCACGGCTGTCGATCGCTGGTCGCCCATTCTCATTGTCGGCACGCATGCTGATGACGCCGAGGGAGCCTTGTCGCAAGACAAAGTCGAAGCTGCTGTGGCGGCTGCTGCTGAGGCCGTCGGGGGAGCCAACATTGCCGGCTGCGTCCGAGTGGATGGCACACAAGCGAGCACGGTCGCCGCAATGAAGGCGCTTCTTCGTGCCGCCGCCTCCCACCAACGCCTGGCTCAGTTCCACCCGAGACACGCGCGCACGCTTGGCAAGAAGATTGAGGCCAGCTTTGCCGAGACGCGCAACCCGATCATGTCGCGAATGGAGCTTCAGCAGGTGGCGCAGTCTGTCAGTCCCGTGTTTGCCGAGCAATCTTGGGCTGTGCTCGATCGCGCACTCGAATTCCTTGCTTCCCAAGGACAGTGCTTGCCCCTTGGAGACGGCGAGGTCCTTGTCGACATGCTCGCCTTGAGCGCCATGTCCGAACTCGTCCTGTCGCGTCGATCCGGCTTCCTCGACCTGACAGACGCTCATGGCCGGCTGGACCACCAGATCTTCTACAAGATCCTTCGCGACGGCTGCATTTGCGCAGTGACGGAGAATTGCGGCAAGAATAACAAGGGTCGCTGCGATTGCGCCTCGAATTGCAAGTGCAAAATTCGCGTTCCTGCGTCCCAGCACGGCTCAATTCTGCCAGTGCTCCGTGCCATGCATCTCATCGCACCTGCTGACAGCCGGTCTGACTATGTGCCTGCGCTACTGCCGGAGGGCGCACCGCAAGAGACGGACTGGCCCGCCGTGGTGAGTGCGACGCAATCCCGCTTGGTCTGTGCGCATCGTCTGCAGCTCCCATTCATGCCTGCGGCACTGGCAAGTCAGTTGTTTGCCCGACTGATTGCTCACAACGGAAGCCAGGGCGTTGTTGCGGCCTTCCGGTCTTGCCTGGTTTTACGCCGCAACTCCGAGACAGCGGAACACCTCGTACGCGTCGATGTCGATGCCGCGGCTGCTACGGTGACGTTTGCCGTGCGAGCGGCGGTGGTTGCTGACGCTGCTGCCGACAGCCCGCTGGCCGAGCAGCATTCCCAGATGCAAGCCCTGCTGAACGCTGTCATCTCGGAGGTGTGGGGCGTCCTGTCGGCATTGTACCCGAATCTGGTCGAGCGCAGCGAGTTTTATGCAATCTGTCCCACATGCGAATCGAGCAGTGTCCGAACGAGTTGCACCTCCAGCTCGATGCTTCGCGCGCTGCCAGCCAATGCTGTTTTGCGCTGCGTGGCCGGACATTCGCACAGCAAGGTACAACAGCAGCAGCAGCAGCAGCAGCAGCAGAGTGTATTCCGGCTCTTGTGATGAGTGGTGGTTGTTTCTTACTTTTTGATTGTCATTTGTTTTTGGTACCGTCAGGACCTGTGGCTCTGGGGCGCAATGCCGCCGAATTGAAGCAAGCTGTTTTTTGTTTGGTTGCGCAATGTTAGATTTGATTTGATTGTGTTTTCGGCTGTTGACTGCGTTGTTTGCCCATGTCTATACAAGAGAATTTTCACCATGAGTTTTCGAGGTCTGACTGAGTGTTGGAGGGGCACCGGTCTAGGACCTAAGCTGGACTTTGACGAATGTTTCACTTGTACTTTGCTTTGCGTTGGCTTTTCACTTTTCACTGGCATTGCGTTTTTTTCGTTTGTTTTGACCCCGTCGATTTCTTTCCTTCCGTCCGCATCTATTTCTCAGCACACTTTAGTTTGTGACTTTGCTCAGCTGTTCATTTCTGATCTTCGCTCTCTCTTCTTTTTTTTTGTTGTGATTTTTTTCTTCTTTTCTCTACCCGAGTTCACAATCCTGAATATAGCAGGTAATGCTTTTGTACCTTCACCACCACCCGTTTCGTATCTTTCGCTGCGTTTCCCCTCTTTTTTATTTTTTCGTTTCAGTTTTTCGATTTTTTTTTTTTTTCTGCTTTACCACGCGACGCTCCCTTCTCGCCTCCCGCCCGCCCCTCGTCTCCGCTCCAACTCCCTCCTTCATGACTTCCTACTACTCCTTGGCAACCTCCCTCCTCACTGGCAGTCCCCATCGCTTCCCTTCTCGCCCCGTGCTGACGTCGCTTTCCTCCCGTGGGCCCAAAAAGTGTTTTGTGGCGGTTTTTTTTTTTTTTTTTCGTTTTGTCTGTTCATGTGTTTTTCCTTTGCTCTCTTTCTCCCCTCCGCTCTCGTGGCTTACCTCGCCGCGTGCTGCGTCTCTCGATGGAACGACTCCTTCCTGCCACTATTCCTACCCCACCTCGCTTCTGGCGCCGACTCCCTGCCGCCACCGCTCGCTCTCGTTTCGTGACTTCATGTTTTTTTCTTTTTTTTTTTCTTTTTTCGATTTCGGCTACACATGTTACATCGACCCCCCCCCCCTCTTCCTTCGTCGCTCGCTGGTTCTCCTTCCCAACGACGCTCTCCCACCTCCCTTCCTGTTCTGCACTCTGCTCTTGTTCCTCTCCATCGCATCCGCTGCATTGTCAAAATCCCGTCGCAACCTCCGCTCCTTCCTTCTCTTATTTCAAGGCACTTTTTTTTTTTTTTTATCCTCCGACGACTCTTTTTTTTTTTTTTTTTTTTTTTTTATTTCTCACGTTCTTCCACGACACGCCACACACACACTCTCTCTCTCTCTCACCATTGTGGCATCACAACCATGCGAATCAGTTGAATCTGTTCCAAAAGAGCACTCGGAGCGGGGGTCTAGTTGTGTCTGGGTCTCGTCTTGTCCTGACCCTGTCTGCTGAGACCTATTGCTGTGTGTTGCTCGAGGTACAACCTGCTGCTTCTGCTTCCCATTCTCGGATGCTCAGTCTGCACTACGAGTAAAAGTCGAGTCGCAGATTCGTTGGATTTTGCAGCGTCAGCGTCGTTGTTGTTGTTGCGGTTGTGCGCAGTTGAAGCCACAACCCCCTACCAACAAAACCGAAGAGACCAGAAGACTCCTTTTTGGGCTTCTGCGCATTTCCACTCTCACTCTGCATTCCAACTCGCTCTGGAGGTGCATTCATACAGCGCGCGTCGCCTTGACTTGTTGCAAGCTCCAGCAGAGAGTGAGAGAGAGCGGTGGCTGAGCGAGAGCGAGAGCGAGATGCGAAACCGCTAAACCCGCTGTCAACTTGCCAATGCAACGCCCTTCCAATCGCGCCTCTCGCTGACTTGCTTTCGCTGTGACACAAACACTTCATCAAGCACGCTGTCCAGCGTGGTGTCAATGTTGAAGCAACGACGAGCGGCAGCGATGGAAGAGAGGCGTGAAATACCAAAAAACCCAACAACAACAACGTTTTTTTGTTTTTGTTTTTTGTTTTTGTTTTTCTCTCTTCTTTTGTTTCTTCTTTTCTTTTTGAGGGTGGTGTCAAGTTTCTGGATTATCACGACTTTTACCCACATGGCATTGAGATTGGCCACGAGGTCCACTCTGCCATCCGAGCACACCTCACTCGCTGTCTCCACCCATGAATTGCGCACTTGCTCTCTTTGATGGGCAAGGCATTCTATGCAGCAACCCACAAAAAAACTGTTTCACTGGAATGGTTTTTTGCATGACACTCACTCATCGCAACAACAACACAGCTGATGTCCTTTGTTGATACCACTGTGCCATGACTTGCTGGTCTGCTGCGTTGTAGTGCGCCGAGGGTGCAGTGCTCTGTGTGTGTCTGCGACGGTTGTTGCGGTTCAAACGTTTATCTTTCTACCAAACACGGCAACTCACAGAAAACTCAACAACAACAACAAGAAGCAACCCGAAAACTTCTCACACAAACATCATCACGACAAGCAACGATTCAAGTCAACTCACTTTGGTTTTTGTTTGGCGTTTGAACTTGTTTAGACTTTCTAATCTTGGACAGCTCGCTCGTCACTTGTACCCCCTCCTGTTCTCAAGCAACAACTACAACAACTTCAACGAACAAAAAAAAAAGCCCTACCAAGTGATCATCTCCGTTTCCATATGACTGCCATCGCCAATAGAGACGACATCCCGTCTGGCGGAGCCCTGGACGACCTGGGCGATCTCGATCACCTCCATCGTGCAGACCACCTGCCGGACGACTTTCTAGACGCGGCTTTTGAAGAATTCTCGGCCTATTCATCCTCCTTTTCAGTGTCGGCCGCACCGTCGGCCACAGCTTCGCCGTATTGCTCGCCCGCCCCACCACCCCAGCCAAAACGTAACCTCGCTCTTTCACGGACGCACCAATCACGGCCATTAACCCATTCTGCTTCTGCTGCTGCTGCTGCTACTGCATCGGCCAATGCGCAACGTCCTCCACCAATAGGCGACCCTGCAACCCCAAAACATGCCGCAATCACCTCGTCAAGCACAACCAGTGAAGGCCAAACAGCAGACCACCACCACAATTCCTCGCCGCACGGCGTCGCCATGCTGGCCGCGCTGGACGATGCTCTGAGCCAAGACGCTCACGCGTCCGAGCTAGCGTCCGCGGCGCTGGCGGCGGCCGATGCAGGCGATCATGTGCTCTTGACTGCGGCGCAGCTGGACGCCTTCTCGCACCATCCGGAAGACCACACCTTGCCTGTTGATGACACGGCCTTGCGAAGCATCAGTGCTGGCATGGACGCGCTTGCCAACCTGCCCGACGATCCTGCGGCCGCAGCAATCCAAGCATGGGAGTCGCACGCCGATCTCTTTGATCCTCAGCTTCTCGACTCGCACGACGACGCTCTCTGGGCGGGCCTGTTGCTCAACGACGACATGTCCGACCACATGCACCTCGGATCGGTCGCGCATCTCGATGGCGCGAACGCCGAGGCAGCTGCCGCCGCTGCCGCCATGGACCTGTCCGACGACCTCGCGTTCATGCAGCACCACGACTCTGAAGCCCACCTGTCGGGTGCTCTGGCAGCCTTGGCCAACAGCGACCCAAGCAATCAACAGCACCACCACCACCAGGCGTACTCGTCGCCCGCTCAGCCTTCGGGTCTCGTGCTGACCTTGAAGACCAAAAAGCAGCACTCCAAATCCACCCCCAGCACCCCGGTCACCACCCCGACGCGAAAGTCCACCCGCCTCACCCGCATCACAGCGCCGACGGCTTCGCCCAGCAAGGCCCAGCGAAAACGCGACGCCGCTGCTGCCGCCGCTCTTGCCCGAGCCAACACCCTCTCTGGCAGTGTCGGCGACGACGACATGGACGAGGACGTCGAGGAGCTTGAGGGCTTTGAAGACACGGAGACTCGCCTGACCAAGGTTGAACCGGCGCTCGCCCAAGCCCAAGCCTTGCGCGCACAACAGCAATCGTTCGGCTCGTACTCTGCCGCCGGCACGCCACTGGCCTCGCCTAGTATGGCGCATCGCGGCGGCGCAGCGACGGCAGCGCATCTCGGCGTGCCACTTGCTCCTCAGTTTGGCTCCTCGTTCGGGACGCCCCAGCGACCCAGCAGGCCCGCTCACGACGAGGATGACGAGGACGAGGAGATTGACGTCGTTGGCGACGAGTCTGACGATGACACGGCCGCGCAGCTCCCGCAACGGCGCCCTGCCGACTCTGCTGCGAACGGACGAGGACCGGTGCGATCCAATCTGGTCATTCCGCAGCCTGCTTTTGCCTCGCCTGCTGCGCCCATTTTTGCACAAGCCGCGTCTTCGTATGCCGCTGCTGCATCGACCGGGCTCACTCCGCGCATTGGTACCATGAACTTGTTAAACTTCCCGACCCGCACCCAGTCGGCACCGTCGTCGCCATTGCAACGGCCGAGCGCTGTTGCCACCGCTGCTCGCAAACGCAAGAACGAACTCGTCACCCCTTCCCAGCTCGACATGGTCTTGCTCTCACCCACCAAGCGCGCACGAAGCGTCGAAAACGTGGCAGCGGCCGCCGCCGCAGCTGCAGCAGCAGCCGCCACAACCGCAGCAGCCGCAGCCATTGCTGCCGGCGGCATGAGCACTCCCGGCACGCCCAACCCGCGCTCTGGCTTTATGACTTCGGCGACCATGTCGCCCATGTCCACCGCGCCATCGTCGCTCAACCCCAGCCCTTCCACGTCCCCAGTTCCCTTCAACGAGGACGACGGAGCCATGGAAGGCGACGCTACAGACTCTGTAGCCAAGCGACGATTCCACAATGTTCTCGAGCGCAGGCGCCGAGACGACCTCAACAAGTCGTTCATTATGCTCCAAAAGAAAATCCCAGAGCTGGTCGACACGTCTGCGGCCGCCAAGGTCCACATTTTGCGCAAGGCTGCCGAGTACATTCGGTCGCTGTGTGACCGCGAGGTCGAGCTCGAAGCCGCCAAGGCTCGTGCTCTCCGCGAGCATGACGAGCTTGTTGCCCGCTTGCAAGCGCTCCGTGGTAGCCGATGAAACCAGCAGGATGCCACTCTTTGTTTCGTTTGAAGCATTCATTTCGCGCCTCCGGTCGTCCACACCCACTACATGTTGTGTTTGTTTTTGAACAATGTTACTTTTAAGCTATTTTTTTTTTCCTCTTGTCTTTTTTGTTTCTCCCCTCTCGCTTTGACTTCGCACAGTGTAATTGCGGATGTATGAAAAGAGTACGATTTCACATTTATTGTACATTTCCAATTCATAGAAGCTTTCTTCAGTGTTTCAGCCTAGTTTTGCATCAGCCTTCGTTCTAATGGACAAATCAGCCTCGATGACAGACAGTCTCAGTGTGTTCAGTCATGTTTTCTCAGCCTCCGTCCAACCCCTTAAACAGCGAGATGTCTGAGCCGCCGCCGCAGCTGGGCGACAATGACGACCCAGCTCGCCAGGGTCGATCTCCAGTGTCTTCTGGCCTAGGATCGCCAATGCCTTCTGCAGCCGCTCGCGGTGGTGACGAGTGGATGATCCAAACCGCACCCACACCCACATCACCGCTCTCAGACGACGCGAGCGACGCCACTGCGCACGACGACCCGTCTCACCCTGCTCCAGGCGATGCTAATGCCATCCCAGTGACAGTGACGACACTGTCAGCGTCATCGTCATCGTCGTCCGCCCGGCTTGCTCGTGACGCGAGTGTCGATTCGACGTCGGGCTCTCAGTTTGCATCGCCGGCAACCAGTCCGACGAGCCAGCCGGACGCCTCTCCCACGGATGCTCATCATCAGCAGCATCATCATCACAGTGCTCGCAGTGCTGCTCTTGCGGATGTTCTCGTCGTCCCGCCCCAGTCCCAGTCGCGCTCTGCTGCCGCATCCACTGCCACCGCAGCGTCCATCCTGCGCTCCAAGCCAGCGTCGCCCAGACAGACCACGCCGCTGCTCACTGCTGCCTCAGCCATCGTCGACGCCGTTGTCAGCGCCTTCTCGCTGAGCAGCAGCAGCAGCATCAACAGCAGCACGACGCCCGAGGTCAATCCGCTGCTGCGCGCGACTGGCTCACCGCGCGTCATTGGCTCAGCATCGCCAGTCCAGTCGCCGTCGTCCAATGCTGCCGCGACCCCGCGCTCGGTGAGCGTCTTTGCGTCGCCCGTGCTGTCGCCGGCGTCGGTGGGCAAGGACGACGATACGTCCGTCCCGACACCGCCGATTGAGGCGACGTGGATTTGCGACCGGTACCAAAACCACCCGTTGACAGACATATGCCAGCGATGCGACTACTCGGAAGAGGCACACGCCATCTGCGGCCATTTCATCGACTCTGGCGGCCTGGTCGCTGGATCGTGTGCGGTTTGTGGGCGCCACGAATTCGACCACCGAGCATGCACGTCGTACGAGGCCGAAACCGAGCGTCAGCGGAGCGCGTTGAAAGCATCGCTGCCCAGTCTGCAAGAGCGGCATCAGCAGGATGTGCTGCAAAAGCAGCAAGAGTTTCGAGCCGTGTCCAACGCGCGCAAGAGTTTTGCCCGCCAGAACGCCGCGTCGCCCACCTCGCAAACCGACGAATCCGGTCGCCTCTACCGCGTGAACAGCGAGGGCAGCGATATCGACGACTATCCGAGAGAGGCGAGCAGCAACCCTGATTCAACAAGTCAGCCGTCACAGAGCCAAATCCTGAGCGCATCCAATCTCGGCACCGAGCGCGGCTCTTCCGCACATGTTCATCACAAAGAACAAGCGAAGGAGGCCAGCGACGAGGACGATGATGAACGAGATGATAAAGACGAGGAAAACGAAGACGACGAGGAAGAAGCGGAGGACGAAGACGAGGAATCCCTTGAAAGCGACGATGCCAGCAGCCGCAGCAGCAGCAGCAGCGGCAGCGAAGACGACGGGGCAGAGAGGGTCTGTGCACACTGCGGTCGCCACGAAGAAGACCACCAGGACGCATGCGACCACTTTGATCCCCAGATTGATGGTCTGGCACAAAACTCTTCCTCGGCGTTTCTCAACTTTCTCCGACAAAAGCCCTCGATGCGGTCGTCGACGGCTGCTGCCGTGTTTCTTCCAGCACTAGTGGTGTGCTCCAATTGCCGCCGTCCTGAAATTGATCACGAGCTGTGCGAGTTCTTTGAGGACGCTCAGGCGTTGCCTGGTTTCTGCGACAACTGCGGCCGACAAGAGTCCGATCATGATCTCTGCGGCCGTTACACCATCCATGAGTCTGACACCAATCGCTGCGACACTTGTGGTCGACTCAAAGAGGACCACGAGGCTTGCGACCGATACAGCCCGGACGCGAACGGACAGTGCGCAAACTGCGGCAAGGCGTTCCACGACCATGCCTGGGCCCATTACATGCGCAAAGAGCTGTCGCAACGTAAGCGACCATAATGTGATGTGTGCTGTTGTTCGATGGAGCCTTCTTCTTTTTGCTGTTTGTTCATTTTTGATGGGTTTTTTTTTTTTTTTTTTTTTGCGCAGCGAAATACCGTTACGGATCCTTCGCCGATGTTCACACCGCCACGCGAACCAAATGGCTGGTTGATGGGCACGACATTTTCGAAGCGCTCTACCACTCATTAACGCAAGCTCGGAAGGAAATATTTATCAGTAGGTTCCACTGTTTGCTCGTACAAAGTTTTGTGTCTTGTATTTCTCAATCTCTTCGGACGCCGACACTGTCTGCTTGGTCGGATTCAGCTGGCTGGTTTACCACACCGGAAATCTTTTTAAAGCGCACCAAGGCGCAGGAAGCGTTGCCCAGTCGTCTTGATCGTGTCTTGCTCTCGCGAGCGTCGGCCGGTGTCAAAATTTACATGCTGCTGTGGAACGAGACCAAGCTGGCTTTTCGTCTCAATAGTAGCAATGCCAAGAAGATTCTCGAGTCTCTACATCCGAATATCAAGGTCATCACGCATCCTGGCCCAACAGGACCTCTGAATTGGAGCCACCACGAAAAGACGACCATCATTGATCAGAAAGTTGCCTTTGTTGGTAAGTCAACGTGCCGGGCCGTGTTTCTACTTTTGTCAGCCGCTGATTGACACTTCTCGCGCGGTGAACTGATGATTGTGGTGGTTCTAGGAGGACTGGATTACGCATTTGGCCGTTACGACACACCAGCACACTCCATCACCGATCCTTGCCACATGTTCATGACCTGGCCCGGCAAGGATTACTACAACCCCTCCATCGTTTCTATTGGTAAAATCACACAGAGATGAGAATCTAGTTCTTGTTTGTCAATTCCCGGTTCTTCAAATTCCCCTTTTCTCGATATTCACCTTTCGCAATCTCCTGCAGACAATGTGCATCGTCCATTCGACGACGCTATCGATCGGATGACTCAACCTCGAATGGCCTGGCACGACATTTGTGTTCGAATCGAGGGTGGTGCCGCCAGAGATGTTGCCGTCTCGTTCATCCAGCGATGGTGAGTATCACCCTGCCCCCCTCCGCCCTCTCCCCCTCCCCTCCACCAATTCCTCTTTGTCAACTCACCTTCAACTGTTCACTCGCTTCAGGAACCATCACAAGGAAAATATGGACTGTGGGCCGGACTACATCTGTTTGCTTCCTCGCTCCACCAACTACTACTCGACGGAGAAATCCAACGTGGACTCGTCCAACCAAACCGCTCGGGTATCATCGTCGGCACAGCGTCAGGATGATGCCGCATCCAAGGCATCTCGCACCACTCCATTGAAACCGCTCGATTTGGCCGCGGCGAGTAAACTGCCCATTGTCGCACCTCAGCACTCTCTAAACTCGCCCCAGAGCAACGAAGCCAAGTGGCCAAGCTCAAGCTCGGGTGGGGCTGTGCCACAGGCTGCAACCATTCTGGAAACCGCTTCTGGCATGGTCGTCGACCGCCAAGGATCCATCTCGCCGACGCCCATCAGGTCTGCGTCGTCTGATGCGTTGCTGACACAAGTCCCAACAAGCGCACGAGCTTCTCTTTCGCCGAGCTCGGCCGCACCTCGTCTTCCCCGACACTCAGTGGGCTCCTCCACACCAATCTCTGCTCCTGTGGCTCCTGTCACTCTGTCAGAGTCTGCGAGTTTGCTCAAAACGCACCTCTCCAACTCGAGCTCGGCCTCGAATCACCCAACAGCCGCTTCACCAGACTACTGCTGGACCGAATGCCAAATTCTGCGATCGATTAGTCATTGGTCGGGAAGCTTGGTGACGGAGGATTCGATTCAACAGGCGTACCTTGTGCACATTGCCAATGCGCAGCACTATATCTACATGGGTAGGCACCTCTTGTCAGCAAGATTTGCTTGCCTTTGCTGCTGACTCAATGGCTGTTCTCGTATGGTTGCTGTCCTTGCGTTTTTCTTTTGTTTTCGTTTCTTTGCTTTGACCCTCACAGAAAACCAGTACTTTGTGTCCTCTGCGGGAACAGCGCCAAAGGAAGGTACTCGGAATATGATTGCGAATGCGATCGTCACGCGCATTTCCAAGGCCATCCGGGAAAAGGAAACCTTCCGCGTGATTGTTGTCTTGCCTGTCACTCCAGAGGGTTCCTTTGTGGACGAAGTCACCGTGAGGTACACCATGTACCTTCAGTACAAGACCATCTATCGCGGATCTCAATCGATGCTGGGTCAACTCGCGGCCGAGTTTCCGGATGTCGATCTTTCGCGCTACATTGGCTTTTTCGCGCTTCGTCAGCATGGCGTTCTCGAAGGTCGAAGGGTCACTGAGCAAATATACATGCACGCGAAAACAATGATTGTTGACGATGTAGTCACCATTGTCGGTTCTGCGAACATTAACGATCGCAGTCTGCTTGGTAAGTTTGATTGCGCGGAACTTTGGGAAAAAAAACCATGTTTCCACTGACTTTCTGCGTTGCGTGCAATTCGTTTTATGCTCGTCATTCTGCACTCGACTTTAGGGGACCGTGATTCCGAAATGTGTCTCATCACACGCGACTTGTACTTTGTGGACGGAACCATGAATGGAAAGCCCCATCGCGCAGGCCTGCACGCGTATTCGCTTCGCTGTCGCCTGTGGCGCGAGCACCTGGGACTGGCTGATGCCGACCTGCGCATTCTCGATCCCGTTGCTGATTCGACGTACGTTGATTTGTGGCTGAGAACGGCTCACACCAACACCGCCTTGTTTGAGCGACTCTTCCCGTACATTCCGAGCGACAAGATTCCAACCCTGAAGGCACTTGAGGCAATCAATGCAAAGTACAACGCGTCTGCTGCCGCTGCTGCGAGCACGGCTCTTGTTTCTGCCTTCACATCGACTCCACCAAACACGACATCCACCGCCGTCAGCTCAGAGTCGGGGTGGTCGCACAGTTTCAGCTGGCATCACACGCGCGTCGCCACCACACACCTCTCCAATATGGTTTCGCTCGCGATTCACGGCTCTGCCACCCAGCCAATCGCACCGAGCAACGTGGCGAGTGCGCCAATGTCGTCCACCTCGGTGCTCTCCGCCCTTGCCAACCATCCGTCATCGCCGCACTCGTCATCGGCAAACCGTTCAGCCCCGACGCTGGCCCGCGCACCCACCGTCCCATCGTCTCCACTGCTAATGGCCATATCTGCTGCGGCGGACGAGCTCGGTGCGCTCTCCGACGACGACGTTGCTCGGCAAATTACCGGCCATCTTGTTCTGTATCCCATGCGTTTCCTGCACGAGTCCCTGAACCTGTCTTTGCTGGACTGGGGTGCCAACATTGTTGTGCAGGACGTTGTGTTCCAGTGAGCTGCTGCTATGGAGTTGATGTCCAAAATACAGTGTCTCAATGCCCACCCAACAACCGTTCAACGATGACTTCCCGACGAACAGTGCGTGTGGCTCGTTTGTAGTTGGCTCAAACCCCTTTTCGCCCACTGAATCCTCATACCCCGTCCCCTCCCCTCTCACTCACTCACAAACTTCGCAGATAGTGGTTGTAATGCGAGCGCTATTGGCGCCACGGCCACTGCGGCGATCGACCATGAAGTTATCGTTGCGATCGACCATGAAGTTATCGTTGTTGTTCGAGTTTCAAGGGAACTTTGGGTTTTCTGTCACTTGCACTTTGGGGCTTTCTGTCCTGTACAACTTTTGCTTGTATTTAGGTTTTGTTGACAGCTACTCGAGCATGATCTCGTCCAACTTTTTACAACAGATCGATATCAATGCACAGGGCAAACTGCTGAGTTGCGTCGACCTCAGCTGGCCGTGTCTCGAGCACACGGCCATCCACGCCAAGGTATGTCTGGCGCGGAAACGTCGGGTAAATGTCACTGGGCACCACAAAATAGAGCACCGCGGGACCCTCTTGTTGCGGCATGAGAGAGATTGCGTGCAGAGAGCCTTCCGATTTGACGGGGTGCGATCGGCTGACAGTCATCTGCAGAAAGACATTCGGAGAAATAATGGCGTCGACAGCTGCCAAATTACGATTGGTCGGACTGTAGTAACGGTCGGGGATGCTGAGATCAATCTCAGTCAACTGGCGGAAATTGATGCAAGTGAGCCGCGGCAACCGCAACTCGTCACTGACGCCTGTTTCAAGATGACGTCTAGGGAATGTGCCACCTGTCTGAAGACAATTGGACGCGTACTCCTCAAAAAGCTGCCCACGGAGCGATGCGTGCTGTGGGCTGTCCGCCGCAGCGCTGAGAAAACGCCGAAGTCGATCTCTCTCCTCGGTCCGGAACTTTTGAAAAACTTGCTCGCTGACCCATTTGGAGGCAAATCTCAGGCGGTCACGCGAATAGGGTAGAATACGCCTGCCGCACTCATCAACAGGCCGGTTGGGATCGAGGGGCAGCACGTCGATATGGAGCACACGATGCAAGATGCCTCACTTGCCAGGTTTTCGACGTCAGAGTTGATGACCTTTTGAAAGACGCATCCAGCAATGGCGTCCTGGAGACGTCCACGACCGCCAAGCTTTGGATGCAGTACCTCACGCGCGATGCCACCCCAGCACAAAAACGCACTTCTGGCGGCCTGCAAGTACGCGTCGGCATCCGGTTCAGCCATGCTTGTTGCAAACCGTTGCAAGTAAGCCTCGATCTCGAGTTCTGACCACACTGGCATGAACAGCACGGAACCGCCGTCCTTTTCAAGCTCCTTGTAAATTGGGCGAAACGGGTTTGCGACGAGCAGAACTTTAGCGGAGCCGTAGCCACTTGGGGAGTGGGCATCTGCAATGAACCAGACTTGTTCGTTGCGGAGAGTATCCTCAAAACCATGGTGGCTGTAAGAAGCAGACCCATCGGCACGCAAAAGATAGCGCGTCGCTCGGCGCTTTCCCGCAGCAGGCTCATAGACAAACGGCAACGAAACATTGTTTTCCCTGTTCTGCCGAAAGATGCGGTACAAAAAGTTAGCCGAGAAGGCTGTTTTGCCGATTCCAAGGTTGCCAGTGACAATCCAGTTCGTCCAAAGCGCGTTTGCAGCGTCGGTGATCACGTTGAAGAGTCCTTCGTAGCTCTCGCGAACCATGAGGACTGAACCAAAATCAGGATCGCCCAGCCAGAACACGTTTGCAGGAAGAAGTAGGAACAGTACGCTGACACTCTCGAGTTCGAGTCGCTGCTCGTTCACCTCGCCACGATGAAGCGCGCGCCAAAACCTGGCGAGCTTGTCGTCCGCTTCCACTGCCAACCCGAGGTCACAAAGTGAGCAAGCAGCGCTGCTCCCAGTCTCGAAACCTCCAAACAGAGAGAACAATACTCACACGGAAGCTCGCCGTGAAGTTGGATCGTAAGCCGCCGATTTTCTTCTACAAGGATACAAGTGCTTGATGATCTGTCATTCGGACGGACAACAACCACGCGCAAACACATTGATAGTGAGGCTCAACACGCGCAAACACATTGATAGTGAGGCTCCATGTGCGACACCAAGAACTGGACAAGGCTGACAAACCTTCACTAGGGCCTGGTCGAGCATTTGCCCTGGCAAGCAAAAGTTGAGTCGTGGGGGCAATAGTTGCCTGCCAGTTCTGCGCTTGATTCGCATACTGCTGTGCCTCTGCGATATTTCCTGCGTTGCGTGTAGCCGTTGCAAGGTCCTCGTAGTGTCGCAGACGGTCTTGGCTGTGCGCCAGTGCTGCGTTCAATCGGGCGATCTCGGCTTCCAGTCCTTCTCGCCCGACCGCGGCCGGCGCCAAGCGAGGGCTCTGGACTTCGCTTCGAGAACGGTCTGGAGCGGAGGGCGAGAGCGGTCGCCGAACAGAAATCTCTTGGCGGTCTTGGCTGTACGACATTCGACAAGAAAGGAAAACAAACAATACAGACTGTTCATCCTAGTTCATGCATTGCATTTTGAACAAACCACGCACTGTTGTCTCTCAGCATGGAAACCTCTCACGAGATAAAGACAACGTAGGAGAAGTGGGCGTTGCGTGACAAACTACGCATCAAAAGTCGTAACGAGCTCCAACCCCTTTCACCCCTCCCCCCTCACATTTAGACCCATTCCTGCCTTGCCCTTGTTCTAGTATATGTCCGAATTAATCTTTAGTCTCAATAGGAACCGTTGCAGGACCTCTTCAACATCAACACCAAGTTCCAAGGCTTCAAAAAAATACGTGGCCCTGCGACTGCTCCTATTGAGACTAAAACTAATGTGAGCACACTGGAGCAAGGAGAGGTCGGGAAAAGGTCAAAAAAGTGAGAGGGAGGGGCAATGAGGATTCAGTGGGCGAAAACTCGTCCTTGTGGATGGTGAATCCTTCTTGTAATTCGCTTCTCACCATCTGAGACAACGGTGCAGTCTTCATTGTTTTTTTTTTCTTTTCCCATATCACTTTTATTTTACACTCGTCTGATTTGCTCAGATTTTCTCCAACCATTTGCGTCATTCGCTCAGCTCCCGGATTGCCAGGCCCTTGTCTGACATGAGCAGCGACGCGAGCGCGGGTCCCGCTGCAGGCGCCACTCTCGGCCCCAGCGCATCCATCCACATTGCTGCTGTGCATCCAAGACAGACTACTGCTGCGAAGGCCGAGCCAGAGCGACTGCAGCAGTCGAAGCGCGACGGCGCGGATCCATCGCATCGGGTTCCAGCCACCACGCCGCTGTCCGCTCACCAGCACGAGCATGAGCAGCAGCATGGTCAACAGCAGCACCAGCAGCGTCGCATTGGGATTGTCCACTCGCTGGCTGCAGGTGCCATTGCAGGGTAATCCAACAAAGACACCAGCGGACCGCCCCTTTGCACAGGATGGACTGCCGACACCAACTCCACTTCCAATACACAGTCTGCAAGCTCACTTTGCCTGTGTTGGTTTGCTTCTTCTTTCTGGCAGAGCCGTTGCAAAGACGGCGATTGCGCCGCTGGATCGCGTCAAGATCATGTTCCAAGTCACTCCGAACAAGCATTACCATTTGAGTGTAAGTGTCTCAGTCGAGCTCTGAGAACGGGTCTGAGAACGGGTCGGAGAGCTTGTGTGCAAATCCAAGCACAAAACAGCTCACCATCTCAACCTGTTCATCTAAATGACAGGTCGCACTCCACACCGTGCTCGAGACATACCGACGAGAAGGTCTCGCCGCATGTTGGAGGGGCAATTCGGCCACCATGCTGCGAATCATGCCATCTGCAGCGCTCCAGTTCATGTCATTCCAGCAGTACAAGCAACTATTATTGAAGCCTGGTGCCTCCGATTTGGATCCCGGGCGCCGATTTCTCACCGGATCCCTGGCTGGTTGCACGGCCACAATGTTTACCTATCCACTAGACCTGATGAGGGTAACAGTGATTTTTGTCGTTTAACAGATGGGGGCAAGGTTGCAAGAAACTGACAGATTTTGTTGTTTATTGTGTTGATTGTTTCGTTTTCCTTCGAAGGCTCGCCTCGCTATTCAATCCTTGGGCAACCAAAAATATTCAAGCATGCGAAATGCATTTGCAACTGTGTGGCGGACAGAGGGTCTCTTTGCTTTCTGGCATGGCGCGAGCGCCGCACTTGTTGGTTAGTATTTTGTTTGTTTGCTTTTGGTTTGGTCCAGGAATAATCCCAGGTCGCCCAGAACTCATCAGCTGATCTACTTTTTTTTTCATTCTGACACTCAGGAATCGCACCTTATGCTGGCGTCACCTTTTTCACGTTTGAAACGCTCAAGCTGTACGTTCGCGAGCACCATGCCGCAGCGGCCGAGCGTGCTGGACGCGCCGCCCCTGCTACTGCCGCAACGCCAAGCCCTCGGCAGGTAGACGAGCTGCCAGCTCAGCCCGCCGGACACCGATCTGCCGGCGCATTGCAGGCGAGGCTGCACCAACAGCTCAAGGAAACCAACGCCGCCGCGAGCACCCTCACGCACGCCCATGATGAAGTCACCCATCATTACCGCGCACAGGATCATGACCACGACGCACATGTCGCCAAGCTTGGCGACGAGTCCGTCACGGCTGTCGAACGCCTCGTTTGCGGCGCAGTTGCCGGCCTCGTTGGGCAAAGCTCGACCTACCCGCTCGATGTTGTTCGACGAAGAATGCAGACCGACGGCTTCTTTCACGCGCCAGACCAGAGGCGGTACCACTCTGTGCCATCTGCACTGGTGAAGATTGCGCGAGAAGAGGGCATCCGTGCCCTGTATCGCGGCTTGAGCATGAACTTTATCAAGGGGCCGATCGCAGCCTCAGTCAGCTTTACCATCTTTGACCTGCTCTCGCGTTATTTGAATGACGTGTTCCCATCGTCCACGACCCGCCATGCCCCTGTTGCACTCTAACCATGCTGATCGATGCCGTGTTGGAAGTTCAGCGCACGAGCAAATGCAACAAAATCCAACAAAGACAATACATTTGTATCATTGTATTTTTTTTCGTTAATGTTCAAACAACCTCGGAAACCAAAACATGCACACGCCAAAAAAACACCCACACTAAAACGTCACGACATAGGAATACAGCTCCATTGGACTCAAGACAACAGGAGAGGTACGAGCAACCTGTCCAATTGGGTGCATCAACGTCAGGGTGTGCTGCGTCACATCCTTTGGTTGGGCAAAGGCAAGAAGCGAGTAGGGAGTGATGCTGCCAAGGTCTTGACCACCGCACAGCCCGAAAACGGCATCAGGCTGTCGCAGGGAGCAGTCCCGACCACGGCGCTGCACAATGAGGCCAGCCGCCACTTGATCGCGGTTGGAGAGCGAGCGGAGATTGACCAAATGAACATCGCACGGCAGCGGCGAAGAGAGCGCTGAGTAGGGTGCCCACGATAGACGTGCGGCTTCCTTGGGAGCGAGATGTGCAGCCAAAAACACGATCGGCGGCTCGTTCAACTCTTCGCGGGCCAAATGCGACAAGAGCGAGGGCGCCTCAAAGTAGACGCCCGTGCTTTCGCCACGCGCGTGAGGCGATTCGAAATCCTCCAGCGTCAAGTGGAACAAGAGCTCGTTCTCGTGGTTGTCGTGGATGCCTTGTCCAAGACCGCGTTCGTCGTCCTGCGAGAGTCGGCGATCGAGCATCATCTCAAACGTGCCTTCCTTGAGGCTGGCGCAGCCCAATGCCTGGCGCGAGTGAACAGAGAAGCGAATGCTCTCGTCTTCCAAGAAGGCCAGAGACGGCATCGGGTAGTAGTTGCCTTGCAGAGGCAGCTTGCTCTGCGTCTTTCGGCGAATCATCTGGAAGCCGTTGAGGTCGGTGAAAAAGATCGGACCGTTGCGCACGGACGTTGAGAAGCGGACAATCGTCTCCTTGTTGTTGTCTGCAGTGATATCCAGGACGATGCGAGTTTCGATGACAGACCGCTCGACAGCATGAGGGAGGGACGGCGCCAAATAGAGGCGAGCGACACGCGTCAGGCGACCTGTCGGCACGACAACGTGGGCTTCGTGGAGCAGCGGGCCCGTGATTGTGCGAATGCTCGGCCGTTGCTGGCTCACAAAGGAAGCTGCCGGGCCGTTGGGCAGGAACAAGTAGGCGCCGCTTCGGTAGGTCGAGTACTTGAGGTAGTTTTCATTCAACAAGACCTCCTTGCCAGAGTTCTTGTGCACAGCCTTTTGGATCATGCCGTCGGCGGGCTCGATGGTCACGCGCAGTTCAGAGTTTTCCAAAACAATGCCGCTCGAGGGGCCAGAGCTGAGCTGCGTGACCTTGAACGCACCGTGGTCTTGGGTGACCGGATTGGATCCGAGTTGCAGCGCGTTGAAGAGCTGCACAGTCGCTGGCTCGGCACGCGTGCAGCGCGTGTCGTCCGAGGCGACCTCGTGGACAAAGTACGTGGCCAATCCGACAGCGGGGATTTGCGCCTCAAACGCGAGCGAGAAGGTGGATGGCACGATTTCGCCATTCCTGTCAAAGAGCGGTCCAGTCTGAGCGAGCACGGAGGTACCGTCAGAGTCAGTCACGCAGATCGGCGCGTGCGTGCCACGCACACCACCATTGCTCGAGGAGGTGGATGTGGCCACCGTCAGAATGATTGTTTGCGCGCGAGACTGGCCAAGCGAGTTGTACAAGACGACGGCGCGTGCATTGGCATTCCTTGTGGGTTCTGCCGCACCGGCGCTCCAGCTGGCGCTGGCTGGGCGTGTTTTGAGCACCTCTTGGGTCGGGAGTGCGTTGTGGACGGCCGCTGACTCTCCGAGATGCAACACAAGGTGGTCGTTCGCCTGGTTGGACAGGGCTGCATCGTTGAGAGATCGGCGGGGACCTGACGCCAGGAGTGCCGCAGCAGCGTGCTTGTCAGTCGCCAGCAAAAACTCGGAAAGGTCGCGCATGAGCGTCTGCATGACACCGATCGACGAGTGCATTCGTGCACCATAGTCGATCACGACTTCATCTTTCGCAGTGCCCGTGACACCATCGTGGTGCTGGTAAAGACCGAGATTGCGACGCGCCGTCACAACGGCCGGATACATGGTCTGCAGGAAGGGCGCAATAGAAACGCCGAGCGTCAGCGCCTCCGCACGTGCCACGGACAGCATGATTTCAGCAGAGCGCAGTGTGTACTCGAGCACGCGGTCGGCGCGCTTGTAGAAGGCGCGCGTCGTAAAGTAGCCCGACCAGTAGTGGTCGTCGCGATCGGCGTAGGTGAAAAAGTCACCCGTCATGGATTGGATGCCGGTCGGCGTGGCATACTGGTGAGGCTGACCGTACGCAGCGAGTGCAAATTCGCTGGGCGGGGCTGCAGAGCCGGCCGTGCCGAGGGATTCGCGAAGAGCGCCAAAGTAGTCACTCAGAGTGCCCCACTGGATGCGGACGTTGTACTTGCTGTCGCCGTTCAGCTCTTTGAAGAGTCGCTCATAGTTTTCGTACTGCGCAAGCGCCTCCTGGTCGCCCTGCCATCGAAAGTCGTCACCGAGCGGGACAAACACGACGTCGGACTTGTAGAGCTGCGCCTTCTTGCGGTACTGGTCGACGAGCATCTGCGCACGTTGCTTCACGTTGCCCGTGGAGATGACTTGCGGCGGAATGTTCCACGGGCAGGAGAATCGCTGACCGGGCAGGCGGGCAAAATCGAACTGGCAGCACACGGCCGGCTCGGGTCCACAGGTGTGGGGAATGTCGTAGCTGTAGAATGGCATCATGTGCGTCAGGATATCAGTGGTGCCCTCCGCATCCCACTCTTGGCGCCACATAAACTCCAAGCCTCGGTTGCGCGCTAGGTACTTTTTCACAGAATAGTGCGTGCGCTGGATGAGCATTGACTCAAAGCCAGTGCGGCGCAAAAAGTACGGCATGGCCGAGGACTGGCCGAACGGGTCGATGGACCAGCCAGACTTTGGAGTGACGCCGAGCGTGGAGGCGAGCCACTCGTGGCCTTCGATCAGCTGGTCGATCATGGCATAGTAATACGCGTTTGCTTCGTCACTCATGACCCAGCCGCCAGTGACGATTTCCAGTTGTCCGTTGTCGACCAGTCTGTGTCAAAGTGAGGTTGTGAAAAAAAAAAGCAAAGACAAATTGTTCGGCAAGGGGGGGCGGGTTGTTTGATTGAGATAAGTCAAAGAAAAAGAGCAATAATGACGATTGATAAAACAGCAGAGCATGTCACTGACCGGCGTGTCAACTCTCGGCGATCAGAAGTCTGCTCGTCCCACCATCGTTGCAAGTACGACATTTCCGCCCAGATGAACTTTCGCTTTGAGTTCTGCCGAGTCGACAAACCGATTGTGAGTTGCGCAACTTGGTCGGCTGTGACATGATTCAGGACAACTGCTCTACCTGCGACAGCATGTTCACGACAGTATCCAGGATGGACTTTGTTTGCTGAGAGTAGTAGGCATCGAACGTTTTAATCCAACCGGGGTCATTGTGCGAGTGAGGAACGACGTAAATGTCCAGCTTGCGGGTCTGGACTTCCGAAGCAGCATACTGCACATCCCAGCCTAGAAGAAATGGCGTTCGGAATGACGGGATCAAGAATCGATGGATGAGTATGAGTCAGAAATTCACTGACGCGAAAGATGACAACAGATCATCCAGTACCTTGCTTCCAAACACCGCCGTCGAGATTGTCAAATGGCATGGACTCGATGAAGTCTCGCATCTCATGGTCTGCTGTGGAGGGCGCGATAAACGCACAGCCATCTAGCGGTTGGAAGAGCAAAGCAAAAACAAACAAACAAAAACCAACCAGAAATTGGGAACACACAAGCAAGCTGCAACAAGTTGCGTAGACTCATCGCCAGTGTTGCGTACCATTTGAAACGGATTGCATTGGCTTGTGAGCGATGATTGGTTTTCTGAGCAGTTCAGGCTCGGGTTGTCGGAGCTCTTCGTGCTCTTCTTCCTGCAGGACTGGCTGGCGCTTCACCGGGACTGGTGGTTGGTTTGCATTTGCGCGGTTGACTTCCACTTGTCTCTGTCCACCAAGGTGCATGGTCATCGATCGCAATGCCATTTGTTTGGGTGCGTCAGCAACTTTGTGTTTCATCTTGATCTCAAGCAATACGAGTGGGAACTTACCAAGTGGTTTCTTGTCATTGGTTTCCTCTCGTGCGGCACTCGCGCCTGCGATTTCGTCGTCGATTGTATGTTTGTCATTATTCAATGCAGAGACATGTCCATGTGAGTCTTCCAACGTCGACTGAATCAAGGTTGATCTGCAAGCAAATCTGCTCATAAATTTGGACGTGATTGTTCCCATCATCAACCCTCCCCCCATCAAAATCAATCATGAGCAATTCGTGTCTATTTGAATTCGAGGGGCATGGTCATAGTATGGTCGTGGTATGGGGGTAGTACGGGTACCACACCGCTGCTTCTTTCAAATGCTTTGGAAGTTGGAGATCTCCAATGGGTTTCAGCGGCCAACTCGCCTGCTGCCCGTCTCACTCACTCCGGCAACAACAACAGCGAGTGTCACTTCAGACTCAAATGGTACCACTGTCGCGTATGCCCAGCTGGTGGCTGTGGAGAGTGAGTCAAGTGTGCTGTCGTTTGGCTTTGGCGTTTGGCTTTGGCTTGCCTGCTTGTCGGCTGGCGCTGGGACGGCGTCCGGGAGAGCGCCGCGGGGACCAGTCTCGGCGTCATCGCGCAGTGATGGCAGCGTGAACGACGCGACTGCAATGAGCGCGAGCGCGAGCAGGAAGATGGCAACGCGCGACCGCGACCCCCGTCCGCACACTCGCATCGTAACACAGAGAAAAAGACTGAGAGAGTCAGTGACTGGCTGGCTGAGATCAAACGAGTGATGTCAAATGTCATCGGAATCGAACATTGGCTACCATCCGAATGGACTGGACGGAGCATCGCAGTTGCAGCGGTTTGCATTGAATTGGATTGAATTTGGCAGAGATTTGAGCCCAGCGATTCGCCGGTTACGCTGCACAATCATCGAGTTCTGTGGATACGAGGTTGCATTGCTATGCATTGATGTATCATGATCTGCCATTGCATGATAATATGAATGGTAACCTCAGTCTCTCTTTCGCCTTCTTCGTATTTCTCATTCTCAGTCAAATTCAACCATGATGACCTACGCTTCCAAGGCGGTTGTGAAGGAAGTCGAAGACGTGTGCGCACGTCAAGAGACGACCCTCGACCTGCTCGACCGCGGCATCACCGGCATCTCTGAGTTTCCATTCAGTAAAGCTCGAAATGCACATCTATTGAGGCCGTCGGAGCCGCAACCCTACAAAAACTTTGCAGTCCCGTTCTAAACGCAGACTGTGACACTGAGTTATCAGTTGGAAGCCAGTGGGGTTGGGGGTGGGGTAGGAGGGGTTGGTGAAGGAAGGAAGGCGGAACGGGTTGAAGTTGCCAATCATGGAACTGTAGGATTTCATACCCTGCGCTCCTCATTTTCAGTATCCGAATTTCGCTTTTCTTGTCGTTTTTTCCCTTACTGAAATCCGTCCGTTTTTTTTCTTTCTCTCCTTTCCTTTCCAACTCACTTCACAGGTCGCCTGTCGATGCTCACCCGCGTCAACTTTGCCAACAACAAGCTCACTGGTACGTTGTTTCTTGCATCTCGTCTTTGCTGCTGTTGCTGCTGCTGTGGTTTGGACTTGGATCTGGCCCTGGCTGCCAATTCAAGCAGGTTCCCAATCTTCATCCTCCCCACTCTCTCTCACTCTGCCACTTCGTCATGCCCATGCACATCCCACTTGCTGAATTAAACGCTCCCCGAGCAGAAGTCCCGGCGTCGATCGACTCGCTGCGCAATCTCGAGTTCCTGAACCTGTTCAACAACAGCATTTCAGTGCTGCCAACATCCCTCAACTCGCTCACAAAACTGTCCTACCTCAACGTAGCGTAAGTCTAAGCAACAATAGCAGTCATTATTGTTAATATTCAGTGTCATCCAGTCAAAAATGCTCCAGCTATGGAACAGTTTTTTTGTTCTTTGTTCTCTTCGGCGTTCTCTCACTCTGTTTTTGCCTACTCTGAATCACTCTTGCTTTCGATCATTGAACAATCGCACAATCGACCCCACTTCCAGATGCAACAAGCTGACAGAACTGCCTCGAGGCTTTGGCTCGTGCCCGGCACTCGAAATTTTCGACTGCTCGTCGAACAAGATTACCAAGCTGCCAAACAATATGAATTACATGAGTAAGGAGCTAGGAGGGTTTCTTTTTCTTTTTGCACTGTCAATGTGTACTTGCGAGTTGCACGCGCGCCTCGTGTACCATCCAAACCCCTGTGTTTCATGGGTTTTTTTTCTTGTTTTTTTTTTTTTGCTCAATTCTCACTTCTGATTCCTACTTTAGACTCCATACGCGCACTCTACCTGTCAGACAACGAGATTGAGGAAATCCCCGAGGGTGTTGGCAAGCTGGAGAGTCTTGAGTCGTTTTTTTTTTTTTTTTTTTGTTTTTTTTGTTTTTTTTGTATCTTGCAACTGTTCCCTCACCCTATCTCCATCTTTGACAAACTATTACTGTAGCTCGCCCTGCGCGACAACAAGCTGAAGGAGATTGTCCCTGCGCTGGGCTCGTGTGCCAATCTGCGCGAGCTCTATTTGCAAGGAAACATGCTGCGCGTCTTGCCTGTCGAGTTGGGCAACTGCGACCGACTTGCCGACAAGACGAATGGCATTTTCAAGCTGATTGGCAACCCTCTGATCGAGGAGCTGCTGGATATGTATCTGAAGGGTGTCCCAGCGTTGATTGCCCTGCTCAAGTCGCCTGCCTATGCCACCGTGCTTGAAAACTTCCGGTACGTGCTGGGTGGCTTCTGCTTGGTTGTCGGTTTTGTCCTGTTTGCTTGATGTGTCTCTGCACCAAACTAACTCATTCACATGCGCGTTTTGGCAGCCTTAACCCACCGATTCTGGAAGAAAAGAAGAAGAAGAAATGAAACCCTCTTCTCCAGAGGTCTCTTCGTTTTGGTTGTTATTGCTTGGTGGAGGAGCATGCTGTTGTTATTCGACAAGATGAAAGTAAATGTAGGATTTAGTTTTGTTGTTGTTGTTCGATATAGGCTTCACAAAAAACGTTCACTCGTCCGGCAACATTGTTTTTCTACAATGCCCTCAAAATGTCAGTGTAGTACTGCTCGATCTCGGTGTACAGCTTGTCGAGCACCTTGATGCGGTCGGCGGCCATTTCGAGCTGAACAAGATCGGTCTGCGGATAAAGAACAAAGACAAAGACAAAGTGAGCGTTTGACTCGGCAGCCCGACAACATCACCGAGCACCCTTACGTTGTATTGACGGTGGAGACGCTTCTTGATCATCAAACGGTACTTTTTGTACTGCGCCTCGTCATTGCGGTCAATTTGGTTGAGCTTCAACAGCTCAAAAATGTGACGAATTTGTTTCTGGCAAAATCCAACGCCAAAAAAGTAAGAAAAACAGCACACCAATCACAACCAATTCAAACTTGCCCCCCTGCACACAATTACCTTGTTCAGCTTGAGCTTTTGCTGCGTCTGGGAGACAATATCCTCGGACAGGTCGTCCGGCAGAGATTCATACAGCTCGGGAAGCTCGGACAGGCAATTTCGAGCGTCAATGCGATCGCGAAGAGTGGCAAAGGCGAGACCCGGATCCTCCACCGAAACGTCCCAAACCTCGGCACGACTGCGCGCCACGCGGTAGAACGCTTGGAGCATCTCGCGACCGTGTCCTTGCTTTTGGTACGGGGGCAAAACCAAAACCTGGCTGATGCGTGGCCGGAGACGGTCGGGGTAGGCGAAAAAGTCGTACGTTGTCATGTAGCCAACAAACAAGTGTCGGGTTGGATTGGAGCCATCGGCGCTCACGTTGGCAACTCGTTTGAAGACCAAAAACACCGTCCACTTGTTGTCGTTCAAATCGATGAACGACGCGCCATCGACAAACCACATCAGGAAGGTCTGAATGCGGGTGTGGAACTCTGCCAATCGCTGTGTCGAGCAATCTGCGCGGTACACTTCGAACGTGCTGTCGTCGCCCTCGCGCTGGTAGGATGAGATGAGCTCGCCCATTGGCACGAACGCCGCGTCCTCGCTCAAGCGCTGCTTGAATGTTGCCTCGTCGCGAGCATGGTCTGCCCAGAAGAAGAATGGTTTTCAGAGTGAGGTGAAAACAAGTACGAGTGCGCATGACTTGTTTGAGGCATAGCCTTACTTTCGGGGAGGATGTCGCCGATCAGTTTGACAACATCGTCTGCGCCGGCCTCGCCCTTTCGCTTTACGACCTGTAAATACGAGAGCGAGTCAGCATTCATCTACCTCAATGATGGCCCCTTTTCACGATGCGCACCTTCTCAGAGTACGTCATGGAGAACAGCGGGTGCATTGCGCTGGCAGTGTAAAAGAGCTGTGCATGTCAATGCAAAACGGGGGGTGAGACGATATGCAACACTACTCCAGCATATGCTTGACTTCTTCCTACCTTGATGTTCAGATTGCGATAGCCAAAGATGCGCTCGTTGTCGCCAAACAGCTGGTGGGCAAACTCGGGATGGAAGGTGAGTGCGGGATTGGTCATGTCCCGCTCCGTTTGGACTGTGTGCACATGCCAGTTGGTGTGTCGTTATGATAGGCAGACAGACGTGTTTCAGACGGGGTGAGGTGAGTGACATTGTGCAGCGGGTTGAGCGTGGACATAAGAACAGACAAGTCTCTGCACTACGAACCAAGTTTCAAGTCGATGGACGCGGCGGCATCGACGACAAACTCGAGCTCGCGGCTGGACGATGATGCTGCTGCGGTGGTGGACGAAGAGGCGCCGGCTGACGGCGATACGGCTGCAGGCTGCGCAAACATGGTCGAAGCGAACAGCGAAGAGGAAATAGACTGAAGTCGCGCCAAAATTTTGGCGGGAAACACAATCGCTTTTCTGAACGAACGAGTGCATGGACGTCAACTGTCGATGCAGGGAATTCTATCAGTGAGCTAATTTCTGAATGAATGGTCGTTTGTGCTGGGCTGTCCTTGAGTGAGGGAGCATTGGAAATTCTGTTCAAAAGCCCCACAGACCGCCAAAAGAGCTGAGCGCTGAGCAGTAGATGCATCAAGCAATCCACCACAGAGGGGGGCGATAGATCAGGTTAAATGCATGTATATTGTGCAGTATTGCACTGTATCTGAAGAGGAGAAGGAGGATGCATTTGACCTGCACTTTGCTTCAGAAGCAGTTTCCTGTCCTGCTGGCTCCTCACTGCATTGCCGATCGCATCAACTGTAGAAACAAATAGAATTCCCAATCACCTCCACAATTATTTTCCGATCAAGATTGCCCATCTAAACATCGCATCCCAGTCAGTCCTCTCTCAATGCCATGAACTACCCGACAGAGGCCGAGATTGAAGCCTCGCGCAATCGCATTGAGCAGCAGCGCAGCGCACCGACAAGGCCACTGCGACCACCGCCGCCGCCCCTGCCCCGCATTGACATTCTGCAGCACAATCGCCTCCACGACGAGCAGCAGCAGCGGCAGGAAGAGAGCGGGTGGAGCGAGGCTGGGTTTCGAGCACCGCGCCGTGCCATTGGGTCCCAAAGCGACCTCGACCACTTCCTCTCGTGCTGGCCCGAGACCAGCCCTGGCGAGCCCGATGCTGCGTCAGACCACCATCGCCATGACACTCCTGCAAACCCATCGACGCTCGGCGGTGGCGCGTACGGCCAGCTCGTTGGCTTTGTAACACGGCTCGCGCAGTCCGTCCAGGGCGTCAAGCTCACTGCGCCCTGCCACGAGTCCCAGGTCAGTCCAATTGCTGTCTTTTGTCGATTCAAACTTGTGTGTTTGAGTTGCAGTTCAGCAGTTCGGCAGTTCAGCGTTCGACTTCAGTTCGACTTTTGCTTCAACTTCGTTTTTCCAGAGCTTTTTTTTCTTCAACCATGCGGACGATCTCTGTTTTTTATTTATTTTATTTTATTTGTATTTTATTCCAATGCAAAAAATCTGATCAAAAACTCGGAAAATCTCAGAAAACACAAAAAACTCAATTTTCTGCATTGTTGATTTTTTTTTTTTTGTTTTGTTTTTTGTCTCCTTTCGTTGGAAACAGGTCGCAAAAGGACTGCTGGAATTGCTCGAGACGGTGCACGGATGGGTGGCAGAGATACCGCCTGCAACAGACCACTCGTCGAGGTTTGGCAACCCGGCGTTCCGGCAGTGGATGGATCGACTGGCAGAGCGCGGGGACGCGCTGCTGAACACGCTGATCTTGGTGCATCTGCCTGCGGAGATTGACGAGCCTGCGCGCCAAGCAGTCGTGTCTGAGATTCGCGAGTACCTGCTCAGCTGCTGGGGCGATCGTCAGCGCATCGACTATGGCACTGGCCACGAAACGCACTTTATTGCCTTCCTGTACGTGTGGTGGATCTCTTGCTGTTTCTTTCGTTTCGTTTTGCAGAATCTGGAAACTGGTCTCATTTTGCTCGATGATTTTGCTTTGTAGATTGTGCCTTGAACGGATTGGACTCGTCACTTCGGAAGACTATCAAGCGCTTGTTCTTCGAGTATTCAACCAGTGAGTAGTGTGAAATATGATGGCGATTGCGTGTTTTGTGTTGTCGACGCTCTCGACTCACAAATAACACTTTGCCTCCCGCCTTGCAGATACATCAAGGTCATGCGCGCCTTGCAACTCGCGTACTGGCTTGAACCCGCTGGCTCGCATGGCGTCTGGGGCTTGGATGACTATCACTTCTTGCCGTTCTTGTTTGGCTCCTCCCAGCTGATTGAGCATCGCCACATTAAGCCAAAGTCCATCCTCTACGCCGAAACGTGCGACGCGTTTGCCAAAGAGTACATGTACCTCGCGTGCATCAAGTTTGTGAATGAGGTACGGTCAGAGATGGAGTAGTTTGATTCTCTGTGCTTTTCTGTGTCGCTCACTTTTTTTGTTGTTGCTGCAGGTCAAAACGGAAACGCTCGCGTGGCATTCCCCAATGCTGTACGACATCTCTTCCGTCAAGACGTGGGCCAAAGTGCACGAGGGCATGCTCAAAATGTATCGAAAGGAGGTGTTGGGCAAGCTCCCCATCATGCAGCACTTCCGGTTTGGCTCCCTCATCTACTTTAACGCGTTCGATTTCATCGAGTTTGGAGACGAGCACGCGGACGAGTGTCACGACGATGCACACGGTCACGGCCACAGCCACAGTCACGGACAAGACGTGCAACCCGTCTTCCACGAGCATGCGACTTGCTGCATTAGCCACTTGCCATCCGCTATTGCGGCCAAGGCGCATTCTACTGGCCTGCGATCCATTCCGTTTGATTGAGTTTGGTAAGGCCTCATATCACACGATTATCTCAATCTCTCCCTCCTCAACCCCCGAAAGCCCCTCAATTGCTCCGCTCAGCGCGAATGACTTGCCCTTTTTCCAATGCAATGTCGCGCGCGCGAGCTTCTACCCTCGCCGGAGCCAAATTAAGCCTCCCTGTCACGGAGGGCTCCCTTTTGTCAGCATGCCTCGATGTTCCGCTGAGAACGCTTGTTGAAAGGGCGCAGACATTTTTTTTTTGTTTCTTTTCGTTTTCTCGATCTATTGCATCAGTTCTCACATTGTCTTTGACTTTTTTTTATTTTGCTTTGGTTAGGCTGCAATTTTTTGTTTCTGCTTCCCGCTCCGTTTCGCTTTGTGTTTAATATCCCGAGAATGTACATACTGTATACTCTGTACTCTGTAAATTCACCATACTGTATAATATTATAAAAAATTACGTTGTTTTCAATCGCGAGTGCCCACTGGGCTGGCGCCAGTCCGCGCAATTTGCTTCCACTCTTGCCACACTTCTGGCGGAATGTGCTCAAATCTGCAAATCATGCCGTTGCCGGTAACACACAGGACTTGACTGTCAAACGTGCAAAAGCGAACGGGTCAGATTCGTTTTCGTCGTGAACAGCCAACAGCAGCCCCGCTCAGTCAGTTGGCCTCACCTTGAAACCGCATTAAACGAGCATGCCCGTATTGGATGTCGTACCCGCTTGTGCATCAATTCCGCTAGTAGCAAGCCGTGCACGAGATCAAACACCAATATCCGGCCAAAGTCCGTGCCGACACAGAGAAATTTGCCATCGAGGCTGACATCAATGCTACTTGTTGCGTACATGCCTTGTGGCCAATCCATGCGCGCTAGAATCTGCAGAAACGCATCACACGAGTTCAACTGTTCAGTTGCTCTCGTCGAAAACACAAAGCCACATCTGCATTGGCGGAATGAAAAACCAAACCTGTCCGCTCAAGTCAATCACATTAATGCGTCCGGTCTGTGATTTAACCACAAGCCTGTCATCGTTTAGGAATACGATCGAGTCTATCACACGAGGAGCGGGATGAGCAACGAGCAATCATCTTCGCGACAAAACCTCACTGCCAGCCTTGAAAGCACAACAACCGGCCCTACCGAGAGCACCAAGCACCGCAGTCAAACTCGGCAACTCGGATACCGAGATGGTGACCGTCTCGCCACTGTAGCGATCGAATGCAGGAACGTCTTGCACCATGAGCGAGCCAGACCGCATTCCCCACGCCATCTTGGCTCCGCTCGAACTGAAAGCCTGTGCGAGCATAACAAAACAGTGAGAAAACAAGACAAAAACCACCACGCTCAAATGTGGGCTCGGCAACAGAATTGAAACATACCAAGCAGCAGGCACCGGCTTCGGGAAACACGACTAGCGGCGCGAGATGCGGCTGCGCCACATCCCTAAATTCGATCTGCCCGGAAGAAAGAACAACTCCCACGACCCCTGGCGCGCTTGAGAGCGCACTGATCGCACCGACGCCCACACCTCCATGGTCGATGGCAGCAATCTCGCGAGACTTGGCCACGCTAATGACGTGAGTGACCCCTTCGTGGTCGCCAGCAATCGCGAGGGCGTCGTCGACAGCAGCCACCCAGCAGCAGCACGTCATTACAGCCGTCGAGTTGGCATACTGCGAAACAACGTCCAGATGCGTGCCAGTGTGCTCGTTGTCGTACACGTTCACCTGGTGGCCGCCACTCGTCACAATCAGGTTGGGCACGTAGGCATCCATGCGGTTGAACACCATCCCTGAGAGTGGCCTTCCGTGGCTCTCTTTGATGATTCGTTGCAGCCTGAATTGTCGAAAGAACTGAGCGGCGGCGCAAATCCACTCTGGTCGGCCTTGCAAGTCTGTCAAGATTGGGCAGCCTGTACACACGTCCACAACCAAGTGCAGTGCAATTGTTGTTAGTAGAATTAGCTTTAGATTATAAAACGAATGCCTCGTCGGATTCTCAGCGGTCTGAGCAAGCGTGTGGTCTGAGCAGCAAAGCAACGGCAAACTGACCATAGTCCTCATCGGCGCTGTTCGCCTCGCTCGCATCGACGCCAGAATCGACTCCGGTATCGTCTGGTGTCTCGCCATGCGAGTTGGCTTTCTTGCGGAGGTTGGACAGCCATCGACGAGCGACCGCGTTTGCAGCGACAGTGGGACGATTGCCCGGCAGCGCATTCCCCGACGAGCCCGCTCCCGGCCCGTCCGCATCCAGCGACTGTTGTGCTTGGTGTGCCTGTTGAGGAGGTGGCAGGATTTCGAGCGCGGATCCAGCCGACGCTGCGCTCGCTGCAGCAGCAGTGAAACCGCTCGCCCCACCGCTTGCTCCTGCGCCTGAGCCTGTGACTCCAGGGGCCCCGCCAGCCTCCGGGTTGGCCAGGAAGTCTGCCAGCCGCCGCAGCGACCGTGATGCAGTTGTCAGCTTCTTTGGCTTGCGGACGCGCGGCTTTGGCGCAACGAGCAACGTTGGCTGCGTTTCAGTTGTCGTTGTTCCCGCCACGAATTTCCCGCCAAAATCCGTTGCCATTGCTGTTGAAGGACTGCGAGACATTTGACAGTGGATAAGTGAACTCTGACGTGGATTATGTGTAAAATGTGATGGAATTACAATGCGATTGTCAGAAGCTGAGCAAAAACACAACGATCTTAATCTCATTCTTCATTCAGAGTGGCAGCAACAAAATGCGACCAGGCGCTGGGTCGACGAGCACCATGCGGCGCAGTGGACGACGACAACCACTTGATCATAGACAGTTGCTTGGACTGTCTTTGAGGTGGATGGCTGTGGCGGCGCTGCTGCTGGTCGTGATGCTGGCTGGCGTAGGATTGGAAATGGCTGGCGTGTCAGGTTCATCAGTGTCAAACGCATTAGCGGACCAGTCCGACGAGCTTGCCCAGTGCCGGGCAGCGCTGGTCAAAGCCCACCAGGCAAATACTCGAGATACGCCCGGCGACTCGCGGCGACGAGCTGCCATCGACTCGGATTTGCCATGCAAAGACCGCCAAGTATGTATGCCGCAGCAGGACGAGGACGTGTCAAGCAACAACCATCACGCACTGCATGCCTCGATAGAAGATAAAGTCAAGCGAAAGCAAGTGCAGCTACAAGGACGGAGCGTTGTGCACACGAGCATCCAGCGCCCAGCCGAGCAGCGTCCGGCTGAAATTGTGATTGGAATCATGTCGGCTCGCCACCACTTTGAGCACCGCCAAGCACTCCGAGACACGTGGGTTGGCTATGCGCAACGATCGAGCCATCTTTCGAGTCGGTAGGGAAACATTCTGCGGGGGATTTGAGCGATCGAGTGGTTCAATTCTGTCAGGTCGCTCACCTTACTTGTCTGCTTTCGTGTGATTGGCATGGCAAGAGTTCACATTCGATTTGTGGTTGGCGACGATACGTGTGCCATTCCTGTCGAGCAGCGACAAGATCCGTACGGCTGCGAATGGGCTGCAACGTCTGCACATCCAGGTTTGGCTCGTTGAGATCGAGATGGAGTTTTGTCATTGGTGATTGCTCAAATCTCTCGCATGCATGCGGATGGCATTGCAACTGCTAGATTTGCAGGCAAACATTGTGGCATACACTGTGCCCTCTGGAACAACTGGAAACCACGACTTTAACGGTCCCATTGGCATGGATTTCACCACCAATCACCCTGTCGTGCTCACCCATCTTGGGGTGTTTGACAGTGGCAGTGACGGATTGAAACGGAATTTGACGGCATGTATGTGATGTACTGCACCGCATGGCATGGCAGCGTTCACGCTGTTCGAAGAGGCTGGAACTGACTGAACTTTGTCCGATCGCTTCCCCCAACCTTCCTCCCGTTTCCCACCCCCCCACAATACTCTTTTTTTTCCACACAGCCCTGTACTTGCCTCATCATCGGCAATTGGCCGCAAGAATGACCTTCACGCCAGACGACCCAGGAGAATTGATTGCAGGCTCTCGCTTCAAGCCGCTCAGCACGGCACTCGTGTTGCCAGCGGGATACATATGGTCCATCGTTGCCGAGGGCTACGGTGCCGAGGAACCTGCGCACAACATTGCTGGCCAACACGGCACGCAGAATGATGGGGGTGGGTTGTTGACGTTCATGAAGCAAAGTCGATTTGGCCATCTGCCACTCGAGCTTCCGGACTCTGAAGAAAGTGCACGAGCTGAAAGCAATCAATACGCCGCTGGCACGTTTGTTTACCATGCTGAAGGTAAGCATTGAGAGCCTTAGAGAATGACGCAAATGTTCGGATTGCAACCATTTAACCCGCTGCGTTTTGCTTTTGATCGGTTGATGCGCAGACTCGGTGCGTGCGTTGACGTCTCAACACACCCAAGTGAGCAAGGAGGACCGAGAACAGCTGGAAGCAGCATCGAAGCTTGCAATCGCCGCAGAAACTGCCAAGCTCGTGCAAGAGCACCGGGAGCATGGCGATATGCTGATTCTGCCCAACTTTGTCGACACGTACCGCCGCCTGCCACAAAAGGTGCTGGCGTTCTACACTTGGGTGACAGAGGAGCACCCTCGATCGTCCTTCACGCTGAAAATTGACGACGATTGCTTTGCGAATCTCGACGAGATTTTCGCTGGCATCAGTCGGCTCGAGCTCCGTTCGCAATCCAGCATTTGGTGGAGCCGATTTCGGACTGACTGGCCGGTGGATCGCTGGGGAAAGTGGAAAGAGTCAGAGTACACCTCCCCAGTCTACCCAGCTTTTGCATGCGGAGGAGGCAATGTGCTTTCGATGGACCTGGTCCGCTGGCTCGCAGCCAACCGGCAGTATCTCCACCCCTTCCAAGGCGAGGATGTCTCTGTTGGGATTTGGCTTGCTCCACTCCATCCAACCACAGTTGCAGACTACAACTGGCACGTGCTGCCTGGGCACTGCAACAGATTAATGTACACCATGCCAGAGCTGACGCCCGCGAAAATTCGGCAACAGTGGAGCGACTTCCAAGCTTGTCAAAACCCGTGCGGCTGCATTCGCTCAGAGGCACTCGCTCCACAGCATGTACTAGAGCAGGCAATGGGTGGTGGCGGTCTCGATGCCGACAACCAGCCGATTCTTCCAATTGTGCAGCTGATCCCTTCTGAAGGTCCTCGCGCACCATTGATTCCCAATCACCATCGCGATGAGCATGGTGACCACGATGACTTGTAATAACTTTTATGCACATTGCTTGGAATTTATCACTCTACATCCAATCGAAAATTCTAATTTGTAGCAAAAAAATTACAAAACGCCCTTCATCACAACCGCTCACGATCGGGATCTTGGAACCAAAACATGATGATACGCGCAGTGAGCAGCTCAAACCACAGCATGGCCAGGTCAAACTGGTGGGAAATGCTCCGCTGAATGCGTGCGGCCAAATGCCGACGGATTGGTTGCGGACGACCGTCGAGCCCAATCGGCCCGTCGTAGTACAGGCCAACCATACCGGAGCGCGCGAGAATGCTAAAGCGCTCCAGAGACGAGCCTCCGAGGTCCTGGTTGATGGAGCGAACCAGGTTGTTGGTGCGCATCACCAGCAGCATGTCGCGGGGTAGGGTTTCGAAAAACTCAACCACGTTGGTAAAGGTCAGTCCGCTGAGCTTTTGTCGAAGCTCGCGGCGCTCATCTGCACTCATGGATTGGCCGACGACGCCCTTGCTTGACCAGGCACGGAAGGTGAAAATCAACGGGAAAAAGTTGGCGTACTCGCCCGCACCGAGAGCGGTACTCGCCTCTTTGAGCAAGCGGTCGTCGACTGTAACGAGTGCCTTCCAAAGCTTGCAATAGTTGAGTCGAAAGTCATTGTCCAGCTCTCGATACAGGCCGTGGTCGAGCAGGACAAGCTGCAGCTTGGAGCCGGCCTTGCGATGCCGCTGCTCCTCCAGTTCGAACGGCGACAGCGTGCGCAGTGGCCAGTAGTGCCAGGCCCAGTCAGCGACGGCATTCCACACTCTCTGTGGCAGGGATGCAGCCAGCTTTGGTTGGGCCATTGGGAATCCAGTGATTTTGTCGGATTGCCTTGGTTGGGGAGGTGTCGCCGTTGCGTCTGGTTTGCTGGCATCGGACGCTCCGTGGGATGAAGGCGGTGGTTGCTCCAAGGCTCGTTCGCTCACCTTGGCTGCTGACGCGGCCTTTGCGGTGGCACGCGCTTGAGCGCTTTTGAGACTGGCGTCTTGCATGAGAGCATCGTCGCCAGGAAGCGGCGGCCACCAGCGCACAAGCACGTTGCCGGGATGCAAGTCGCAGTGGACGTACGAGTGAACAAAGATCATTTCGCCAAAGGTCTCGGCCAGGTAGCGCGAGACGATGGCGGGGTCGAGTCCCGCGGCGAGCAGGGCTTGACGATCATTCACCTTGACACCAGAGACAAACTCCATCGACAGGATGCGACGGGACGTCAGGTGCCATAGAATTCCGGGCACTTTGACCGTTTCGTGGCGCTTTTCAAAGTTGGCCGCGACGCGCTCGGCGTTGCGTCCTTCGTGCAAAAAGTCGAGCTCCTGCGTCAGGGCCTTTTCGAGCTCGTCCACAATCCAGCTCAGCTGCACGCCGTCGAAAAAGAAGGCGGTGAGCGCAGCAACCTGTCGCATCGACCAGATGTCGCTGGCAAAGTCGTGATCGAGGTGAGGGTGCTGCACCTTGACGGCGACAACCTTGCCTGACTGGCGCTCGACGGCGCGGTGAACCTGGGCCAGCGACGCTGCGGCCACGGGCACTTCGTCAAACTCGGAAAACACCTCTTCGAGCTGGCACTTCAACTCGCGGGCAATGGTGGCGCGCACCGTTTCGATCGAATCGAACGGCGCCATGTCCTGCAGTACGGAGAGGGTGGAGGTGAATTCCTGCGGCACCGCATAGTTGAGCGAGGCAATGTGCTGTCCTGCCTTGGTGTAAAACCCCTTGAGTCGCCGACAGAGCCACAGCAACCGGTCTGCCGATCGTTGGTGGACTTGGCTGCGCACAGCACGGTACTGCACCGAGCCGGACTCCAGACCTCGCAGTGACCACTTGTAGTCTGCTGCAATCCGCGCAAACGTGTACTGTGCCAGTACGAATCGCTCCAGGGCCTTTGTCTTGTACTGCAAGTGCTGCAGGAAGGTTTCCGCGGGGTCGAGGACCTCCTGCGGCGCGACGGCGGGTGCCAGCAACGAGGTCCCGTTGCTCGGTTGATTGTTCGATCTGGGAGGATGAGTTGAAGTCTCGCTTGACGTCGGTGCGGAATAATTCTGAGCAGCGGCGATTTGTGCGCGCCATTCGTTGTAGGACAATCCCAGCAATCCGACGACGCCGCCGACCACCAGGGCACCCGCGATGCGTGACAACAGGAGGCGGGCAGGACGAGGAGGCTTGGATGCATCGCCATCAGCGCTCGAACTTGAACCAGCAGCGGTCGTCGTGGTGAATGAGCGGCGGACGGACGAATTGGCAGCCAAGACATGCGCGGTGCTCGGCGGCAGATGCACAGCGATGCATGGACGGCGGCTGCGACTACTACTACTACTGCTGGCCATCGAGTGCAGTGCCAGTGATGGACGGAGCAGGGCTGGCGGCTGTGCGGCGATCGTCCTCAGCGGCTTGGACGAGAGCTGCAACGCTCGCCGCGCGCCGCGACCATTGATGCGCCGCATTCAGCATTGTGTCGAATAGTGCGCTTGCAATAGAATCGCAAAAAAATGGAGGACTGAGTGAGCATTTTGCAAAACAAAGCTCAGACAGCTCAGACTGAGCCCGTTGAGATTCACTTCAGCGTTCTGTTCTTGGGGGTTTCTTAGCCATTCAAGTGACTCGACTCTCCACTTTTCGCACTATCGCTTGCTGATGGTACAATTACCCAACCTCAGACCCTTGTCAATGATGCTACCTGAAGCATGTCGCTCAAGCTGAATGAACGACGAGCGAGTTTACATTTAGTCTTTTTTTTTTTTTTTTTTTTTCCTGAGTGTATTTTGGCTCGTCCCGACGATGGCTGACGAAGGGGCAGAGGACGCCAAGCCCGAGACGAACGGCGAAGGTGCAGCGACTGAAGCTCCTGCTGAGGAGGCTGCGGCTTCGGCTGCGGCTGTGGCTGAGGCTGAGGGTGGAGAAGGACAAGCAGAGGAGAAGCAGAAGGAGAAGCAGGATCCAACTGCTGAATCACCAGCACCAGCATCATCATCAGGCTCGGACGATGCAGCAAAGTCAGAAGCAAAGCCAGATGCCAAGCCAGATGCTGAGGCTGCGGCTGAGGCACCGGCAGCGGTTGAGGACGACAAGCCACAAGCAGCAGCAGCAGCAGCAGCAGCAGCAGTGGATGAGGACACTGCCGCGACGCCCACATCGCCAACATCGCCAACATCGCCGACTGCATCATCGTCAGACTCGACAGACGCGCCGTCCGATGCAGCAGGCAGCAGCAGCAGCAGCAGCACCAAGGCCGACGGAGCGAGCAAGGCAGCGCCTGCGGTCGCCAAGAAGCCCGCCGCAGGACCGCCGCCAGTCGCCAAGAAGCCCCCAGCGGGCGCCGCCGAGGCAGCATCAGCATCAGCATCATCTTCAGCACCAGCACCCGCGGCACCGACGTCGACCGCAGCCCCAGGCAGCAAGATTGCAGCACTCGCCGGCGGCATCCAGGTAAAAAAAAAAAAAAAAAAAAATCACAATAAGAATAATAATAATAATAATCTTTATTATTCAAAAAAAAAAAAAAAAAAGATGGCATTGAAAAGAAGAGAGTTTTTTGAAAAAGCGAGTCAAACAGTTGAAGTTGAAGTTGAAGTGGAAGTGAAGAAGGAGGAGGAGGAAGAAGGAAGGAGGGGTTGAATGGATGAGTGAGTGAATGAAGTTACAGGAAGGAAGGAAGGAAGGGGCGCTTTTGGAGCAGGATTGTTATTGGATGCGGTTGTCGTCGTCGTCGCGAATCAATGAAGAGGGAGGAGTTGTGAGGGAGGGGGGGGGCACCTGCCCAGCATCACTACTGGAAAAAGTCCTTGTGAGTGGAGGAAAATCATTGATGGATGCACAGAAGGAAAAGAGAAACAAAAGAGACAATGCAATGGAAAACTGAAAAAAAAAAAAAAAAAAAAAAAAAAAAACGAAAGCCAAAACATTGAACACAAAAATTCTTTTCATTTTTTTTTTATTTTATTATTTTTTATTTTTTTTATTTTTCTATGACGCTTTTATTGTATGTAAATCTCAAAAACCACGATCATCATCATCATCATCATCATCATCATCATCATCATCATCATCATAAGAATCATCATCATCATCATCATCATCATCATAAGAATCATAAGAAACGATCAAGCTTCAACACACACACGACAAACCAAAAATCCGTACCTCAATCAGAGTCTGAGAAATTGCAAACGTCTGAGATTCTGGTTTTAACTTTTATTCGCCTCCTTATTGTTTTGGTTTTACAGTTGCCAATGGGACCGCGACCCGTCGGCGTCCCTCGCACATCCGCTCCTGCAATGATCCCAGTGCACGACGACAAGGCAGAGGCCAAGCCGGACAAGACAGACAGCAAGCCTGCATTCGGTGGATTCCCGATGGGCGGCGGCGCCCCCATGCCGGTAAACAGATCGCATGCCACCACTCGTCACAGCTATGCATGTGTTGACATTGTTTGCGTTGTTGCTCACTCTTTTGCGTTGTCCTATTGGTGTTGTCCTTTTGTCCCTTTTTTTTTTTTTTTTTTTTTTTTTTTTGTTCGTTTTCTTTTCTAAAGGGCGTTGCGGCTCGGCCAAAGCGCACTGCGGCATCCGCCCCCACCATTCAGCCGCTCGCTACAGACCCCGAGAAGGGCTCGAGCTTTGACACTCCAGGTATGGCTTGCGTGCCTGACAATATAATTTTTTGGGACTGGACTCCACACTACTGTACTCACCGCTCCTGATCTCGTCCTTCACAGTCTCAACGGACGGCAAGCTCACAGTTGTGCGTCGCGCGGTCGCTCCTGCCAATCGCCGTGCACCGTCCAAGGCCGCGCGCATTTACCTTGAAGATGAGAGCTGGAAGGCATTGCAGCTCACGACCAACATGCTTGCGTTCGACGTGATGCGGATGGTTGCCGAGAAGGTGTTTGTGGATGATTTCAACCTGAACGACTTTGTTCTGTGCGAGTGGCAGTCCGAAACCAAGAGTACGGCTGAATCGTTTTGCTTTTGGAAGAAAGTGATTTGCAGTTCAAAAACCCAGTGCTCACCGAAAAAGCACCACCCCCAACTTTTGCACAGAACAACGCGACCTCGAAGAGGATGAAGTGCCACTGGAACTGCTCGCCAAGTGGTCTGCTGAAAAGGGCGCAGCGCAAGAGAGCCACAAGCTCTACTTTGTCAAGCGCGGAACCAAGCTGTCGGCAGTCAAGAACGCATCCGTCCAGCCGCCACTCGTCTCCAGCTCGCAATCCGTCTCCAAACCCCTCGACAAACCCGACAAGGAGAAGGAGAAGGCGGACAAGGAGAAGGAGAAGGCGGAAAAGGAACGCGCCAAAGAAGCCGAAAAGCTCGAGAAAGAACGCCTCAAGGCCGAAAAGGATGCCAAGGACAAGGCGGACAAGGAGGCTCGTGAAAAGGAAAAGGAGGCTGCTGCCAAAGCCAAGGCCGAGGCCGCCGCCGCTGCCGCTGCGGGTGCCTCCGCGGCTGCTGCCACTTCGTCTGCAGCTGTCGCGAACGGTGCCTCGGCCCCGTCCTCTCCTTCCCCGTCCGATTCATCGTCGTCGGCACCCAGCTCCCCACGTCCTTCGACCTCGTCTGCTTCGGACGTTGCTGCCTCTGGACCTGACTCGCCGCAGCCCAAGAAGAAGAAGGGCCTTCTCTCGATGGTGAAGAGCAAGATTTCCAAGGTTGCTGGCAAGGTCAAAGGAAAGGGCTCGCTTGCAGACGCTGCTTCTGATGGCATTTCCGCGTCCGTTGACGTGGATGCCAAGGCAAAAGCCGAACAAGCTGCCAAGGACGCTCAAGAGAAGGCCGACCGCGCCGCCAAAGAAGCCAAGGAGAAGGCTGAGAAGGAAGCCCAGGCAGCCAAGGAGAAAGCGGAAAAAGAAGCCCAGGCAGTCAAGGAGAAGGCCGATCTCGATGCTGCACAACGCGCGGCGGAGGCCAAGGAGGAAGCCGAAAAGCAAGCTGCCGCAGCGAAGGAACAGGCCGAAAAGCAAGCTGCCGAAGCAAAGGAGCAAGCCGAGAAGCAAGCCGAGGCCGCCAAACAAGTTGCCCAAGATCCAGCTGCCGCAGCCAAGGACCTCGCGACCGAGCAGGCCGAAACTGCCGCAGGCTCGCTCGTGCCAGAGTCCCTCGCCTCGGCTGGTAGCGATGACATGCTCGCTGCTGTCATGGCTGTCGGTCGGTCCAGCAACGATGACAAGGAGAAGGCTGCCAAGGAGCAAGCTGAGCGCGAGGCCAAGGAGAAGGCCGAAGCTGAAGCCAAGGAGAAGGCTGAGGCTGAAGCCAAGGCGAAAGCAGAGGCGGAGGCCAAGGAGAAGGCTGAGGCTGAGGCCAAATCCAAGGCCGAGTCTGAGAAGGCCGAAGCCGAAGCAGCAGCTGCTCGATTGAAGGCCGAGGCGGATGCCAAGGCGAAAGCGGATGCTGAAGCCAATGAAAAGGTTGAAGCAGAAGCCCAAGCGAAGGCGGACGCCGCAGCCAAGGAGAAAGTCGAGCGCGAGGCCAAGGAGAAGGCAGATGCCGAAGCTAAGGAAAAAGCTGAAACTGAAGCCAAGGAAAAGGCTGAAGCTGAAGCCAAGGAAAAGGCCGAGGCGGAAGCTAAGGAAAAGGCCGAGGCGGAAGCTAAAGCCAAGGCTGACGCTGAAGCAAAGGCCAAGGCTGACGCTAAGGCCAAGGCTGACGCTGAAGCAAAGGAGAAGGCCGAAGCCGAGGCAAAGGAAAAGGCTGAGGCAGAGGCGAAGGCGAAGGCTGAAGCTGATGCAAAGGCGAAGGCTGAGGCGGAGGCAAAGGCCAAAGCCGATGCCGAAGCCAAGGAGCAAGCGGACGCCGAAGCGAAGGAGAAGGCTGCCGCAGAAGCTAAGGCAAAAGCCGATGCCGAGGCAAAGGCCAAAGCGGACGCGGAAGCAAAGGCAAAGGAGAAGGCTGAAGCCGAGGCAAAGGCGAAGGAGGAGCAAGAGGCCAAGGAGAAGGCAGCTGCTGAAGCCAAGGCCAAGGAAGAGCAAGAAGCCAAGGAGAAGGCAGCAAAGAACAGCTCTAGCGAAACACTCGCATCTGGCAAGACTGCAGCTGCTCCGCCCACGCTTACCAAACCGAGCTGGAAAAAGTCGACGGACGCTCTCGAAACCAAGAAGACCGAGGAGCCCGCAGCCGCCGCAGCCGCAGCAGAGGCAAAGCCCACTCCTGCCTGGAAAAAGTCGACGGACGCTCTTGATGCCAAGAAGGCGGAACCTGCCGCTGAGAGCAAGCCAACCCCTGCTTGGAAGAAGTCGACTGATGCGCTCGATTCCAAGAGCACCGCGAGCACTGCGAGCAAACCAGCCGAATCCTCCAGCGAGGCCAAGCCCACTCCGGCGTGGAAGAAATCGACCACCTCAGTGGACGCCAAGCCTGCTGCAGCTGCTGAAGCCAAAACCGAGCCCGCAGCGACGACGACGCCTGCCTGGAAAAAGTCGGCACCGACCGCTGCAGCCGCAGCGCCGGCTGCCAGTGCTGCTGGAGAAAAGAAGCCCGATCCCGCACCGAAGGCAGAGCCCGCGTGGAAGAAGAGTTTGCGAGCTGCAGAGGAGGCAGAGGCAGCCAAGAGTGCCAAGGCGGCTGCTCCGGAAGCGGACGCCAAGGCTGCTGATGCTAAAGTTGCCGAGAAAACCCCTCCGCCAGTTGCCAAGAAGTCCTTCTCGGCTCAGCCGCCGGCGGCTGCGGGCGAGTCGGAGCTGAACAAGGTTTTCAAGAACGTTCGCGGGTAAAATGAGCAGCTTGTGGGTCGTTTTGTTCGTTTTGTTCAAATCTCGCTCCCGCATTCGCACGTCTCCCTATCCTTTCCAGCGATGCAGCTCGTCAAGTTCATGTTCATGTTGTTGTCGCTGTTGTTGCTGTTGTTGTTGTTGTTTTTGCTGTTGTTGTCGCCGTGCGCGGCTCTGCTTTGTTGTCGTTTTTGTCTGTTTGTTTTGTGTGTTCAAACCCCTCCGCTGGACTGTTTTTTAGTGGGTGGCGGTTCTCTTTGTTTTATTTTTTTGCTGTGTTGCTGTGTCGTGGCGACTGTCCTGCTTTTTGGTTGGGGTTTTGTCAGTGTTTTCAGTAAAAGAAGAACAAAAAATTACCAACGCGCCCTTCCTTCTCTCAATTATGCAGTACTTCAATTGAATACATTGAGCTCTTTCATGACATTATCCCGGATCTTCTTCTTCCCGATCTGAGCATGAGGCTGTCATGTCAGTCTTCCATCTTCTTTCACGCGCTCGCTCCTCATGCGTGACAATGCAGCGCTCGCGCTCCGAGGGCGCCACGTCGTGCTGGTTCCCTACACTGCCGAGCACGTCCCGCGGTATCACGAGTGGATGGCGTCTGAGGAACTCCAGCGACTGACTGCATCAGAGCCGCTTTCGCTCGAGGCCGAGTTTGAGATGCAGCAATCCTGGCGCAACGACGCGGATAGTCAGTTGTCGTCGCTCAGCAGGCTGATCCGTCTCGGTCGGCGTCACTTTTTTTTTTCGATTTGCTAACATGGAATTGCTTATGTTTGGTTGATATTTTGGAAAGCAGAATGCACGTTTATTGTGCTGGCACAGCTCGACGGGACGAATCCGTTGCAAAGTGACAAGGACGAGATTGGTAACAAAGCGAAACATGTCTCTTGTGCATCCATTCAATTGAATGGGTGATGCATCACTATGGATTGCTGAATGTTCTGAATGAAAAAAAAACCACAATGGGTGTCATGTTCTGGCTGTTGACCTGGTTTTGGGAATTGACTGTGATCTGCTCGTCCAACCGACTTTAGCGAACATGGCTGGCGATGTCAACCTGTTTCTCAATGATCCGGACGAGCCGCACACTGCAGAAGTGGAAATTATGATTGCAGGTATGAGAACTTGAGCATATCGCGCTCTCATAAAGCTTTCTGAAAATCTCATTTCCAATTGTAAATGTGAATCGGGCATTTGCCAAACCGGTAGAACCCAAATTTCGACGCCGAGGCCTTGCTCGCGAAGCTATCTTGATGATGCTTGACTATGGTGAGAGAGATGGCGACGTGTCGATGTTTGCATGGCTGGTTTTGTTGAGTCTTGTTTTCTCTCAAGAGTGATCTCAATACGCGTCGTCCGACGCCCCATGCAGGCGTTCGAGACCTGCACCTCACCAAGTTTGTGGTCAAGATCGGCCTGGACAACAACGCGAGTCGAGAACTATTTCGCAAGCTCGGCTTTGCATTCGTGAGCGAGAGTCGCGTCTTTCAGGAGGAGACCCTGTCGCTGGACGTCGCCACTCCTGAGCAGCAAACGCACATTCAGCAGTTGTTAACATCCGCCATCGAGCCCGTATCTACTGTGGAGCGTCTCCGATATCCTACAAGCACATCGAGTTCATGAAAGTTCTTGTGGTTGTTTGTGATTCCTAGCACCAAGAACAACGATTGCTCAGAATGCCGTTCGATGCACTGTTTTATTGTTTTGTTGGAGCTCCGACAACAATCGTCCAGACACACAAAAAACAAAAAGAAGAAAATTCGAGAGCGTGACCACGACGCGTCGTGATGGTAGCGTAATGGTGCAGAAGGAAGATGGGGTGTGTGTGTGTGTGTGTGTGTGTGTGTGTGTGTGTGTGTGTGTGTGTGTGTGTGTGGAAAGGTAGATGGCGCACATTGAGGCCGGCCTGTCCAGAGTAAAAAAGTAGTCGAGGTGTAACGGCTGATAGGAATGGGCAAAACCATGAAAGATCCGCCAGAGCCCACCTCCCCCGCCTTGTCATACGTGAAAATCAAACTTGACCCGGATGCGCGGCGAGCTGGGGCCTTCGCTGTCGACCGGGGAGAGTGTCAGTTGAGCGTTCCGAATCTCGCCGCGGCTGTCAACCACTCGAACCCCGCATTTCTGCACAGCAAAGCAGAGCCGGCGGATGGAGTCTTGGAGTATGGCAACGTCGTCATAATTGAGCACACTGGTAATGAACTGGATATCACCGAGCACGAGGCGTGTCTTTGCCTCCATCGAGACAATGTGACCGTCTGTGCCCATGAGCAAAGTCCAGTCCTGGCCCGTTGTCGTCGGATTGCTTGCGGTATTGAAGCTGAACTGGTGATTCGAATTGAGCAGGGAGTATGAACGCAGAAAGTCTTGCTGTTGTTGTAGTTCTTGTTGTTGTTGCTGTTGCAGTTGCTGCTGCTGTTGCTGTTGCAGTTGCTGCTGCTGCTGCTGCTGCTGCTGCGGCTCCAACATCATCGGTGTGAACTGCGAAAGCGGCGGGCACAGAGCCCGCGCCCTCCGCAAGCGGCTGAGAATCTCCACTCCCAGGAAGGAGGATGAGTTCAATCAGCACGAGGCGTAGCCTTGTGGTGCCGAACGCACTCATGTTTTGCACACTCTGCGCGTGACAGTTTGTGCGAAGATACTCGAACGTGTTCGATGCCGGATCGTAACGTTGGATGCGAGCCGAAATGACGTGCGTCAGGTGATGTGTTTCGGGCAGCAACGATGCACTCAGCATGCGCTCCACACCGGGGGCGTCCATCGGGTGGACAATCGACAGGAAGGACTTGTGCAAGAAGCGAGCCTCCGCTTGGACCAAGTGCGTTGTTTGGACGACAGACTTGTCCAGCAGCCCGACGCACGAGCTCGACAGTCGCAGAATGTGAAACGTCTCATTCAAAACCAACCCGATGCAGGTGTTGAGCACTCGCTGAATGGACTGGAAGGCGTTTCCGTGCTCGGATGGCGGTGGAACGGGCGGCCGTACTTGAGGCAGAGCGCTGTTGGGTGACGGCACCAGCATGGCAAAATGAGCAGAAACGTCGGGGTCGACCCGAAAGCCCGAGTCGAACGAACCGAGCGAAGACCCTGTGCCTACGTGCCCGGTTGCCATGAAGTCCAGGTAGGAATTCCCGGAGTTGGTCATGTTTTGTGGAAGAAACAAGGAGGAGCTAGCGCCTGCCCCGGACGCCGCGCTAGTCGCAGCAGCAGCAATGCTGTTGCTGTTGTGGTTGCTCTTGTTGTTGTTGCTGTGGCTGCTGTGGCTGTTGTTGTTGTTGTTGCTGTGGCTGCTGTTGTTGTTGTTGTGGCTGCTGCTGATGTTGTTGTTGTTGTTGTTGTTGTGGCTGCTGTTATTGTTGTGCTTGTCCCTATCGACACTGGTTCGCAGGCCGTCGGCCGCAGGCTCGACTTTGGTGTGAGCTTCATTGGAAGTGGCGGCGTCCGAATCGGCTGCTTGCTGCTTGGTGCGCTTTCGGCCGAGTTTCCAGCCTCGCTTCCGGTACACGGCCGGAACGCATTCGGAGACTCGTCCTCGCAAGACACACCGGCTGCACGGGACGTTGCGATCGCACCCAACGTGACTGCGTTGGCAAGGCATGCACGCTGGAGGTTGGGCGTCTGTGAAACGTCCCATCACCGGGCCGTCGTGAGCGTCTGCCCTCGGGTCTTCCTCCTCGCCCGAATCGTCATCCTGCAAATTATGTGGATGTGGTGGCTGATGCTGGGCCGAGTGTTGATGTGGTCGATGCTGCGGATTGGAAGACGAGTGCTGTTGATGTTGCTGTTGATGTTGTTGATGTTGTTGTTGTTGTTGTTGTTGTTGTTGTTGATGTTGTTGTTGATGATGATGATGCTCCTGCTGCTGCTGCTGCTGCTGCTGCTGCTGCCGCCGTAAAGCTTGAGAAAACTCACTCGGCTCATGAGTCATATTCGCCGCACTATCAACGCCGCCGTCAGGATTGGAAAAGCGTCCGAATTTAGATGGAGGCTCAGTGCCATCCTCCTTGGTAGTACCGGGGCGAGAAAAGGAAAGCGCAGTGGACGGGGAGATGCTGTGGTTGTTGCTTGGGGCGCTTGAGGACGTGGTGGCCGTCGAGGCACGCGACACGGACTCTGATGCCGGATTCATCGATCGGCTAATAAATCCGTTTGTAGTCGCGTTAGCATCAAGCGCATCGTTTGCAGAATCCAGCCACGAAGCAACAGACCCTGCACTTGACGGCAAGGTGGAGCGCGATTGGCTTGTAAGGGCCGGTCCAGACGATGGCGTGTCCTCTTTGCGATACTGCGGCTGAGCAACAGACAGCGGATCGACGAGATTCCACTGTTCTGCAAAGTCGAGGAGCCGCTGCGGCTTGCTGGCCGAGTCGTCTGGGAGGCTTGAGAGAGGCAGACGCTGGGGTTGGTGCAGCGTGTGGCGGTCCTGAAGATGACCAGACTGGCTCGGGGCCGGGAACGGTGTAGCACCGCTGAGCTCGACAGAGGTGAGAGCCTGGGAAGGGACGGAGGCGTGGGGCAGTGGTTGATTGCCTTGTGCGCTTTGATCCATCCGCAACGCGTCAGAACGATAGCAACCGAGGGGTTGTCCGAGAAAAGCGGTGGTGGTGTGGTTCACGTCGCTCGCGGCTGGATAGGTTGTTGCAAAAAAAAAAAAAAGGTCGTGACCCTGATCCGTGGAAATTGGCAGTGTGGATTTGCTGTGTGGTGTGTCAGAACGCAAGCAAGACGCAGAGTCAGATCACTTCAGAAGGAGCGCGGGAAAACCAAAAAAAAAAAAAAAAAAAGGTTTGAGGTGGAGATAAAAAGGTGCTCTTGGTCTTTGCGTGTGTGCCGCGGGGACCTCGAGCACCTTATTTTTCGTTTTGGCTGAGGTCGTTGGGGTTTTATATTTTTTGCCAAAGAAAAAGGAGGACAAGACCAACGACGTATGAAAGATCTGCAAGCAGAACGAAAAATTAGACGTTTTGACAGGTTTTGTTGTTTTTCTTGTTTGAAATCCAGAAACGTCAACCCTCCACCACCAAGAAAAGCCCCTATCAGCCCTCAAGTGATTGTCATGGAGTTTTGCTGGGGGTGGCGACAAACACAGAGAAAATACAATGTATGGAGAAAAAAAAATGGAAACCAGAAAAAAAAAACGGTTAACGTCCTCCGAGGGATTGCGTTTTGCATTCTGACTGGAATGATGTCGTTGAGGGATATGACGCAGGTAACCCGTCGTCGTTGTCGTCCGTTCCAAACCCCCTTGTCGTTCCCCCTCCAATCGGGACAATGCGGTCGTTGAGTCGCTCACGTTGGTGGTGAGCCCCGGCGTTCCACTGCAACGCGTCACAAGCAGGTCGTTTTGGTTCGCACAAAAAAAAAAAAAAAAAAACCGGCGAAAATCCAATCGATGGCATCGATTTAAAAAAAAAAAAAAAAAAAGCCAGCAAAAAGCAAGGAGAAAACGCAAGTGCGTGACAACGAAAATGCGAATGCGACAAATACAGGTGAGGAAACGACGACTGAGCTGGCCCAAAACGACGCAGGAGCAGCCGCACTGGCTGGGCACGGCACGAAGTGGGGGAGCGAGCAGTTGGAAGGAAAAAAACAAAGAAACGTTAAAAAAAAAAACGGCAAAGTCATGACTCCAGGAAGAGTGCCGTCGGTCACGCGCGCGCGACGCGAGGAGTCGTGGGTGAGCGAGTCGGTAGGAGAGCAGAGCAAGTGTGTGTCGGCGATCGCGGGCGGATGAGGAGAGCGAGAGAGAGCGCGGAAGGGAGAGCCACCAAACATGCGGGAAAAATCAAGCAGAAAAACAAGAAAAAAATCGAGCAGGAGCAGAGCGTTGCACACGACCGTGCTGCAGCACTGCGCGCGAGAGACGCAGGCCAGGTGCCGAGTAGAGGAAGAAGGTGACGTGTCGGGGACAGCAGCCGGACGCCGTTGCAGCGACTGCGCCTGCGACCCTGACGAACGTGACCGAAGCGACCAACGGCCCGCAAAAAAAAAAAAAAAAAAAAAAAAAAAAAAAAATGCAGACGACTTTTGAAACTCACGCGACTCTAATGCGGCAAAAAAATCAAAAACACAACGGGTTTGGGTGAAGGGCACCTGGCTTCTGGCCGACGCCGCAAAGGGACGAGAGGAACGACAGAGTGGTGGTGGAGAGCGGGGAAACGGAGAGATCGAAAGTAGGACAACGTGGCAGCGTCGTCAGGCAACAAAACGAACAGAGAATTACGCACCGAAAAAAAAAAAAAAAAAAAAGCAAAAAAAAAAAATCAAAAAAAAAATAATTAAACGACTGCTTTTTGAGTCCACGCCGAAAAAAAAAAAAAAAATTGATCACAAATGTCATGCGAATCTGAAACCCGAGTGACGGATCGCAGGGTGTGAAGTCATCGAGAGGACGTTGCAATATTCAGCAACAGCGTCTCGCCAGCAGAGCGCGACGAGAGAAACCATTGTTGGCCCAAAAGTCAAACGAACAAGTTGCCAAAGAAGCATGGATACAGAAAAAAGAAAAACCAAAAACGAGGGAAAAACAAAGGAACAAAGTCCGAACACTTCCACACTGGCGCAAATACGGAAGCGACCAGTGCGCGGCGGTGCAGATGGGTTTGGGAGTGAGTAGGGATGGAAATGGAGGGTCTGCAAGCACGCTCACTCCGAGTTGAGTGCGAGAAGCGAAGGAGTGGGGGCCGGGCGAGAAAAAAGCCCGAATAACACCCGAATACGGCCCTGTCGTTTCCGCATCGTGCTCCCCAACGCTCCTGCGCTCGATCTGCGCAGCCCCACGCACCACCGAGCGATTACCCATCACCACTGCATGCGTCCTCAAAGAAAAATCCGGGCGCGCAGGGCTCACATCAGGGTATTATTAACCCAAAACCAAAAATCCAAAAAAAAAAAAACGGTTTCGCCGTTATTGCAGAGTTCTCTGCTGCTGATATCGTGTTGGATGGCGCGGTCGCTCCGCAAGTCTCCGTGCTAAAAAAAAACGTGCTTCTTTATATGTACATGGAGATGACCGAATTCTCTCTGAGCACTCAAAAACAGGTGGCGCGGAGGGAAAGTAGCAATGCGTGATACTTTTTTTGAACACGAAATCCCGTTAGTACGTCCGGCAGCCTCGTGCGGGGGAAAGCCGACTGCCCACCTCCGCCAACTCCCAATGCAGCATACGAGGTGCTTTGAATATTACACGAGTCGCGGACTGCTTCTTTGCAAAGAGAGCTTTCGCATGGCTAACCGCAGGATTTTGTTGAGTTTTGCTTTTTTTTTCTCGATGCAAAAGCATGGCGCGCACTCACTTTCCTGCAACACCCCCACCGAGTCAAGGCACACAAGAGCATTGAGATGCACCCCCTAGCTCCTTCCCGCTCAGATCTGCTCGTCATCTTGATCGTTGCAACCCCATCACAAACACCTGCCAAAAGCAATAAAAGTGCAAAACGGAAAACATTTGGAAAGGTTCGTTTCGCTCCTTGGTCCCAGCCACGCGCGTCGCTGCTGTCACCAACACCAGATACCACAAGCCCAGTCCCGGGTCATGTTGCTGCGCAGTGTGTGGTAGTATTAACCCAACCGGCAGCGCCTTCTCCACAGCTGCACTTCATCACAAGATACAAGTCGACCACAAACGTTGAAAACCAACTCTCGCGTTCAGCCGGGCATTGCCACAGCGGAGTCCGCGTCCGTCGCTCTACATCTAGCTGCACTGTCTGTCGTGGGGTCTATGTGTTGCAAGCATGGGATTGTTGCGGATTGCGCTGCCTGCCCCGCAAAGCTGTCTAATGCCCGAACGCTCCTCGAATCGCCCCGAAATCAAACATTGTGAAAACTGTATACCTCCCGTTGAAGCGGCCGTCAATAGAATGAAGAATGGCGCTGACGCAGCGGTGTTCTGTCATGGCTTCCTCGAGAGGGCAATGGCGACGTCCAATTTTGTCGTTGCTGTGCGACGTGCTCGTTTGAGTGATTTGACAACACGGCAAAAGCACTTTGTTTGAACTTTTTCTCTCCGCGCCGACCTGGGGGTTTTTTTTCGGGATCGCTGGATTTTTGTGCTTCGGGCTGTCTTTCTGCTGAACCTTTGGCAAGAGTAATCCTCCGTCTTCAAATGCAACCAAGTTGAAAACGCACGTCCACAACCGTATCTGAAATGACGCAAGTCCGAACCACTTGCTTTCAGGCATACGAGGTGCCTCGTTCCTGTGCAATCGGGATGTCGATCGTATCTGCTAGCGTGCTCAATGCCCAAAGTACAGTACTGCACCTGTTGCGAGAGGATACATTCAAAGTAAATCACGAAGAAAAGTGTGGCGCGGTCACAACCTCGAAATCGCCCCTTCGCACCGTTTCGGCACAAGCCTTTTTGAGTTCACTCTTCCTTTTTTCCCCCCTTTCTGACAGTACTTATTTTTTCTTGTCATGTTTGGAACGCAAAAGATCAAACAATCGATCGCGGTGCCGCGTCGATTAACGATTGCCCTTCTGGCGCTCGGCTTTGCAGCAGCCCTGCTCTTCTTGGCCTTGTCTGGAGCAGGTACTGTTGTGAGGGGTTGTTGCTTTTTTGGGGCTTAGAGATCTTGGTTTTCGTTCTATTGCAGTTGGTGGGGTTGGGCGGCGACTGTGAAGAACGTTGGAATATGCCGTTTGCGACATGTGTTTGTCTGTTGGTGGCCAATCTTTTCCCCGATCGCCTTTCCTCTCGCACCCAGCGGCCATTGCTTTCGTCCCGTGCATTCTCTTCTTTTTTCGATTCATCATTGATCAGTAAAAGTCGGCGAAAACCCGACAGGAAGCAGGCAGAATGCGTGGAATCACAATGGACGTGAAGTAGGAAACAAAACAAAACGTTTCACACGGCCACCCGCCAAAAGTAGGAACACGGGAAATCCTGTCATCCATCTGGTTTTTAAGACAATATGCATATCGCACATTGCTCCCAAACGCGATCAAGCTCTTTCATGTCGATGCTCATCAGCAGCTCTGCCTGCCGCACCAGAACATTGGCTCCCAAAAGGCAATCCCAAAAAAAAAAAAAAAGTGTCCCAAAATTCCATTCTCTCACTCGCCCATGACGAATCTGCTTTTGTGTGTGTCTGTGTGCATGTCTGATTTATTTCTGCAGGCACAATCAGCCCTAAGCCACCGTCGGATGAAACGTTGACGGTGCAGTACCAGTGCCAGCAACACAACTGGTGGGCAAAGCGAACCAGCCTGCGAGTCCCGCCGCCGGAACAACAGCCACAACCCACTCCACAGACACTCAAGGATGCGCTCGGAAAATCCATCACGCCCATCAAGCCGGCGTGGGTGCGCGTCGATGTGCGCGGCACGGATACGCACGTGCCACCCGCACCAGTTGTCAACGCATCCGTTGCCCGAGCGCCTCTTGGTGCGTTTGTACCGCGTGATGCCCTCCTTCAGACCACTGGGCTGCAGTGCCTTGTGCTCCAAGACCACCAGTCGCTTGCCGAGCAGTTCCATGGATTTTGGGACGGACCGATGGGCCAGTCGTTGCCACCGCTCTATCTCAGCGCCATCTCGACCGTCTTCCGCCAGCACCCCGACTCGACCTTCCTTGTGCACTCCAACACACTGCCGCTCGACCAGTTTGACTCGCTCCGCGCAATGGGCTTTAACATTGCCGTCGTCCGATTCGATGCAGAACGCGCGCTGACCTACGGCAAGCTCCCCGGCCTGCGGTGGCTGCGGGAGGACCGCGTCCGCCATGCAGAGCACCGCAACATTCGCACACATACATCGGACTTGATGCGAACCATCTTCATGTACCAATGCGGTGGCATCTACCTCGATCTCGACTCGGTCCTGCTGCGCCCGCTGCACTTCCTCAACCGCGCCATCACAATGGAGCCGATGCGGCCCGACCACCTCCGTGTGCAGTACATTAAAATGAGCGCACCCACCTCCATGCTGTCCTGCAATGAGGGTGTTGTTGTTCGGCCAGAGCCAGTCGGGCAGGACGGCTCGATGACTCTTTCGCCCTACATTCTTCACGGCGACTTTGCCCTTGTGCCCGGAGTGCTGGCATTCGGCCCGCGCGACAACTTTATCTACATGATGATGCAAGTCTTTGACGAAGCCTACGATCCCAGTTGCTTTAGCTGCGTTGGTCCGATGGCGGCCAACAAGGCGTACATGGCTTCGACTCCGGCCGAGAAGATTCGTCTGCAGCTCTACCCCGCCGACGTCATGTTCGGTCCCAACTGGAGCGGGGTGCTGGACAAGAACGAGGAGTTCTGGGTCACCACTACCGAGGAGCGCGCTCGCATCTTGATCAACGACGCCGCCGCACGCGGATTCACGCAGCACTTGTACGGCTCGGGCCAGGGTGCGCCAAAGTTCGACCGAAACAGCTACATCCACAGGCTGCTTCTTACCTTCCAGTTGCTTCCGTTGCCAGACGTGTGGAGCCCCGAGCAGCCACAGCAGCAGCAGCCGCCTGCAGTCTTGAGCTCTGAAGTTGTCGATCCGAATGAGCTTGATTCATGAACGCTCTCACTTGTCATTGTTTGCATGCAACTTCATTTCAGTTTTATTCCATGTATCATATCTTTGTCGTGTGTATGTGTTGTGCTTTGTGTGTTGTTTCCTGGAGTTGCACGACACTGTACAGTAGAATCATCATTCTTGTTCTGTGTCGCGCTTTGCATCATGCGTTTGATCCATATTGGCTGTCCGAGAGTGTGATTTGTGATCCAAGTCGTGATGTTTGCTTTGCTGGTTCCAAACTCGGTTCAGTCTCACTTTTGTTTCAAGTGCCCGTTTTTCAATCTCATCCAGTCTTTCAAAATGGCTTCAACCGACTTGCTCCGCGTGGTCGTTCAGCTCCAATACGGTGAGAAGACGCAGTCGTGACTCTACACTTTAGAGTGCTACATGTGACTGCCCATGCAGTGCGACGCGCGCAGAGCAGCGAAACTCGCTCAAAACGCGCCAAAAATCAAAACCAGCGCAGTCAGCGCGCCTCTTCAGTGCACCCCTCCCCCCGCTCAAACTCATGACCATTCAACATAAAATAGCTTACTTTATCACATTGCGGTGTCGGACCGAGTCAGCGGTGGCTCGTTCGAATTGGCGTTGATCTTGGTGGTTTTTGGCAACTTTTCGCGGGTTTTTTTTTTTCTTGTTTCCTCATTCGAGATTTCCATTTTCTGGCTGCAGGCTGCTCGCTCGCATTGAATGTCTCTCGATTGTCCCTGTCAACTCACATTGTTGCACTGCTGCATGTAGAAAATGACGCCATCCATCGCGAGATCGCCGAAGAGCGCTCGCTGCATGCAGGTACTTGAACGTTTAATACAGTAGCATTGCACTCTCACTCGACGCTTCGTTGTCGTGCAAACACCGATGATACTGTCGACTTGACTCTGATAATCTTGCAATACTGTACAGCAAACGAGGAAGTGCTGGCGACCAAAATCGAAAAGATTGCCGCTTGCACCAGTCGCATTGACAAGTGTGTCATTGCCAACAGCGAGCTTGGCACGATGATTGAAAAGTCGCAGGCCAGCATCGAGTTGTAATGATTAGCGCAAGTGTTGCAACCACCACAAGGGGGGGAGAGGAATGAAGAACTCTAACGTTTTCATCACATTTGCTGCATAGGGCTGGTGCGGAAGTCAAGCACTTGCAGATGCAACTGGTGCATCTCCAGACTTTGCAGGCAAGCTCGACGGCTGCCACACGTGAAGAATGGTAGGAAAACGAGCATCAAAGTCTTTGATGTCCAATCCTCCACGTTAAACACAAAATTACACAACTCCTGAAATGAACAGTCGCAACCACGATTCGATGCTCCTTGAACTGCGCGAGCGCAGAACCAAGCAAGATTCGGGCATGCTGGTCTTGCACCCGCAGAGCAAGGAGTTGGCCGCTTTCGAGGCAGAGTGGCTCAAGCGCAAGTCTCTGAGTGAGTGGTGTGCCATCGTTTCTCTTGGAATCTGCCGTTGGCTCTTTTCTCACCCCCCCCCCGCTCCCTGCGTGTGAACAGTTGCGGAACATCATACCACCGACGCCGAAGTAGGTATGAACCCCACTCTCACTCGCAGTTGGTTGCTCGAGAACATTTTGACTCATCCAACTGTATTCTGTCTGTTGATGTTTGGACAAGAATGGAACAAGACGCGCATGGTCATCATCAAAATGTACCAACATCTCCTTCCAGGCTGCTCGAAGCTTTGCTTGCTTCAACTCACACTCGTTCTGCCTGAAACTTGGCTTTGCTTCAGAGCGCAACAAATGGTCAAGCGGCGTGACATCCACGGCCTTCATATCGCCGCTGCAGCTGCCAAGTCCAGCGATCCCCTGGTCAGTTCGGCTGAAGAGGAGGCGGAAACTACTTCTACAACGCGAGAGATCGAGCAAATGCCCGCGTGCGAGCTGGCGCAGAGCATGGATCACCTTCCAGCCACAAACACAGTCGCCGATGGCTCCGGCGATGCTCCGTTGACTCTGAGCATGTTGTCGATCGACAACTCCAAGGACCAGTCTGGAGTGTACATGGCTCTGGACGTGCCAGCGAATTGCACCACCGAATCTGCGGATTGCGCGCTCGAGCGTTTCTCGCCTACCGCCATGGACGACACTGTGGCGTCGCTTTGTCAGTGCGCCGAAGAAGAACAGCCAGTCTACATGAGCTCTTCCGTGTCTGATGAAGCTGCCAATCCGATTGGCACGGATCATGCCACAGAGTTGGAACCCATCTCTGAAGCTACAGTCACTCGCTCTGAAGAGATGGCTGAGCTTGCTCCAGAGATGGCTGAGCTTGCTCCAGAGATGGCTGAGCTTGCGCCAGAGAACATGGAGCAAGTCCCCAGCGCGGAAGTCGCTCCGGTTGTGGAAGTCCTTTCCACGACAGACCCCGCTCCTGCTCCTGGTGGAATGCCTCGTGCCGAAACCATCCCGAATGAAGCGACGCCAACGATGCCGACGGCGTCGCACCAGCTTGCAGCTTCTGAGCAATCTACATTCGCTGAGGCCCTCGACTTGCTCAAGTCACCACCTGCTGTTCGCCCGATCCGCGCGTGGAGCATGTTTGGAGGCAGTGGCGGCGCTTCAGCCATGTCCATCAGCGAGAGCGCCGACATGCCTGCATTCGGCGTGTTTTCGTCGGCTCGCAGCACCAGCGTCAAGCCCTCCGGCGCAACATCCGGCTTTTCCATGTTCCAATCAAGCCTGCCAACCCTCGGATTTCAGTTGCCGCTGCCCCAGCCTCTGGGGCTTCTGCCTCCATCTCAGCAGGATGCCTCACGTGAGTCTGCTCAGCCGATCCCATCCAAGCGGCTGTTTTGATGCTGTACATTCTTGCAAAACCAACGCGATCCACATTGGTGATCTTTGATAGTTGCTAGTGCTCGTCCTTGCATCACTCTTGCATCTTCTTGAAACAATACCACGACAAACAACAATTTACTGAAAAGCGATCATCGACTTAACGACGTGAAAACAAGTACGCGGCAACCAGGCCAAGTACGAGCACAATGCCCACGAGGTACTGATGCAAACGAATGGAGCCGAGTGTAGAGTGCATGTGATGATCAATGTAGCTGTCAATCACTTTGGTACGAAGCTCTTGCTTCCAAGCGGCACTTGTCGGGTTGAGCTTCAGCTGGGCCTCAGCTTGCTTGTGAACAGCATTGCGGAAGGTGGACGCAAACCAGAACGAGTGCGACTCGAATGCACTGCGTACGACTTCCATTGGACCGAGAATGAGCTTGGCGAATTGATCCACATTCTTGCGCAACAGAGCTTGTTTCATGTCTACGATTCGAGCCTAATCAGAGTCCCCCCGTGATGCAGTTAGATGATACATGGTGGTGATGTTCGACTCAAGCGCTGCTGCGCACGATTCACCATCCTGCAAAAACGAAAAAAAAAACCATTACCTGAACGGCCTTGAGCTGAACGGCATAGTCACTGCGATCTCGATACAGCGACAACTCGGCCTCGTAGTTTTTCAACACAGCATCGGCGTGCAGCTTGACCATGTGCTCTACTTCCTCTTCCGCTGCGGGCAGCGAGATTGTCTGCAGCTTCGAGGACAGGTTGCCTTCAGTGGTCATACGCGCGGCATGGTACTTGAGCTCGAGCTTGGACGAGTTGGCCTCGTCGAACGCCCGGGCTGCCACCTTGATTTGTTGGAGAAGGATGTTGTAAAATTCCTCGCGCAAGCTCTGGTCGGCATCCAAGCTGCGTGGCCCAAACTCTTGCTCGGCCACTTTGATGCATTCTTGCTCGAGGGCATGGAGCTCGCCGAGAGTAAACGGACGCTGGTCAGCGGACGCGCATGCTCCGGTATTCCCAGTAGCCGACTGGACGCAGACTCGGGACTTGGCCTCGGCTTGGGTCTTGTGGACCTGCTCCATGGCGATTTTGATGGCATTCGTCAGGGTCTTGCGATGCTCTTCCGTGTTGCGCAAGTGCCTCGCTTCGATAATGCTTGAAAGGGTGTGCTACAAGGTGAAACCAAAGGAGGCGATTCAATCGGAGTCATTCCACAAGCACACAATCGTTAAAAACAAAAAAATAAAAAAAAAAAAAAAAAAAAAAAAAAAGAGACAACAAAAAACAGACCGAGCGCGATTCTTACTGCAAGAGACTCCCGGTACTTGGTAAAGGTCTCCTCGTCCTTGAGATATCCAAGCTGCAAGTCGTAAATCTTAAAGCACGTGTTGCGAACATGGGTGGCGAGCTCGTTCAGGGCCTGCGGCTGGACGGGCAGCTCTTGGGCGTGGAACATTTCTTCGGCGAGCTGCGAAAGCACGTCTGTACCAATCTTGCACGAGCGGTCCATGCGCTGGTTGTTTTGGTCTTCTTGATTGCGAAGTTCGTTGGCGAGTGAGCTGCGCATCTCTTGGGCAGCGTCGCTGGAGCCGACGAGCTGATGATGGAGCTCCATGCTGTGCACAGAGACGTCGCTGTGCAGGTGCTTCAAGTACGAAGTGGGCACGGCAAACGGCAGCGGGTCGAGTTGATTCTGTGCCTTCTGGGCCAAAGACACTGCGCCGAGGTTGCTTTCGCGAAGGCTCCGGGTGAGGGACTGCAGGCCCGTCTTGATTGTCATGGCTGTGGTCGACGGGTTTGAAGAGGCATCAACGGCGCTGCTGGTGGAGGCTTCGATTTGTCGCACAGTCTCGGGGTCGAGGCGGCGAAGGTAGGTCGACATTTCTCGACGGTAGAACGCGGTGCACTCTGAGCGGGCAATCTTGCGCTGCTGATCCAAGAACATGTGCCAGATCGAGGGAATGCGCACCATCGAACCGTGGTTGGCTGCAAACACGAGCACGCGTGCGAGCGCGCCGAGTTGGATGCCGCCAATCTGCTTCCCTTTGTGCGTTTTTGGAATGACTTTTGTGCGCAGGTCAGCCCAGAGCGCGTCGCGGTCTTGGCGATAGTCTTCGGTCAAGTCGTTTTCCGAGACCATCGAGAGGTCAATCAGACGCTCGCGCGTGGCCGCTGGCAAAAAGAGCGTGTGGCAGGCGAGCGATGGGAACACGTCGGCCAGTGACGCCTCTGCCGATGATTCTGCCTTGCGGTCCTTGTTTGCTGCGGCGGCGTCAGCGCCAGCGCCAGCAGCGTGTGTGGCTGAGGCGGGTTGGAGCTGCTTTCGGGACTTGGACGCATTGACCAAGCGGTGGAGCCATTCGGTGGGCGTCTCGTTGTTGACGAGCTGCTGAGCAAAGTCCTCGACCACCCAAGTCAGCGGAGGGAACTTGACGAGCTCCGGGTCGAACTATCACCAGCCACACAACAAACAATAAATGAGAGAGAGTGAGGAGAGAGGGAGACACAAAGTACGAGTTTTGCTTGCTCCTCAAAGAGAGCCCCGTCTCGCGTTCCCCGCATACCTCAATCACATCCTCTTCTTGCTCGTGTTGGTGCTGCTGAGCGGCTGCCGTTGAGGCCTCTGGGGCACCAGCGGGATCGAGCTGTGCCTTGAGGGCAAAGAGCTGGGTGCGACGCGCGAGGAGCTCGACATAGTCGATGGCGCTTTGGTCGATAATCTTGACATTGTTGAAGAGAAGGTGGGAGCTCATCAACGTGGCCACGGCGAAAATCTTGCTGTCGTACACGGGGTTGGCGTCGACGCCAGCAAAGCCTTCCGTGTCGACAAACAAGACGGTCATTTCCTTCTGACCCGGACGCAGCGAGAGGGATCGGAATCCCGAAATCCAGATGCCCATTGTCTCGGGATTGGTCGTGGGTCCGACCTTGAAACCCGACGCCGGGTCTTGTTGGTGGAGGGAATCGCTGAACTCGGCTGCGCAGTCGCTGGAGCTGTCTCCCGCCTCTTGGGCTGCCTTCTGTTGGAGCTGATTGAGCAAGAACGATTTACCTGCGGCAGAGTTTCATCCAAAGCGATGATGTTTAGTTCTTGTCGTCTCAGACGCTCTGCTCGTTCGACATTCACCCTAATCCCCGGCAATCTAAAAAGCGCGTCATCTCACCAGAATGGAACGGGCCAACAGTGCTGATGACTGCGATGGGTCCAGTGAGGCTTCGGAGCTGCTCGATCGTGTCCTCGACAATCTCGAGCTTGGAGTGCGTTGCGTCGGGTCGAACAAGCTGCATTGGGCGCGAGATGCTCGTCCAGATGCACCGCGCCGAGTCGCTGGTCGCGCCCGCTCCTGATGATGATGCTGCCATGTCCGCAGCAGTGGCTGAAGCAGCAGCAGCAGCGGTGGCCGCGATCAGCGTCGCAAGCAGCTGCACGAGCAGAGCACGCAGGCCTCCACCACGCTGCTGCTCCCTCCTGAGCTTGCCCGTCCTCGTCGTCGTTGTCGCCATTGAAGCGTTCTCAACACCAAAATGACAGACAACAACAAAGAGAAAGATCACAAATTGAGTGGGAGTTTCGAAACTCAGAAAAGTAGAAAAAAAAACAAAAACAAAAAAAAGCTGGACTGAATTGCTAAGAAACTGATTGATTTATCCAAATATCACACAATATCACATCATCAATCTAGTATCATTGCTTGTTCAGAGTCAGTCTTCATCTTTTGGACTTGGGATTCATTCATTCATCGCAATCATAATGGCTGGCACAATGGGCGCTTCGGCTGCAGTGCTGCGACTGCTCTCAGACTACAAGCACGTCCAAGCGGATCCACCAGAGGTATCCACCCTTCTCCCCTGTTTGTGCTTGTCGATACCCCCAAGACGACCAAATTCATCCCAATCCATTGGACTCTGAGATTGATCTCTGAGTTTTTGAGCTGACTGACTTTTTGTTCTTGTTGCAATTGGCTGTGCGCTGTGTTAGGGCTGCTCTGCCGCGCCGGTCAGCGAAGACAACCTCTTCCAATGGAACGCCGCAGTCTCAGGAGTGAGTCTTACAAGACCTGTGGCTTGGCCTTGGCTTGAGTGCTGTTGAGCATTGGAGTGGCCGAGGGCTGAAGCAAGGAACGTCATCGCTTTCCATTGGGGAAACGACGTCCCCTCTCCTTGCCTCTGTTTGGACTGCCCTATGGCTTGGGGAGGGGGTGACTGACGTTGTTGGACTGCAAATCTCACCCCTCTGAATCGCTCTTTCCCCTCCCGCAGCCGGAAGGAACGCCGTGGGAAGGCGGCATCTACAACATGCACCTTGCATTCAGCGACAACTACCCGACCAAGCCACCCAAGATCCGGTTTGTGAGCGAAATGGTAACGTTACATTCCTTGGTGACAAGCGAAGGAAGCGCAGGGGGCAGAGGGGTTGGAGCTCATTGAACGCTGCTTTGATCTTGGTTTTTGACTGTTTTGTTCGTCTCCGTGTAATGTGATGCTGGCAGTTCCACCCCAATATCTATTCGGATGGCTCGGTATGTCAAGCCAGATTCCCCCCTTAGTGATGAGTTTGTTGATCAACGGAACAAACACTCACTGGGCTTTTGTTTTTTTCTTCTTCTTTTTGTTTTTTCGTTTTGGCTGCCAGATTTGCCTCGACATTATCCAAGACAAGTGGTCGCCAATCTACACCATCTCGTCCATTCTGACATCGATTCAGGTGAGAGTGACGCGCGAACTGGACTTTGGCAGGATGCTTGCACGCGCTGTTGTTTTGACTTGTGTTCCCGGCCTTTCAATTCTACTACAGTCGCTGTTGGCAGACCCAAATATCAACTCGCCTGCCAACCCCGATGCAGCAAGTCTGTACAGCAAGGATATCAAGGCCTACAAGCGACGTGTCCGTCAATGTGCCGAGCGTTCCATCAACTGATGGAGTGTTTCGTCAAGGTTTTTTGTTCTTCCGTCTACTTTTGCAAGCACATTGTGCGCCCGTTCCCTGTAGAGGGGAGGGGTTATTGATATGCCACTATGGTTTCCTGCTTTTTCTTACGGCTACAGTATGGCACCCGAAATAAACAAAATCTACTATATTGCTATGAAAAACAAAACATTGCCACATCAAACAATGGACACACCCAAAAAGGGGGGGGGGGCGCCGCTTTTGGGCCGCAATCAATGGCACGACATGACAGACAAGCCGTGCGCACGAGCAAGACGAACGCCGCCAGCAACCAAGGCACCAGCCACCAACAGCGTCGCGCCCCAGCTAAACCAAGTGGAACCCGACCGAGCGCCATCGCTGTCAATGCGCGTTTCGCTCCGCAGCTGACGCAGGTCGTAGGCGTTGTTGACGCGAGCTCCGGCAATGGCGGACAGGGCTGTGCGCGAGCGCTCCACGCCGGCCAATGCGCCAACCACCTCGTCCGCGGCACGGAGACCAGCACGCACTGCGCCATCCATAAAGCCTTGCAGCTCGTGGGCCGTCTCTGTGCCAGCCCAGTGAATGCGGCCGCACGGCTCACGAAGAGTGGCACCGGCCGACCAGAGCGAGCCCGTCGACCAAAGTCCAGCAGGACAGCCGATCGCGAAAGGATCTGAGCCCCACTCCTTTTCAATAACGCCGTGCAGCTCAGTGTCAACACGCGAGCCAAACCAGCGACGCAAGCGAGCCACCACGCGGTCGGAGCGCTCTTGTGCAGTCAGCAACGACCATTGGCGAGCCAGATCGCCACCTGCAAAGACGACGAGCGCGGGCTGCAGGGTCCCATCCGAACGCGGCAGCGAGTCGTCAAAGCACACACAGAGCGAATCAGACAAGGCCTCGCCGGAAAGCCCGTCGTTGAGCCAAAACCGAGTCTGGAAGAAGGCGATGAATTTGGTCTGCGAGCCAATAAAGCTCCGCTGCATGAGCCACTGGCGTGTTTGCGGCAATGGAGGCTCAAACAGCATGCGATTCGCCACGGCGGGCGGCGTGGCAACAATGACGCGACGCGCGCGGACTTGGCGCGCCTGCTGCGCCTTGCCGGCGCCGCGTTGCTGGACATAACGCACCACGATCGAGCCGTTCGCGACATCTTGCTCAATGCCCACCACTCGCGAGGAGGTCTGCACGCGTCCGCGAGAACCAAAGTCCGAGCTGACTTTGGCCATCAGCGCTTCCGAGATTTGCTGCGTGCCGCCAACGACCGTCCATTGCTGAAGGCCGTGCTCAATCTTGAGCAGCGTGTCGATGCCGCCGGCACAGCGAGCATACCACAGAAAGTTGAGGAGGGTGATTTCACTCGGCTCGGTGCCAAACACGACCTGCGTGAGCATGCGCAACATGCGACGCGTCGACTCGAGGTAGGTGATGCGCTCGACCACGGACGCGACCGTCTCGCTGTCCCAGCGCTTTGCATTGGGGCAGTTGAGCGGGTTGTCCAGGGGCACCTGCGCAACCATGCGATCCAGGCGCCACAGGGCGAGTTGTGCGTCCAGCAGCCCAAAGAGCCCAACGCCGACGGGAATGTCAGCCGAGTACGTCGATCGCACTCCGCTGAGATCGAGCACCTTGCGACCAGCATGGTACTGCTCGTGCTTCTTGAGTCCCAGCAGGTCGACCAGATGGCAGATGGCCCTCTGCGTCGGCCCAATCCACTGGCCGCCCAGGTCAATGTACAGGCCGAGCTCGGATTGCTTGGCGGCAGCGGCAAACGACGGCACCGTGGTCCGCGCCGCAGCAAGATCGCGCATCAAGGGACTTGGGTTGGGAATGTTTGCGGCTGCAGGGCCATCGCCGACGTGTGTCCACGACGAGACGACTGTCGAAGCGCCAGTAGCGGTAGCGGTTGAGGAGTGATCGGTTGAGGAAGCAGCAGCAGATTCAGCGAAGGGAGGCAGGACGGCAGTGAATGTGCGGCCGCCGACGCGCGAGTTGGCCTCAAGCACGAGCACGGACGCTGGGGCTGCGATTGGGACGATCGTTGAGCCCGAAGCAGAAGAAGCAGAAGCAGAAGCAGAAGCAGAGGGCGAGATTGACGAGGTTGACGAGGTTGACGATCCGGCAGCATCCGACGCCGAGCTCGGTGCAGAGGATGACGGAGCAGCACCACCACTCAGAGTGGACGCAGGCGCAGCGGCGGCGGCGGCGGCGAGTGTCGCGGTGGCGTTGGCAGAGGGCGAATCGGGCGTCGCAGTGAGGCTCAGTACGTGCCACGCAGCAGTGAGACCGCTGATGCCGCCGCCGACCACCACGACGTCGACGACCTCGGTGTCCGCAGCAGCAGCAGCAGCAGCAGCAGCGTCGGCGTTCGCGATGGCGGTTGAGTGCGATTCCATGAAAAAGATGATCAGCGGAGAAAAGATAAGAAGTGAAGTCAATCAAATTAGGAAGATAAAAGTCACGAGTCTGAGAGCAGATCAAATCAGGAAATGTTGATTTAGCGGATCAAATTAGGAAATGTTGATTTAGCGGATCAAATTAGGAAATGTTGATTGGTGGGCCAAAAATGGGAACAACTTGCTGAGAAATGGAGGAAAAAGACAGCGAGCTCGAAAAACATTTCAATATATCGAATAAAAAATACAAGAACAAACGTTCGTACACATCATGCAAAACAAAACACAACAACAAGGAATCGCGCAGCACACGTCTAGTTGGTCTTGATGAGCTGCTGGAAACACTCATACAACTTGCAGGCCTTGCCAAGCGTGAGGCCAAGCGGCGCCTGCGTAAAATACCCGACCTGGAGCATGGACAAGACCTCGCCGGATATCTCCTCTTGCAAAAAACGGGTGGCAACATCGGCGTGCCCGCATCGCTCGAGGTACTCGGCCACCTCCCGCGAAGACCACTGACGAAAATCCAGCGAATTACCATGGCGGCTGCCGTCGTCCTCGGACGAAGAAGACCAGCTGCTGCGGGGCGAGAGCTTGGAGGCAGTCGTGTGGTCGTCGCCAGATACTGAGGAAGCACAAGATGACGCCGAGTCGCTGCCGGCTCTGATGTTGCTGTTGCTGTTGCCGTTGCTGTTGCTGTTGTTGTTGTCGCCATGATTGTCATGATGCAGGTCGTCCTGATCGCTGCCGCTGGCACCAGACTCGTCACTGTCACTACTGGATCGCTTGCTACGAGAGTGCGCGGGCGCAAGTCCAAGATCAACCTGGTGGAGCGCGAGCGCTTCGAGCAGCATGGACGCCTTGCGACGGCGGTCTCGCTTCTCCTGGAAGCTAAAACGAGCAGCGCGCTTGGAAATGCGTGCGTTGGCAGCATCCAAGGCAGCATCCAAGGAGGTAAGGCTGAGCGGTTGCGAACCAGTCGCTTCGCAAACACGGTGCTGAGCTGTGTGTTGTTCGGTCGGGTTTCCTGCAGCTGCTGCTGAGGCTGCTGAGGCTGCTGAACTGGGCCAAACTGGGCCAGCATGGTGGAGTCCAGGCCTGCGCCCTGCTGCTGTAAAACAAGGGCTGCAAGCGCCATTGCCTCTTCGACGACGGCGACTTGACCGGGCTGCGCAAACGGCTGCAGGTGCACGCCGAGTTCTGCGGGCAGGGTCTGCAGGAAGGCTGCCATCTCTGCGTGGGCTTTGGCGAGCACCGTGAGTCGCTCCTCGAGGACCTTGACGTACTCTCGCTTCTTATCCCGCGACTTGCGCGCCGAGATGGCGTTTCGCTCGCGGCGGATTTGGATGTTGGCAGAAGGCGCCGGCACCCCACCCGACGACAATCCAGCGGTGGCAGCAGTGTTTTGAAGCGAACTGGCAGCGAGCGCCGATTCTGGCACTGCATTTGTGGGTGGCTTGGCAAGCGGTGCAGCAGCAGCAGCGTTGCGGTGCCAATCGGCAGCACTTGTTGCACTCTGTGCATACTGAGCAGAAGTATCCGCAGCGACCACTCCAATCGGCTTTTGCGAATACACGGTGGGCATCAATGACGAAGACGCAGAGGGTGCAGCTTGAGGTTGGATGATGGCTCGATTTCCATTAGCTGACGACGATGACGAAACTGTAGAGCCAAAATACAAAAAAAAATCAGCCATTGAGAACCATGTGCAGAACAACTCGGTTTTCATCGTCATCATTATTATCATCGTTGTCGTTTTGTTCCCATTCATGGAATAAGAGACGTATAGTGGATGTCGAAGAAGAGAAGCAGTGAAAGAAGAGAACACGAAAAGCCAAAGGAAGGCCAAAAGCAAAGCAAAAAAAAAACGTCAAAAATCGAAAAAGACGTCATCGCATTGTCATCACGTCATGCAATACAAAACTCTCTCTCTCGCTTTCCCCGATTTCACCACTGCAATGGCACGAGACCAAAGACACTGAGACTCGTGTCAAAGGGCGGAGAAACTGATGTGAATCACAATAGCGCAAATCAAAGCACGGGTGAGCGGCGTTTGGAGGTTGGGTTTACCGGCAGCGGCCGCGGCAGCGAGGATTTCGACGCTGTTGCGCATGGCGGCGTGACTGTGACTGGAAGAAGGTGCAGACGTGGGCAGTGACGACGACGACGAGGATTGCTTGGGCATCGGCGCAAGTGGGTGCGATTGGAAGCCCCCTGCAGGAGACGGTGTTGTATGCATGGGCACAGGCGATGGGTGGTACGCGGAGGTGGCTGAAGTGGGAGGAAGAGCGAACGGTGAGGCGCCAATCGAAGTCATTGCGACGAGCATTGGAGGGGGGAATAATGGCAAAATGGAGAGTGACCCCGCATCCAAATAAATTTGAGAAAGGAAAAAAGCAAAAGAGAGAGCAGCAATGGGGAATGAGCAGAATAACATGGGAGCTTGTGTTCTAAATCCATGCGGATGAGATTCAGTGCCAAACGCTTGAACTGCATTGTTTCACGGAATTACAACTCCAACCTTGTTACAGCATCCTCTTTTCTGCATTTGGATGGGTTGTTCTTTACTTTGGTCAGTCCTACAAAAACAACCTTTCAACCAACCTTCGTTGCTTGTTTCACTTCAGTGTTTCGGTACTGCCCAAAAGCGCTGTTTGTTTCGCTTCCCCATCCTCCCCCTGAACCCGCTCCTGCACCCTGCGTATTCATGCTGCTTTGATCTCCATTTTACTCGAGTATGACCTTGCATTCAGCTGTTGGAGACGGACGGGCTGAGCCAGACGCCAAACCGTTGCAACCGCCCAAAAAGCAAAAAAAAAAAAAAAAAAAAAGTCGTTCTCGCATCTCCCTTCAAGCATCGCCTCGCTCACAATCGCCTCGCCCGCTCCCTCCTCCCCCGTCCACTAATACACCCTCCACTCAACTGGTATAGTCCTAGCGTTCCGCGGCTGTTGCGTTTCGACCTCCAGCTTTTCGTATTCCCTCTCAACGGTTTTCCCATTCAAAATCTGGCAACTGTTTACGGATCGGTTTCATGTTTTCGCGGTTTTTTTGTTTGATGGTTTCTCCTTCTGACTGCTTTTGCGCCCTCTCGCTTCTCTCTCGCTTCTCGATTCTCGTCCTGCGTTCCGACATGAGATGTGTGAATCACGGATTTGCTGAACGAAAAAAATCAAACCCTCGCCAAATGGCAACCACGCGACCGATCGCGTTGAGAAGCAACGGTTTTACGGCCCAAAAAACAAAAACCTACAATTTTGAAACCACTTTGCGCGCGCGCACTCCCACTCGATCACCCGTATCCTCAACCGGTACATATTGCCGCCGAATCTACAACAATCTATTCTTCTAAACCTATCATTCCAGTGCTGGATGAATGAAAGGAGAGGCTGGAAAATCCGAGCTTGAAACAACGCTTTGAAACCGTTTGACAAGTCTCGGATTTTTGTTTCAACCTGTTTCACCAACCGTCGTGCTCACTCGTGAATGTCTGCTCTGCTTTGACAGACCCTTTTGTCTCGCGTTATATTACTTTTATAGCAGTTCCAAGTAATAGGTCACCATGTCTGTCGACGTTAGCCACAGTATCTCCATTGAAACAAACAAGGAAAACTTTGAATTGAGCGAAAACGTTGCCTCGAAATTTTCGTCCTTCTCTTCTTCAATGCAAGTCAGCAACGCCGCGACGTCAAGAGCACCGTTTGCGCAAACGTCTGCCAACCGCTTCAATGTTAACATGGACCACTCGACGCAATCCAAGCTCCGATTCGGATGCTTTGCCTTTTCCAAGCCAACCACGATCGAATCCGCCTGCAACAGCAACATCCGTCAAGAAGAAAACCAAGAAAACGGTTCCTCGTCGTCCAGCACACCAGTTGCTCCGCGATCAGTCGATCAGTCACCCGTCGTGGCCTCTAGTGTCGAATTCCAATCACCGGTTCTGCCAAGATTGCAAAAATCCGGCGCGAGCAGCGATGTGCAAGGATCGATTTCCGACAACCAAGTGACGGAGCGTCTCGCCATGCTCTCGCCCCGGCAACAACAGCAGCGATCGGTGGAGCGATTGCAACTACGTCTGCAAATGTCTGCGTCTGCCCGTCAACGCGGATCTGACTCGCTTTCTCGCTCGATCGTGTTTGCCGACTTGAAGCGAAGGCACTCGCTGGCCCGGCTCGAGTTTGCCCCTGCATCACCCGTCCAAACACAAGCAACTGGTGCCGTTCAATCGACTTTGTCAAGTACAGCATCGCCGTCAGCAGCGGCGTCGGCATCGTGCCCAGCAACCCCTACCGTGCTGTCCACTTCGCGGCACGGCCCATTGACCGTCAGCGTAGTAGCAAAAGGCACTCTTCAACGTGCTCGGCAAGCCTCGTGTGTAGCAGTCCCGTCTTCATCGTGGTGCTACGAGTTTTCTTAACAGCAAAGAAGGGGTGTAGGTTGTTGTACTTGGGAATGTGTTATGTGTGGTACTTGTTCTGTTCAATGTTTTGTTGGTGTTGCTGTTGTTGTTGTTTGGTTTTTTGGTTTGGTCGCTGTTATCATCTTTTTTAGATTTGTGAATTAAACTCGCTCGCGTCATTTTAGATGCTTTGCAATGTTCAATCAAAGTGATGAACAGATTCAACTCAATCAAAGAAGCGTATCTGACAACACTCACAACCAGTGTGAGAGCGCAGCTTCTTTATTCGTGAAAGAAAAAAATAAGGCTCGACAGGCACAAGGCATAACGACAACAACAACAAAGCGAGGTGGGGGAAAAACTCTAAACAAGCAACAAGAAAATCGCGACCAGCACAAATGTACACCCACCTGAAATCAAAACCGAAACGGCAAGGAAAAACCAGCAAAAAAAAATCAAACAACGCATGCAACAACAAAAAGCAACATCTCAAACCAAAAAAAAAACTAACAATCACAATAGAAAGAAAAGAAAAAACAAACAAAAGAGGCAGACAAGGTGACCGACTACTTTGCTCGCGAATCCAGCTGAGGCAAGGACTGCTGGCGAGACATTTTGTTTTTAAAGAGGGATGACGGCTTGTCGTCGGACATGTGGGAGGTTCGGCGAACGAGATTCGAACCGCCGGTGGAAGGCGGGCTGCTGGTCGTGCCGGAACCGCTCACGCTGCCACCGCCGTTCACGCTTCCAGTGCCTGCAAGGTCCACAAAGCGCTTTCGCTCAATGTCATTCACAAGAGTGCAGAGAAGGCTTTCGCGGAACTTGCAGATCGGCAAGTAGAATTGGCGTGCCTGCATGGCATTCTGCTGGGCGACGCACAGAATTTGCAACAGCCGCTCTTTGAGCTGCGGACCGCTCTCCCAAAGCGTCGGCGCAACAATGCCTTCGGGTTGCGGAACTTCCAGCTTGGCTGCCACGTCCACATGGTAGAAGGACTTGTTCGGCGCGGCTGCGGCAACTTCTGGCGGTGGCGAGGTTTCTGGACGCACAACCAGCACGACGTGGTTGAACTGCGACTTGATAAGCGACGGGCAGTATGGCTGCTTGCTCTCGTGGTACACAATAACGCACACGTCGTTGCCAATGTGCCGCTTGCGCTGCAGTTGCTGCTTGTCCACAGCTCCGTACGGGAGCATTGTAGCCACATGGAACATGATCTCGGCATCTCGCCACTTTGTGTAGACGGAAACTTCGCCCGTGGTGTCCGTGCGAGTGTCCAGACCAGCGGCATACCCGACAAAGCCCTTGAGCTGCACGACATCGCCGAGCTGGCTCAAAAAGTTGGAAAAGCCTGCGCTGGGCTCCGAGTTGGCAAAGACATCGTCCTCGTGGGTTTGTCCATCGCGCACATACACGACGCCAAACTTGAAGCGGGTTGGGAAGAACATGTCAAAGAGGTGGTCTTCGATCTTGAGCAGCGAGTTGGGAGTATAGACAGACTCGCGCACACGCTTGAGAGACGTGATGGCGGAGCGGAACTCAAGGGGAAAGTGAGGCGACACCAAGTGCAGTGCACGCCGCGCCCGGGATTTCACTGCAGCAGTGATTTTCTTCCAACGGTTGGAGTCGTCCACAAACGCAGTGCAGATGACCGCGTCCTGCGTCCACAACAGCGCAATGTAGTGTCGGTGATTGCTGGCGTGCGAGTCTTGCGAACTAGACTGCCCGTGCTTGTCCTTCTCCTGGGTGGAGGCTTTCGAGTCGAGTGCAGCAATATTGTCGAACGAAAAGACGCCGCTGGCACGTGCTGGGGCGGGCGCCGTCTTTGGCGACAAAATGGGCGGGGAGAGCGGCTGGTCGCTGTCCGAGCTGCCGCCGCCGTCGCGCGACGGCTCGTGAAGCGAGTCGGTTTGCGACTGGGTCTCCGACCCGACCGAGCCACGCGAGCCGCCGAACTTGTCACGACTCTCCACCGTCAACCGGGCGTTCGGATGGTCTTTATAGTCCTTTTCCTCGCAAAAGATGGCCAAAATCATGGGTGCATTGTCCTGCGTCCCGCAGAAAATCTTGTGCTTGTGACCGTAAAAGAACTCGCGATAGAATCGATAGCTCAGCTCAATTCCGCGGTGCGATTCGGGCGACAGAGCAGAAGCAGCAGCAGCGGCGGCAGCGGCAGTCGTAGTCACGACATTGGCGCCACCACCGGTCGACAACGGAGCGGCCGGCGTGCCAACATTTGCGCTGCCTCGACGCATGCCTCCGGGCGAGGCCAGCGAGGGCAGGCTGTTGGAAGAGTCTGTGGAGGTATACGATGATTGCCGGCGATGGCTGAGAGCGGCAGCAGAGTGGGGTGAAGCCGGCAGCATGGGCGACGACGCGGCGGCGAGATTGCTGAGGCTGCTGGCGTGGCTCATGCTGGCGCTCTGAGCGCCGCTTGGCACGTCGTCGTCCTCGGCAATCCAGACGTCGCGTGCTGAATAAATGTACCAGGCAGGGTCGGCGACCAGCAGCTGCTGCGTCGGCCCGCCAGGCTGTCGCGGAACTGGCGAAACAGACCCTGGAATGACAATGGCGGGAGGCGTTGTGGCACGCTGGACGCTGCTCGTCGGGGCAGCGCCTACCTTGCTGGCAGCCTTGGAAAGGGTCGCGGCAACGAGCGAACCAGCCCCTTCTGGCGGAGTTGGCGTGCCCGAGCGAGACCCGCCAGTGTTGCTGCTGACCGACGGGCGGCGACGGAAGACGGACTGTCGGTGGCCGCCGCCGAGCGAGTGCACCGAGTCGGAGCTGGCACGCTTCTTGGGCAGCATCGCTTCGACTGCCTCTTCGGACAGAATGATGGACAGTCGGCCGGTCGCTGCAAATCCCCGAGCCGGCTTTTTCGTCTCCGTGTTTGTTTCCATTTCGTCAGCGGCACCGCCAAGCCCGGTGATGGCCAAGTCGAAGATTGGATTGGCAAAGTAGGCCGACTTCATGGTTTCGTCGGGAAACTCTTCTTCATTGAGCAGAAAGTTGGCCCATCCTGTGGGTGTCGAGCCCAGGGTGCCCGTGTTGATTGGCGAGTCTGTCATCGGGTGCCAGTCGACTGGAGTAGGATATGCACGCCTAGTGGATTTAGCCTTTGTTTTGTTTTTTCAAGTGGAGGTTTGTTTGTTTCTCCGAGTCTGTCTCACCCGGTGACGAGGGGGGTGAGTCAAAATGGGGGTGTTTGTTCGTGTTCCTTGGGTGCTGGATTGATTCGAGTCCGAATTGAGACGCAAGCAGCGATCTGTCAGATGTGCCAAGCGAGCCAAAGTGATTGGTGAGTTGTCAGCAATTGTTTGGTTCTTGGTGATGACTGCTTGATTTTCACCCAATTCTGAGCGGTTGTGACTCATCGCGTTCTTGTTTTGGAAGATTTGATTTTTTGATTTTTTTTTATTTTTTTTTCTTTTTTTTTCACCATGTTTTTGAATTTTTAGATCTGTTTTTGGTCATCAAATCTGCCTAAACGTCGCTCGTGCAAGAAGGCGAAGGACTGCCATCCGCACACTCGTAAAGCACAGCGCACGTTTATATGCGACCATGCACGAAGACATGTCCACTCCTCGGACAAGCTCACGAAAAATTGCAGCCAAAACAGCGTGAGCGGTTGTTGGCAACCGAAAACACCTTTGGAAACACAATACGAATACAACAGAAATCGAGCTGCGACCGACACAGTGTCACAACCCCATCTCGTGGTCTGGAGCATGTCGAGCGTGGGGGGGGGGGAAATCTGAGGCTGTCGATGATGAGAACGGCCCACGGAGTAGTGTGATCAAAAGCGTCACGATGGTGGGGCTTCTGAGGCGTTGTGAGCAGCCGACACACTACACCGCAGCGCAGCGCACCGCACCAATGCCTTGGCTCGGCTTCACCGCGATCGCAATACTCCGAGAGTTGCTGGGGTATGCAACCAACCCCCTCCGTGGACGAGAAGCGAAAAAAAAAAAAAAGCAGAACTGTGGCAGCAACAAGAAAAACCGCCGACGCCACTTGTCTTTGCAAAGCAGCAAGTGCGCCGTCAAGCCGAGGGTACGTGTGTGCGTGTGTGTGTGTGTGTGTGTGTGTGTCAAATGTGAGTGTGTGTGTGCTGCAATGCCGCAATGCTGCTGCTGCTGCGCTCAAAAACCTCACTTCAATCAAAAAACCGTCAAACAAAAAGGAAATGATGTTGTTGCCAAAGAAGCAAAAAAAAAAAAAAAAAAAAAAAAAAAAGGAGATGAATTTCACGCCAAAACGAACAGCGACCAAAGCCGGGCCCGCGAGTCGAGAAACGAGGCGACGCTGGGTTGGTTGCGTGTGCAATGATACAGTGTTTGTGTGCAGCGCGTGTTCACGAGTGCAGCAAGAAAAGCCGCCGTCCGAAAGAGACAAAGGAAAAAAACCAATCTACGCGAAATGAAATTTGAAAAAAAAAAAAAAAAAAAACTCACCAACAAAGGCAAAAAGAGAACAATTGGTCGAAAATGAGAATTCAGAAACGAGAATAAAAAGAAAAAAGAAAAAAGAAAAGACTGAGAAAATTGAATTCGTGACTGTTGTAAATTTGTCACTTTGTCAGCAATTTCAGCATCGCAATTCAGACGACAACTGCACTTGGACTGTAATTCACAAGAATGGATTGGATTTTTACAACGAAAAAAGAACAAAACAACCAAATCACAAAACAAACCAAAATGTCTAAACACGCGTCTCGTCACCGGGCAGTTGCTCCATCTCAATGTGCACACTGCGGTGCTCGACGGTCAAGGGACGCGGCGGCAATGTCGTCGCGAAATTGATAGCTGGGAGGTGGAGCTGGGATGCAAAGCCTGTCGTCGTATTGGACGCGTTAAAGTCCACGGGCGCGCGCAGCGTCAGGCCGGTAGACCGAGAGCGCGTTGGCGAAGGCGAAGAAGTCGCAGACGAAGAGTAGCCTTGCCTCACATCGTCGTGCGAGCTGTAATACGCCGACGACGTCGGACGACTGCGGGCAAGCGTGCTGCTATTGTTGGTGGCGTACCCACTGCTTGTGCTGCCAAAGTTCGAGCTGGCCGAGCTGTGGCCACCGGACGTGCGCGAGGTCGATCGCATCCGCAAAGAATGGTAGCTCTTGTCAACCGCCTTGCGGTACTCGGTCAGCACGCGGCGATTGCAGCAGTACAGGACAAAAATGAAAAAGCCTTGCAAGCTGTTGAAGATGACAAACAAGTACTCCATGGCCGTGGCGGCGTCGTCGAGCGCAAGAATGCCAAACACCCAGGTGACGCCGAGCAAGACAAAGATGGCGGCGATGGCACGCGCCTGCGGCCGGTTTTCTTGCTGCAGCGATTTGAGCTCGGCAGCGTTGCGAAGCAGTGCCCGGACAATGGCAATAAACAGGACAAAGTTGACAGCAATCAGAACGAGCACGGGCACGACGAACGCGCCAAGCAGCGCCGCCCGCTCGGTAATCCAGCACGCCGTGGTGCTGCCATAATTGTCAATGTCCACGGCCATGGTGATGATGACAAAGAGGGCCGGAACAGACCAGCACGCAATGGCAATGTGCTTAAAATACAGGTGCGTGTTCGAGTCGAGCAGAACGATGGCGCGGAAGAGCGACACCACCATGGCAAACATCCAAAAGAAGGCTGTCAGCAGGAAGTAGTGCAAAAAGATGGCGGTCGCACGGCACTGGCCCCATTCGGTGGAGCTGTGGTCTTCATCGTCCTGGAGACTGGAAGGAGGCGAAGCACCTGCCAAGAATACGAGATTGACGGCAAAGATGGCCACGCACAGGTGCATGACCATCCGGATGGCAGGCGTGCGCAGTTGCGAGAATGCCAAGAACGTCCCAAAGGTGAGCAGAACGCCAGCCAACGACAGGGCACAGCCGACATAGGTGATGGTGCTCAGCACTTCAGAAGATCCGCTGGCGCCATTGAGGTCAAACAGGACGGAAAAGTCGGTCGCGTGGTTGCAGCTGCACTCGGTGGTGAAGCTGTCAATTTCACGCGTTGTGCAGCCAGTTGTCGACCAGCTGCTGATTGCATAGTCATACCAGACACACGACCGAGCCGGTGCTGACGCGGTCGCGGTCGCGGCCGGATGGCCGAACGTAAAGCGCAGCGGTTCCGAGAGATTGGTGAGAACTTGGCCTTGCACGCTGAACGAGAGGATTTGGGAACCAATAAACACCTCGCCAGGGACCATCTGTGAGCTCGGGAAGAAGGCATCACTCGTCATAATCGAAGCCTCAATGACAAAATTCGACAGGGACGTTGCCGCCGCCAGAGCAAGCAGCACAGAGCCGGGCAAGGCCACGTCAACAACGTAATGTCCAGCCCCACCGGTCGAGCCTTGGCTCGTGATGGCAATCACAGACGATTCGTTAATGTTGGCCACGCTGACCGGGGCTACAATGATTTGAATTTCCGGTGACTGGTAGTCAACAGTGCCGTCGGGTCGCGTGTACTGGGGAGGCGAGGCGAGGAGGAGAACGGTTGAAATCTCGCGGATGATGGAACCTGGGTTGAACGTCGAGACGTTCGTGATGGCGGTGGTGATGGATGGAATCGAGGACATGGCAACGAAAATTTGAATGACCGACACAACCGAGGTCGAGCCAGGCGTGACTGGCAGACCAAAGAAGGCATCAAAGATGGTCGTGACAGCGGTCAAATCTCCAGAAGCAAAGTTCGACGTCTGGTTGACCACGTTCAGCACTTGTGTGAGAACAACAACCGCAGTGGTAGCGTTCATGTTCTTGTTGAGCTCGGAGAGCGTATCGGAAACGCTGGTGCAAGCTGCAATGGGCGCATTCCACGTTCCGGTCACGCTGCACGTGCGTGTCACTGTGCCACTCACACCTCCAAGACAAGAAGTTGAAATGGTCGTGTTACTGATGGTGGCGGGCCAGGTGATTCCATTCAGCGCATTCTCCTCACAGCGTGGGACGCAAGAAGATCCAGAAGCCACCAACGGCGGTGGGCACTGGCCCAAGCACATTCTGTTTGAAACGTAGGGCTTCTCGGCACTGCATTGGGTAACGCAAGTGGATCCTTCGGACAGCTCCGGGCAAGAGGTCAGGCAGTGTGTCGCGTTGTGGAATGCAGCACATTGGCCAACGCATGTCTTGCTCGACGACACGAACGGATTTTGGGCACTGCATTTTGTAACGCAAGTCATTCCGTCAGACAGTTCAGGACACGAGGTCAGGCAGTGCGTGGTGTTGTGGAATCCAGAGCATTCGCTCACGCATGTCTTGCTCGACGACACGAACGGGTTTTGGGCGCTGCATTCGGAGACGCAAGTCATTCCGTCAGACAGTTCAGGACACGAGGTCAGGCAGTGCGTGGCGTTGTGGAATCCAGAGCATTCGCTCACGCACGTCGCGCTCAACGACACGAACGGGTTTTGGCCGCTGCATTGGGAGACGCAAGTCATTCCGTCAGACAGTTCAGGACACGAGGTCAGACAGTGCGTGGCGTTGTGGAATCCAGGGCACTGGCCAACGCATGTCTTGCTCGACGACACGAACGGATTTTGGCCACTGCATTGGGAGACACAAGTCATTCCTTCGGAAAGCTCTGGACAGGATGTCAGACAGTGTGTGGCATTGTGGAATCCAGGGCACTGGCCAACGCATGTCTTGCTCGACGACACGAACGGGTTTTGGCCGCTGCATTTTGTAACGCAAGTCATTCCGTCAGACAGTTCAGGACACGAGGTCAGGCAGTGTGTGGCGTTGTGGAATCCAGGGCACTGGCCAACGCATGTCTTGTTCGACGACACGAACGGGTTTTGGCCGCTGCATTCAGAAACACAAGTCATTCCTTCAGACAGCTCTGGACACAAGGTCAAGCAGTGCGTGTCGTTGTGCAACGTCGGGCATTGAGAAACGCACTGTTGCCCGAAAATATAGCCAGAGAGGCAGTGCGACAGACAGAAGGTTCCCGAGATAAAGTAATCAGAAGGACACTGCGCCGGGAGAATGCAGGTGCCGTTGGCCAGCGCCAGCGTGCCCTGTGGACAAGCGACAACGCACTGGTTGCCGTGCGTGAACAAGCCGCTCGGACACGAGCGGTAGCAGACGCCAGACCAGAGCACCGTGTCAGCAGGGCACTTGGCTGCACAAACTCGCGTGTCGTTGACAGCCACTTGGCCAGCGGGGCATGTGTGAACACAGTCGCTATCAGAGAGCCACATTGACGAGTAGCACGAGGTGCAGCCAATCTGTGCACACGTTTGACAAGTGGCCGAGCACTCTGCATCCAACAAAAACAACAGATCGAATATGACCAACATTTCCAGTTAGAAATCAATCAAGCCTGCAACAAAATCACCCGTTTCGTTTTTCTCAACCAAAAACAAAACGTTTGAGCAAAGACACCCGTCGGACACCCGTTTTGCCCCGTGGTCGGTCGTCACTTACCCAAACAGAACTGACCAGCCGGCCTCTGGTGACTGCCACAAACAGGAGTGCATGAAATGGGTGTCACACCCTCCGGGTTGCACGAGTCGGCACAGATGCCGCCGTTTGCGGTTTGCACCTGGAATTCGCCGACATCGCAGGCATCAACGCAGCCGTGGTCGGAAGCAAACTGAGTTGGCGGACACCCGGCTATGCACGTGTGGTCCACTGTGAGCACGTGATTGGGCGGGCAGCTCGTGCAGCCGTCGAAGGCAGACGAGTCGCACGTCGAGCAACTGGTATGGCACGGCTCGCAAGTGTTGTCGGCCACATTGCCATAGGTGCCGGCAGGGCAGCTGGAGACGCAAGTCGTGGTGTCAATCAAAAAGGTGTCGGGAGGGCACGATTCGTAGCACAAGCCTTCAAACTGGTAGCTGTACACTGTGCAGGCATCAGTGCAAGTACCATTGCTTTCGAGAAGGAAACCCGGGTTGCAGTCGCTGCACTCGGTGCCAACAAAGCACTCTGCACAGCCAGCCGAGCAAGGTTGACAAGTGAAGGTTGCATCGTACGGATACGTGCCAGGCGGGCAGGAAGCCAAGCAGTCAGACTCAAAGTAGTAGGTGCCAGGAGCGCAGCCAGACAGAATGCAGTTTGTGCCTTCGGCAAACGTGGGAGGCGGGCAACTGGAAACACAGATGGTGTCGTTGATCAGGAAGGTACCCGCGGGGCAAGTTTCGTAGCAAGCGCCCTCAAAGTGGAACTGGTACACGAGACAAGCGTCCTTGCAACTGCCGTCGAGTTGGTGGAGGAAGCCCGGGTTGCAAACATCACAAACCATCCCATTCGAGCACACCTCGCAAGACGAGATGCAGAATTCACAGGTGGCCGTAGCCGCATCCCCATACATGCCACTAGGGCATGCAATGACACAGTTGGTGCCCAGGCGGTAGGTCCCATCGGCGCAGCGAGGCACCACGCAATCAGTGCCGTTGGTAACGTACGGCAGAGGGCACTCGAGCACGCAGCCACCCTCCAAGCGACTGTAGGAGGGCAGACAAGAATCGCACACATCCGACACCTTGCAAAGGGCACAGTTTGCACTGCATGGCAGACAGGAGCCAGAGTTGGCGTACGTTCCGTCAGGACAGTCATTGTAGCAGATTCCCTCGTACAGAAGCTTTGGTGCCGAGCACTGAGTGCATGTTGTGGCCGAGTCGCAAACCAAGCAGCCCGCGCTGCAAGCTTCGCAGTAGGTGCCGTTATTGACCCATTGGGCTGGGCAGGTCTCGACACAAGAACTTGTGGGGAGATAAATCGGCAGCCCCAAAGCGCTGCACGAGACGCAACTTGCATTGTAGCTGAAAAGACCCGATGGACATTGCGTGAGGCACGCGCCATTATACTCGACAAGGCCGGGAGGGCAGCCGTCCAAGCAAGCGCCTGCGTACAAGACATCGGAGGGCTGACAAGTGTCGCAGCTGGCAGCCGAGCTGCATGTGGCACAGCCAGCTCCGCAAGGCGTGCAAGTGCCCGCGTTGAAAAACTCCCCAGCGTCACACGTGCCAACATAGCAGTGCCGGGTGATGGGATCAATCAGGGCGCCGGGAGTGGAGCAAGAGCTGGCGCACGTGCTGTTGTCCACCACCATGGGTGCGGGACAAGAGCTCACGCAGCTGCCGTCGAGCAAATACTCGCTCGAGAGACAGAAGGACGAGCATGCGCGGCACCCGAGGCGAACCGAGAATGGGCAGGCGGCGCGGGGAGTTGCCGCAGTGATTGAGTTGCAAAAGCACTCGTTCAGGCAAATTGGCACAAACAGCGAGCCAGGCAGCGACAGGGTGCCGTTGTTCACAATCGGGACGCCAAAGCGTAGAGCCAGAGCTCCAGAGAGGGCACTGGTGTCAATCGCGCCCGCATTTTGGAAATCCACCGTCGCGTACGCTGCAGTGTTGCTGAGCACCTGGAACACGGTGGTGGCACCCACAGTAACGCTGGCTCCTGGCACAAACGCGAGGGAGGCTCCAGAGCCAAGCACAACACCGCCTCGGAGTGATGCCGAGGATGTGGAAACGGACAAGGCGTACACGTCGCGCACAAACCAGGTGGCTGAAGCGCTGTTAATCACAAGTGTCACGTCTCGGAGCTGCATGTTGGCATTGTCGAGCTTGGTGAAAGGACCGTTGGCGTTCAGCGTGGATGCCATGCCACCGAGGCCCTTAATGGAGCCACCAGCCCATGTGATGTTCGTATTGACGGTGACAACTGGCTCGAACAGAGCAAGGGTAGCGTCCGTAAGCAGCAAGAGACCGTTTGTGAGCCGGGCCAGCACGTTAGCAGTCGCGTAGGCGACGGTCGACTGCTGAATGGTGAGCGCGGAAATTTCCCAGCAGTCCGTTGAATCCGCAGGGAAGCAAGAACCGAGCGAATTGTTTCCAAATGAGGACGAAATGATGAGCTGGCTGATTTGGACGTGCGAAACGTCATCCACGACCGTGTCGGAACTGAACGTCACGGTGCTCTGCGGTCCGACGGTGAAAACGCCAGAGATGAGCGAGTCGGTGGTCGGGTAGGCAGTCTGCACGATTACCGCATAGTTGATCGTCGTGAGCGCGTTTGTGCGGAACGAGGCTGCGTTGGTCGACGAATAGCCGTGCAACAACAAGCTGGACACCGGGAAGGAGACCTCGTCCAGTCGGATGGCGCCCGTGTTGATAACGTAGCTGTCAAAGTTGACAGAGTGCCTCTGCAAGCAACTCGCATTTCCCGTCACTGACAGCACGCCCGAATTGACCAGGCTGCCAATGGCGAAAAACGACGGACACGAAATCATGTTAATGTTGATGGTGCCTTCGTTCAGGATTTGAGCATTGACGTAGGTGTAGAACAATTGCGGCGAGCCGAGCGGCAATGTGGCGTTGAACTGCACCGTGCAAGAGGGCAGGAAGTGAACCAGCGTGCCAGTCAAAAACAGATTTCCTTGGGCCACCATCACTTGAGTGCTCGCAGGCATGCTAATGTTGACGGGCTGGGCAAAGGCAACGTGGGTGTCGTAAATCAGCATGGTCCGGGTGATGGTGACTGGTGCGAGCAGATTGAGGGTCGCAGACTCTGGCGCACCAGACAGCAGGGTGACGACGAGGCCGTTGAATTGAACCGGCCGAGTCATGTTCACCACGCCCCAGAGGGCAAGCGTGGCTTGAGAGGAGCTTCCGAAAGTCCACGTTGGCTGCAAGTACACGGACAGGTTTTGGTGCAGCTGGACAGTACTCTGCTCAAGCACACTCACATCCGTCACACCAGAATAGCAGGCAAAGGCTGTCTCCGCCGCCAACGTGAAGTTCACGCTGCTCGTGTTAAAGTAGGCCGTCGAGCACGGGCCGAGAATGAGCTTGGCCGTCGAGCGGACCACAAAGCGAGCAACGGGGCAGGTGTTGCTTGTGACAATCAGCGTTCCTGACGAGGTGAGGCGGTCGATCGATGGAAGGGTTCCACCAATCATGTTGGTGTCCGAAAACGAGGTCAGCTGCAAGTCGGAGAAACTACCAGTAAAGGACGATCCTGGGTAGAGAATCATGCTGTTCATGCCCGAGCTAGGGGCAAATCGAGGAATGAGCGTCTTGTCCGTGACAATCTGGCCAAAATTATTGAGAGCCATGCGGAAGTCCAGCACAATCGAGTCGACGCAAGGAGTCGCTGAGGCCGTCTGGAATTGAATGAGCCCGGAGTTGATGAGCGTGGCGGAGGTGATAAACTTGGCGTTGCACACGGCAGCAAGGAAGGTCATCGATCCCAAGTTCACCCAAGGTCGAAGGTTGCTGGCGCCAATACTGTTGCCAAACGCAACAGCGGAGGATTCCGTGACTGAGCTGTTAATCAGAATGCTGCCCGTCTCGAGAACGACCAACGAAGCAAGGTTTGATGCGCCAAGCAGCTGGACCAGACTGGTCGTCCAGGTCCATGCCAGTCCTCCGGCGACTCGAACAACAAGCGACTGCAGCGAGACGGTTGCCGATGCCTGGAGCACATTGTTGGGAGCATACAAGGTGACGACCGTTTGCGCACTCACGTTGGTCGATCCAACCAGGGCGCCGCCCGTCAGCGTGACAGGACGAAGTAGCGTGATATTCGTTCCGAGCAAGGTGACAACGCCTGCTTGCACAGTAATGCTTGGCTGTGCAACGTCAAGGAGCTCCTGCACCAACGACACTGCAGAGCCAAAGCCTGAAGCCAAAAGACTGCGCCACGACGAGTAGCAGGCATAGGAGAACAGGCGGCCGCACGCACTCAGGGTCAACGTGCTGGAGGTGCTGATGCTCGTGACGGCCAATTGTGACGAATTGACCACCGTTGTCGCTCGAACGTCAAGGGTGCCGACCTTAAAGGAGGGTCCGACGCCACCAATGTACGACGAGCTTGAAATCGTCAGAGTTGTAATGTTGGCGTTCGCAAACAGGGTGGAGTTGTCGCTCGATTGCAAGGAGGCCACAGAGACCGCCGAGAAGCTCGGCACGGTCGCGGTATCCACGGTAATACTGCCCAGATTGGTCAGCACGCCATCGCCGAAATTGATCGCGTAGGGCGTGGAGCAGCCGCTTGCCGTTGATTGGATGAGAAGTCGACCGGCGTTCAGCACGTTGCTGGCAGCACGGAAGTTTGCCCCGCAAACAGTGTACGTGATGTTGAGCTCGCCGTAAACCAGATAGGAAGGAACGGTAAAATCGGACGCGTACCAGTAGTAGGTCGAAGGGTTGGCAATCGACTGCAAAACCGTCGTTTTGCTCGACGATGCAAAAATGTATCGAGCTGGCTGCGCCGTGGTGTACATGAAGGCGTTTGTTGTGGAAGCCAAGATCGAGACACGGTCGGCAAAGGTGACGGGCACATCCGTCACGAGGGTAGCCGTCAGATCAACCGTGCCATTTGCCATGAGCAAGATGGAGGACGACATGGAAGCGCCAGTCATGCGGGTGAGAGTGGCACCCCTGAAGAGGAAGGGCTTGGTGAGGGTAAGGCTGCCCGAGATGAGCAAGCGAGCCCCACTAGTCAGCTGGAGGGATGGCTGGAAATCGCCCAGAGCCGTCATGTTGGAATTTACATAGAGCTGAGAGGCTGAGCCACTGGCAGCGATGGTTGCAATCGATCGGTAGCACACATACGACCCAACACCATCGCAGGGCAAGAATTGCGCGACGCCACTCGTTTGCGTGATGGCGGCGAGATTCATTGTCGTTGGCTGCCAAGTGAGAGTGGAGGCCGACGTAGCGATGGACGCGATCGACGAGGCGTACGGAGTGCTGCCAGTCAAGTTGGACTTGATGGTTCCGAAGAACGCACCCTGGATGCTGTACGGAGCGGTGCCCTGCAATTGCATCGTCCCAACATCGCCAGCCATCACGCTGCCGGGCCATGTCGTCAAGCCCGCATTCAGGTTTATCGTCACCGGCAGGTTGCCATTGCTCGAAGTGTTGAAGAAGAACTCGCCATAGTGTGAAACAGGCCCATCCTGCGTGAGAGTATGGGTGGCGCAAGTCAGGTTGACAGACTGCATAAGAATGGTGCCGTAATTGATCAGCGGAGCCGACAGGTAGGTGAACGACGGGCAAGAGAGGAGCTGCACAACAAGACTGCCATAGTTGACGATTTGCGCCGTGTAACTGCTAAAGACCACTCGCGAGGCCGTGGTACGGCTGTTCAGAACGGTGGTTGTCGAGTAGAACTGCAGCTCACTCAAGGAACGGGTTCCCAGCAAGTAAATGTACGAGTTTGAAACAATCTCCCAGCGCACATTCGCGCGGAAGCGCAGCGATGTTTCGGTCACGGTGAGGGAGCTGTCGCTCAAGCGAATGGTCGAGTTGGACTGAATGTCCACAACGCATGTTCCTCCAAACGTGCACGCAATCGTGCCTCCAGTCAGCAGCACCGAGCCTGAAATTGGGAACGAGCCTGGGAGGTTTAGAGTGCAGGAGCCTCCAATGCTCCAGAAAGCAGGCTGGAGCCCGGTACTCGTGGCATTGCTTGCAACTGTGAGGCTGCACGTGGTTGAGCCGTACAAAATCACCTGCTGGATGGACGCGTAGCAGCTGGACGCACCGGCAACGCCACCGCAATCACGGAGCGTGGTGGCACTGGCGGAAACGACCAACTTTACAACTTGCATGCTTGTAGGGGCGAACGAGATGGCAATCGAGCTTGTCAGAGTATCATGCTCGGTATACGGCAGCGTGGTGAGCGGCGTGGATAGGCTGGAGCCAAAAAAGTGCCCTTCAATCGAGGACGACAGACCCGAAATGGTCAGCAATCCGACACGGCCAAACATGGCGCTCCCAGCCGTGTTGATAACACCACCCGCAAAGGTGAGGTCGAATGGATTGTTGGCGTTGGTGCTGTCGTCCAGGAACAGCAACCCGTCATCGTCGTTGGTAAACTGATAGCCATCCAACACGAGCGAATGGGAAGTGCATCCACCTGCGACAGCCGACATGACGCGAATCGAGCCGGTATTGACAAAGGGTACCTGCACGTTCAGGCCTGACGGGCAAGTTTGCAAAAGCACTGTCATGTCACCGGCGTTGAGCAAACTGGCGCTGTAAGCGGAATAGACGAGACGGCTATTGACAAGTCTTGACACGACGACGGTGGTGGCACCGTAAAACTCGAGAGACGCAGTAAAGCCGCCACTGCTGCTGCCAAGCAGATACGCGTAGGAATTTGTGCTCGACGCCATCCACTGGACGGTGTTGCGGAAGCGAAGAATGCTTTGTACGACCTGGAACGTGGTCGTGTCGCCAACGGTGCTGTTGCTCAAAACGTCCACAATGCACGACGCATTGGCAGAAGTGCACTTCAAGAAGCCGCCATTGAGGAACAGGCTGCCTGCCATAGTGTAATTGCCGGGAATGTTCAACGTGCAGGAGCCCCCGAGGAGCCAATTGGCGGGCTGAAGGGATGCAGCAGCGAGGGTCGAGGAAACATTCAGCATGCACCCCGACCCGGTACCAGTCAAGCCGACAGTGGCGATGGAAGCGTAGCAAGAAAAGTCTGATGGATCAGCGCCGCAAGGGTTTAACTGGGTCACGGAACTCGACACTGTGACCGCAACGGCATTCATGGTCGTCGGGGCGAGTGACACTGGCGCCTGGAGTTGCAGCTGTTGAAGCGACGAAATGTAAGGCAGCGGGCCCGACACGTCGCTCGTTGTTGTTCCGAAAAATGCACCTCGAATGGCCGATGGCGTCGAACTCGAGATGGTGAGCGTTCCGACTCGCCCTGCCATGACGCTGCTGGAATCTGTCGCGAGCGAGTAGAAGGTCATGCCGAGGGTCAGTCCGTTATTTGTCGAGGCATCATAGAACAAGGTGCCAAAATTGGAAAACGAATAATCGGGCAAGTAGAGCTGGTTGGTGGCGCAGGGCGCGCTGGCACCCGTACCCAACAATCGAACGATGCCATTGTTGACAAAGGGCGCCGACATGTACAGACCCGAAGGACAGCCGACAAACTGCACAGTCATGGTGCCGTAGTTGATGAGCTGAGTTGCGGACGACGAAAAGACGGCACGAGTGGTCACCGTGCGCGCAACGGAAATGCTAGTGTTGGAGTAAAAATGCAGCTGGCTGCTCGCGACGAGCCCAATCAGGTACACGTAGTTGGTGCCGCTAAAGTCGATGAACAAGGGCGCTCGGAATTTCAGAGTAGAGCCGTACACGGTGAACGAGTTGACGAGTTGCATGCTCGAATTGGACATGACGTCGAGGGCGCTGCAGTCTCCGCCTGAAACACAGCCGACTCTGCCGCCTGTGATGAACATGCCGCCATCGACTTGGTATGAGCCAGGGAAGGTGAGCTGACACGCTCCACCCAGCGTCCAGACGTCGGGCTGGAGGGCAATGGCCATCGCGGTGTTTGCCACGGTCAGCTGGCAGCTGCCGCTGGTGCCCGTCACTCCAATTCGACGAATCGACGTCATGCAAGGGAAGAGAGGGTCGCCATCGCAGGACGCAAGCACAATGTTGCCGCCGGACACCACAAGCTCGGCCACATTCATTGAAGCTGGGCCAAATTGTGCCGCTGCGGCGCCGCCCGTCACGGTCAGCAACGGTACGACCGACGTTGCGACAAGCCCGGTCGGCGCGTGCAGGGCCGTGCCAAAGAATGTGCCATTGACCCAGGCGGCCGCAGCAAAGTTCATGGACACTGAGCTTACATTTGCCGAGATGATGCTCGTTGCAGTGGAGCTGTAGCCCGACTGAAATTGGATGCTTCGGAGCGGGATTCCGGCGTTCGAACTGTCGGCAAAGTAAAACCCGCCAGAGTTGGAAAAGCTGTCCGAAAAGACAATGTCCAGAGTGCTGCTGGCAGTGATACCCGGAGCGACAGAGACGGTGACGGAGCCAGTGTTGGAAAACGCAATGGCTGGACGGAAGCCGGCAGCAGGATCGGCAAGCACCACCTGCAAGTTGCCCGAGTTGGCAACAGTGCCGATGCCAGAGAAGGGGCTTTGATTGGAGTTCTTGGTCAAGGTCGTTGAGCTTGCAAGCACCACTTTCGAGGAGGCAGTCGACGTGTAAATGTACATGCTGCCGGGCAGGTTGAGTGTGGTCGTTGACGCAAACGTGAGGACGGCAGAGTTGGTGGTAAAGGTGCCAAGAAGCGTCAAGTTGGTGCTCGCTTGAAAGTTCAAGTTGCAGGGAGGTGTAATAGCCGAGGCGCAGGAAATCGTGCCACTGCTGGCGAAGAAGGTGGACAGCATGTTCACTGTGGCGTCCTGAAGCTGCAGATTACCCGTGGAGCTGACAGAGATGGACGGGGTGAATGCCGTCGTAAAGTACTTGAAGAGCGGGAAGATACCAGAGCGCACGGAAATGGAGGTGAGTGTCGCGTAGCACGCATAGGCCAAGGCAAATGCCTCCTGCGAGTCGGTGGCGGGAACGATGGCTGGATCACCCGTGCACGGGCCCAGGGTGAGGGCATTGTTGCCACCGAGATTGGCAATGAGAGCGACAACACCCAAACGCGATGGGTAGAGCTGAGCCGACGCGGCCGAAATGACGAGATTGCTGATGGCCGTTGTGCCTGGCGCAAAGGTTCCAAACAACCGGAACGACTGCCCAGAGCTCGTGATGGAGGTGACTTTCAATCCTGGGGCAAGGGTGGCGTTGGGAGCGTTCAAGAAACTGCTCTGGAGTGTCCAGACGGCCCACTGCACGCCATCATCCACCTTGATCAAGCCATAGTTGGAGAGACCCGAAGCGTAATCGACGCGGTAGGGCAGCGCGCAGTTGGAAGAGTCGGCATAAATGATCGAGCCATAGTTGAAGACTTGCGCCTTGAACGAGACAAGGGCCTGACAGACCGAGCTGGTAATGGTGATTTGGCCATAGTTGTACACGCGGCTGGTCGTGTCGCCAAAGACCAAACCGTTGGTGTTGGCAGACTGAGCCGAGACGGCCACCACGCTTCCAGTGGCAAATGTCAAGGTGCTGGAGGAGGTGAGGCTCGGATAATAATTGCTCGTGCTCACCCAGGTGACATCCGCACTGGCAATCGTCACGGCGGTGGACGCCACGCCAATACCGCCGCCAAGTTGGATGGTCACCTTGCCGGATGCGGTAAACGGTGCAGCAGCGACAGAGCCTGACAGGGCGGTACTCTGCCACGAGAATTCACCCTGCAGCACGACCGACGAGTATGAGAAGGTGCCGGCGGTGAGGACAAGCTTGGAAGTAGGACTGGAGGTGAAGGCGCCCACCGCAAAGGTGCCGCCGGTGATTGAAAACACAGAGTTTGGGGATAGCGTCATGGAGGCGACTGTGGTTGAGCTGGACACGGACAGGATGGCCGAAGCGGCGACGACGACCGAGTCGGTTGCAGTGGGTTGGTGCGGTGACCAATTGGAGACAACCGTCCACGCGCCGCTTCCCGAGTAAGTGCAAACATCGGCATAAGTTGGATGCGCCGTTGTCGCGATCAAGGCGACCATTGCCACGAGCAAGGTCATCGCGGCCTGAGGTCGATGCAGCATCTTGTGCGCAGATGAAAATTTGCCTGATCGAGGATTGTCAAGTGTGACCTTGTCACGCAGGGCTTTGTTGGTGGAGTGATGAGGATATGACGGCTTGTGTTTTTGATTTGCAAAAGGAGGATTTGAGGCAAGTGATGAAACTGTGCAAAATCAAAAACAAAACAAAAAAACAAGCTTGAGTGAGTTTTCAAAGAAACGAGCAACGCGATGTTTGGGGGTGGTGGTGGTTGTTGTTGAGGCGTTGAACATGCTCTCGAGCCTTAACGACAGAGGGTTGCTCTCTTCCGTATTGATTTATTCTATTAGCATGACGACTTCTTGTATTTCGCCAGTTCCGCTCCCAAAAGCAGACATGTTGATAATGGCTTTTCCCAATACAATGGGACTACCGCGCTGCCAAACAACCTTTCGCTCGTCCAGAGTATGTGTGTCGAGGTAATGAGCACTGAAGCAAGTAACCCTGCAGTTCTGCAGTGTGGAGGGAAGCCCGCCTCCCTCTACACAGTGACTGTACTGCGTGTACACCTCAACAACAAAAAAAGACAGTGCAACCGGTAAAGTGGTCCCCGTTGCTCCTGTGGCTTTGCGAGCAACCTCACACAGTTCCCATGGGAGCACTGCAAAACTGCACCTTATCTTGCATCGCCCCGTTTTTGTCAATCTCCCCGACCCCTCGACCCCCCCCCCCTGGCATACAGTCAAGCCGCCCATCACTTTGCACCTCTCCTCCTCCACTCGCAGCTTCCGTCAGCTGCACCCTGTCATGTAGCCCCTGCTGCGCACGCGAGGGCCGGTTGCCTGCCGGCTTTTGCCTCGCTCGAGTGCAGTCGCAATCGACACAAGAAAACTCGATTCATACTCATCTTGAAATTTTCAAACATGGCCCCAATTTCGACACTCACGCCCTTCCTCCAGCAACGCTTGTTTGCTCACAGCGCTTTGCGTTGCAACCCCTCGAAACCCCATCACCAAACGCACAGCACAGCACGACTGCCTTCCGCACTGCCTGCGCTGCTTCCTTGGTCCTTTGCCGGGGGGCCGACTGAGTCAGCCTTCTGGGCGCAAACTCCTTCGTTCGCATACCATCCTTGTAGATTCATTCAGCAAAAAGAGTTGTTTTCCTGGTATCGCTGCTTCTTCATTGGGGGGAGGGGTTGTTTGCTGTTTTGTGCGACTGTATGCTTTCGTTGCACGTTCCATGCGTTTGCATTGTTGAGATGAAAGAGTATGGTGCTGCGAACGCGTGTATCGCGCTTTTGACTCTCACTTCGCCCCTCCGGTTGTTCGATCACTCGCTCTCTCGCTCTCGGTCTGTCGCTCGGGTCTGTCTGTGCACTGAACTGTAGCGCTTGTTCTAGTCGAGTCAACAAAAGCGAGAACTCACCAAGACGAGAAGCACCAAAAAAAAAAAAAAAAAACAGACTGAATGAAGAAACCAAAAAAACCAAAAACTGAAAACTTGCACCATTCACGATGAACAAACAACGAAGCGACCCCCCCCCCTTCGCCCGATGGGACGACAGACGCATCACAGCATAGGGAGCAGCAGAAGAGCGCAGTCAGCGAGCATATGCACGGACTCGCGATCATGATCATGATCATCCAATGCAGCGGTTTTTGAATGCAATACAATCAGTTTCGCCGAAAAACGAAAAGCGGTCTGTAACCCAAATTTGGCGCGTGCGAAAAGTCGAAAAGTCTGAAAATGGGCAAAAGAAATGTTCACGAGCGCGCATTGTTGAAATGGATTCTCGATCGCTGTTACCAGTCGCACGGCTCTCCATGGAGCTCAAGCGTGTGGGGCGTACGAGATGGACGACTCGTTCGCTTTGCATTGCATTCTATCGCTCTCTCGTCGCTGCCATCGCTCGCCTCCCGCTCCTAAAGGCCCCCCCGTCTCCTCCTCCCAAACAACCTGTACAGTGACATTGAAACCGCAGAACCGAGCCAAAATGTCAACCACCAAAAATAGGAGCGCTTTGTCCAACCCGCCTCGGCAGGTGGAGAAATGCAATTCAGCCATACCACCTCGGGAGGTCTCTCCCTCCACGATTGCAACACACTTGACGATTCGCGAATCGACTGCTGTAGGTCAATGGCACAGCTCACTCGTGCTTTGTTTCCCCGACTCGTTCGCTTTGACAGCCGTGCGAATACGATTTCCGAGCCAAACCCTTCATTGAACCCGCTCTCTGATTTCGCCGACGAATGCGCCACAGCAAGGAAAACTCGACCATGAGCAGCAATAGAATAGATCACAGCATGCATGCAAGCAACGGAGGCATCATCAGCGCTGCTGGGCTGGGCAGCCCCGGCAACGAGCCCGACGACGCAACCACCGCCATGCTCATCTCGACCGAGCGCGGACTGCGATGCCCGACACAACTTTGCGATGATTCCCACCAAGCGTCGTCGTCGTCGTCGTCCTCGCCACGACGCTCCAGGGTCGCCGCCTCGTCCAAGCCTCGCCAGCAGCCGACTGATGCTGATCATCCAGCGGAAACCGTTTCTCTGTTTCAAACGGCGTCATCACCCCGACTGCCGCAGGACGACCCCGCAACAACAACAACAGCAACAGCAACGCCAGGGCTCAATGCGCCACTGGGACGCACTCGTCTGTCTGCTGAGCCCGCCGCGAGCGCGAGCGCATCGGCCCAGCGTCACCGCCAGCACCGCGCGAGCTTGCTGGCAACGTCCGTGTTTGAAGTCGAGCCGGACTCGAGCTTTGTGGACGCTGCGCCGACCGCGTCCGGCTACGACGCCTCTGTGCGCGTCAGAGTCAGTGACGACGACAGCGACGATCAGCTGCAGCACGGACGGCCATCGCCGGCAGGGCTGCAGGTGCACCACAACCGACTCCAGCAGCGGAATGGCGTCAATGTCGAGCTCTTTCCGAGCACAGGCATTACGACTACCACGACCACTACTACCACCAGTCATAGCAATAGTGCCACAGCGGATGATATTCTGCAGCAAGCGAGCCGGAGCATTCATGGGCTTGGACACGCTTCGCCGCAATTCGATGCCTCCGACCTCTCGTCCACATTGAATGTCGAACCGTTGCTGGCATTCGGTCGCTCACTCTCTGCCAAGGTTCAGCAACTTGTGCGAGCTCCCGTCGACATTCGCGACGCGCGAGAGCAACTCCAAGCTCAGCTTCACCCAGCGTTGCCGGCCGTTTCCGAGCCCAGTCGACAGCAGCAGCAGCAACACCAGCAGCAACAAATTGTTGCCGTCTCGCAAGACACCTCGATCGCGCTCAAAGACGAGGCATTCCAGGGAGCAGCCGGGAGCCCGGTGGTGTCCTTTATTATGACCGAGATTGCGCGGCAACGGCAAATAAACGAGGCGCACGGCAAGCTCAGCAAGTTGAACACGTTTGTGAGCTTTGCGTCTCTCATGCGGCAGCAGCAACTGGAGGGTATTGCACGGCGCGGCGCCCACCAAATTTCCCAGCTGCAAGTCAATGTGCGAGAGCACGCACACACCATCGATCGGATGAATGACTCGATCGATCATCTCGAAGACGAGGTCGAAGCCCGTCGTTTGGAGTCGGAGCGTCTTCGGGTGGATCTCAGTTTGCAGCGTACGATGCTGGACACGTCTCTTCAAGAGGTACGTCGGTTGAACCGGAGTTTGGGGTTTTGTTGTTTTTTTTTTTTTTTTGTTGTTGTTTTTTTTTTTTTTTTTAATTGCACTGTTCTGCTCATGCTCACCTGGCACCGTCTGAATGGCGTTCTTATTGACCTCAAATTGTTCATCTCGTCAGTATCGCACGGAACTCGAGCAACACCGAGCGGCAATGGCGCAGCAGCAGCAAACACTGAACGCCATGTTTATGCGTCGAATGAACCGCGACTTGCTCATGGATAGCGGGCTCACTGTGGTCGGATTTCTCGCTGTGAACTCGTTTTTGGTGGACTTTCCGCTCCGCCTTGCCCTTGTGATGGTGCCGCGCGAAAAGATGCGCGTCTGGCTCCGCCAAGTGGTCAAGCTTGGATTGATTGCTGCCATTACACGCACTCTCAAGCGCTTTGCCTCCGGCCTGGGCCTCCACAACAAGTTGAGTTGTTTGTTTTTTGGGAGATACGAGGGGCGGCGGGCGAAGGCGGACGATGAAATGCGACAAACTAACTGGCACGCTGTGGTGTCATAACTTGCGCAGTGTGGGTTCGGTGACCATGTATGCAAAATGGTTGCTGTTCTCTCTGTACTCTCAGCTCCGTAATCAAGTCGCGGGAACCAGGAATTCGACTGACGTGGAATCAGGCAACGCGGGGTCGCATCCAACTCTGGCCATTCTGTCTCGCGTGCTGTTTTCTGGATCGTCCTCCACGCAACCGCGCGACTCAAGTGTCGCTGCTTACCTGGTTGCCGCTTCTCACCGCGTTTAATTTCTAAAATGCTGTCCAAGCGCATTTGTACATTTTTATGCTACCTTGCCAGCTTGTTGTTTTTGTTTGCGTTCGCTGCCTTTGTGGACATGTCAACCTTTTAATCGAACCATTTCAGAAAGTTAGGACTTTAGTTGCCGGCACGAGAGAGCACTTGACAAGACTATTCTTCGCCGCAAAACACATCGCGCAACTTTGTGGCAAGAATGCTGAAAGCGGCCACCGCAGCGTCTCCGTTGGCCTCTTCGCGCCCAAGCCGAGTGAGGCAGGTGCGGAGGTCGTTCACTCGGTAGCGCGTCGAGGAATAATCCGTCACAAACATGAGACGATAGAGAATGTCCAGCGATTCAAACCGACGCTCCTCGAGCTGCTCGAGGTTTTCGAGTTGCCGAATGATAATGTCCATGAGCACATTCAAATCGTTGCTGTAGAAGAAATTGGCCGTGAACAAGTCCTTCAGGAACTTTTCCAGCGAATGCATGCGCCCTGCCTTGAACAGCGAAGGAACCGGTTCAAAAGAAGACAACAAGACAACAAAACACAAAAATAAGAAAGAAGGGAAACGGTCAAATCGCAGTTTCAGCGGCACATTTGAACCAATTGGTCGCGCATCTTTCGTACCATTGCGGTTGAACATGTACAGAACGCGCTCGCCAAGACAGGCGGCAGAGGACTGCTGCTCCAGAGCCTTCATGACAATATTGTCACGGTGAGGAGCGGAGAGGGAGGGCGAATCGATCGAGAAGTGCAGATTGAAGCTCAGCTGGCGATAGCCAATGGTTGAACGGGTTGGTGAGGTATTGCAATCACAGACAAGAAGGACGCGAGAATGTGTGTGTGTGCCGGGGGCCAAAGTCGAAAATGAACTTACGAGCAACGCAATCAGGCTATCAACCATCTCTTCCGTAAAGCCGAGATGTGCGCCGTTTTCGATCTTGTTGACAATGTGCAGGATGAACTCAATGTTCCAGAAATCTGCAATCCGCGACGAAAAAGTGAGCTCGAGAACCATAGACTTCCATCACGCTTGCAAACCAAATTTCGCTGCATTCGTCGTCTCACCGTAATTGGCAATGGGACACTGCTCGCCGGTCGAATACACCATCGTGCAGACTTTCACAGCTTGCAAGAGCCACTCGATTTCTGCATCAAGGGGAAGCGCGAGAAGCGGGGGAGGGGTTAGGGAAATACAAATGTTTAGTTCATCAATCGACACGAAACAACAAAACCAAACTCGTCGGCCTCCCGGTCCTTACCAGGAATTGTCTCGGCGAGAATATCACGTGCCAGCTCTTTGGGCAGCAGCGAAGACAGCAAAATGGAAACCACGCGCTCGTGAGCCTTGATCATGACGGCGAGGCTCTTGAGGACAAGAATGCGAAGAGGCGTGCGCGTCTCCATCATGTAATAGTCCACGAGACCATGAACGATCTCGTAGTCGTCCTGCGAGAGCATAGCACGGGCGAGGTCGGGATCCGTGTCTGTGATGCGAGAAGAGCAAGCGTTAGATTGATCGCTTAGCAGCACAAGTCATCCCCACGCACACACAGACAGTAATCTGACTCTACACAAAACAAGTGCGTCACCTACCCATGAGGATGCTCGTCATCTCTGTCAAGTTCTCGGCAAGATCGCTCGCATCGTCGTGGGAACGCCAGTTGCGCTGCTGAGAGTCGTTCTTGGCAGCCAGGAGTGCTGCAAAAATGCTGGACAGGCGGTCCTGGTCCCGGGTATTCGGACGCAAGTCGGAGGGCAACTTGACAGCAGCGGTGAGCGGTCCAGCGAGCGAAGCGTCGGCGTTCTGCAGGTAGAACAAAACCGCCTCGACGGCCGTTCGAGACTTTTCAAAGCTCAGACCCGTGTGTGCGCGCACCAAATGGATGAGATTCTTGTGAATGACGACCTCTGCGGAGGAATTTTCAGAACGGATGACGCGAGGTGGAAGTGATAGAGTGAGCTGGGATAAAGGCAGGACAAAAGAGGGGGGTGTTTGTGCCCCGTACCTTCTGCGGCTGCCTCGGATGCAGCTTGTGGCTTGGGCGAGCGTGCAGGAGCCACAGGGACTGCAGCAACGGCGAGGTTGGATGCACTTGGGCGAGCGACAGGCTCGAGCATCGGTGGAGCGGCATCGTCGTCGTCGTCCTCCGCGTCCTGGCTCGGCTGCGCTCAGTGGGCAGCACAACAACAACAAGGGAGGCGTTCCAATGGTGATTACATTATTTCAGTGAGTGACGAGGCAAGCGTCAAAGGGACGGGGAAAGTGGTCGCCTTTCGGAACTCCAATGCAATCCCATACAAAAACAAAACAACCGTCCTGCCTTACGTCGTGCACTCGAACGTCTTGCATGAGAATCTGGCCAGTCTGGCCGAGCACTGTGCGCACTGTCAATGCTGTAGAACCTATTCAAAGCAAAGTATGGAAACATGTACGTTGAATGAATGATCGCTGAGGACCCTCAGGCGCTGAGATACTGCGGAACCCCTATTCAAAAAAGGTTGCTGCGTACCAGTCGCGCCAGCGGGAATCTCGCCAATCACGGCCATCAGATCGTTCTTCCGGAAGGTGACAAAGCCCGGCGCGAGCTGTGCGGCCGGCGCGCTGTCTTTCAGAGCGAGGACGAGTTGCATTGTGGGGAACGAAACAACAACAAAGAACGAAGACAAATATGGACTGGACAAAGTATCTAAGTAAGTGTTGTCACTGGAGAGTTGTCGATTCCTACTCACGCAAGCTCAAAACAAGCTCAAGAAATGGGCGGTCAAGCTTGAACGTCGAGTAAGACATCTACACAATATATTTTGTTTTTTCAGCTTTCACAAGTGCCAAAGTACGGCTCGGATCAACGCCACAATCAAAAGCCACAATCAGAGCACGAACAAGTCACAGTCAAGACACGATCAAGGCACGATCAAGGCACAAGCAACACACAAAACGACTCTTTTGTACAACTGCCTCGGTCGAGATCACAAAAAGCGCTGCAGCGCTTCCTTTCATTTGGGCGTGCCTTGGCCAAGGGAAGAAGAGACAACGGCAAGAGGGTCCTCCGCACCGTAGTATCTGCCCGCGCGACCCTGTCGATCAGTGGGGACGATGAGCTGATGTTCGGTGATGGAAGGCTGGTCTTGGCGACTGCGGTTGGCCGCTTCCGAGCGAACAGGAGGAGAAGAATGCATGCCGGCGGACGCAACTTGAGGAGCAGGAGGCAATGAGGCCGATGCCGCCGGTGCTGCCGGTGCCGCAGCCGATGCCGCCGCAGGTGCAAAAGGCGAAGAAGAGGTCGAAAGTCCGGCAGCAGGAGTGGTGGCAGTTGTTGCCTGGACACCGGCAGCAGCAGCAGCAGCAGAAGTGGTGCCACCCAGAGAGGCATGTCCAGGAACGCTCTGGGTGCGTTCAACCTCATGGCTGCGGTGGTGCGGAGTCTGATTCGACAACGTCAGGGCATCGAGACCAAAATCTGCAGCCTGCTCAGCAAGCGTCCACTCGTCTTCCTTTGGCTTGTCGGTCTGAGGACGCTTGTTGATACCTTGGTTGGGGGGCACGGGAATGTAGGCACGAGGCTTGGCCTCATCGATTGTGGGGAGCCACCTCGCAAAGGTGAGTACCACCGAGTACGGCATGCCAACGGCGTCAGTCGCGCTAGGACCGGTGCAGACGTACAGATTCCAGTACGGCCCATCCTTTCGGACAAACGCAATCCAGTACTCTGACGAATTGTCTCGCAGCATCGTCTTGGCGTAGCCGTCGGTCGCCGAGGTGTACAAACCGCCGAAGCGAACGACAAGACTCGGATCATACCAAGTGTCGTCGAGCGTTGCCACAAACTGCACCGTGTTGACATATCCGGGGAGCGTGCCAGTCCAGATAAACTCCTTTTGCGGAAACGAAGTGTAGATGTCCGCATAGCCCAAATATGTCCAGCCGCGGTGGACCACGTCGTACCAACTGGTGATGGACATGGCGTTCTTGACGGGTCCGCCCCACACGTCGCCGGTGTAGAAATGAATGCCAGACGTCGTGTGGTCGGCCGGCTCGCCCTCAAAGTTCATCTCAATGTAGGCCCGTTCGCTGTTGGCGGCCGTGCCCCAAACAATGCGACCCTTGTTTCCCGGACCGCCAACAGCCTTGAACTGGATTTGCGCATCCGATACGCGCTCGGTGACCAGCTGAGTGTTGGGCAGCGTGGAAATGGTCGGGTAGTACGTGTTTTGGAAGCAAGCAGTCATGGTTTCACGGTTGCCGGAGCAGTCACACAGCAAGCTCAAAGAACTGTTGGAATGTTGGAAGGAAAGCGAAATGAGGACTGAGGTCCAAAACTGGTGGGCCGTTGCTCTGGTTTATACTGGGAGGCGAACGCTAGTCGGGAACGCTTCTTGTGTTTGTGAGCCGGAACAAACGCCTCTCGTTGCTCGACGACGACAACTTTAATTTTGAGTGCCACGGTCGTCCGCTCATGGCACTCTAATAGAGTGCATATTGGTTTATTCGATGACAGGGAGGTGTTTGCATTGCTTTGGTGGTTCAGCTTTGGTCGCGCCAAAACAAGAAGCAAACTAAAACGCTAAACGTTCGAGCGTTGGTTGCGAGCGTTTGCTTTTTGGCTGACAGCCTTGGTGTTGTTCGCAAGAAGAGTTTGTCCCAATACTGTCATGGGGCTCCGACCTGGGCTCCTCTACAGTTTCAGAAGCGCGCGCGAGCGAGTGGATGAACATGAAAGCGTTTCCTCCGAAAGCTCACCGTCTTGTTCAGTCATCCACCTCTGCCCTTCATCTTGCATTGTTTTTTTTGCTTCCGCTTCATCCACATGCCCATTGCTCAGCATATGCAGTCGTCGTTTTGCTTGATTTTACCTTGTAAAAGTCAAGTTATTGTGCTGTTCCAACGAATTTCCCTCGTCATACACTCTCCAATCAAACAAACCAGAAAAACAAAACATTCAACATACCAACGAGTGCCGCGTGACTGTTTGAACGAGTGTTTGAACGAGGTCAAAGCGCCAGAGCGACAGACAGCAAAGCCAAAATGCGTGAGCGGCAGAACGAGTCGTTGATGCAGCGCGCGGCGCGATTCCGAGGAGCAGCGACCCACGCGCGGGCACAGGGCGACTATGTGCGCGCACTGGAGCTCCATGCACGGGCGAGCGAGCTGCTGTGGATGAGCCAGGCGCTCGAGACGCGACGGCCGACCATGGCCGAAGCGCAATGCAATACGCAGTCCTACCCAAGAACGATGACCGGGACGACGACCAAGGCACCAACCGCCGCCGCCGCCGCACCCAGCTCCATTGGCTCAGTTGGAATGACAGATCATGCTGATGGCGCCTCGCATGCAAGAATCCAGGACAATCTGGCGACCGGGCTGCTGGCTGCGAGCGCTCGGCCGCAACCGTCCCCGTCAGTATTCCAGCAGACCCAACACCAAGCTTCTCCTCCTCCTGCCTCTTCTACAACTTTGACTCGCCATGGCGACAACAACCATGCGCGGCTAACGAATGCGAAATTGGCCATCGGTGCGCCGGAACGTCAAGTCGTGCAGGAGACGGTTCGGAAAATGTTGCTCGAGCACGAAGCCGCCGTGATGGATTTGCGTGAGCGGCTCAGAACTCAGCTGCTGGGTGTAAAGTTGCCACCAGAGCTCGAGGAACCTGTGTGGCACCCAGGCGACGTTGCTGCCAACCAGACAGCCGCAATTGCGGCTGCTACAAGGACGCCAGAGCCTCGGCAGCCCGGACAACGCCCCGAAGATTTGACGCCTCGAAAGCAATCCCACCCCATTTTGCCACCATCGGCCATGATCCTGCCTCCGCCCGTGCTCCCACCCACCATCGTTCCAGCATCTCCGGACGATGGGGACGACGATATCGAGGAGCACATGTTCAAGGACTTGATGTCGCGCATGGACAATATCTTCAAACGCTTCCCCACGCCAATGCAAATTGCGGCCACCGTCGCCAAGGCCATCGGGCAGGAGCCTCAGGAGGTAAGACCAGCCATGGCCCAAAAGTTTTCCGGCACGGTTCTACCTGCAGAGTCCTTCATGCTTGTTGATCATCGACGATCTCCTGGTGTCCGTGTCGACGCGCGAGGTGTCGACGCGCGAGCCGCAGCGGTGCCAGGACCAGGCGTCTCCGCCGCCCCAGCCTCCGCCGCGTCGCCTTCTTCCATCACCCCGAGCAGCATCTTATCGGCAGTCGCTGCGGCGGTCATTCCATCGGCTGCTGCACAATCCACGACGCCGACATTGACCAGCAACAACTTTTTGCCAGGCAAGTCGGCGCCCTCCACCAACAACCCGTCCAATAATGTCACACAAGAGCTCATCAAAGAGCTCGACAGTTTGCGGCAGCGCAGCGCCGAACTTGCGGCCGAGAACGAACAACTGCGTTCGGTTGCCGCGCGTGCCCAGCGCATGACTGAGAGCGTGCAACAAATGAAGGCTGATGTCTTCAAGGAGATGCACACGTATCACCAACAGAATTTGATGCAAAAGAGCGTCATGATTGCCGCGCAGCACATGCATCCATCCATGCCAGCCTCCATGCTGCGGTCGAACGCGTTTGTGTCTTCGTCGCAAATGCTCCCTCCACCACAACGGGGGCACAACTCGCTGGCCTCTACCTCGGCAACAACCATAGGCGCTAGTTCTACCGCGTCGTCTAGCTCGTTCAAGGCTGCGAATGCTGCAAAATCGAGTCGATAGATTTGCTTGTGCCTGGTTGGGTTTTTCTTCTTGTCACAACACCAACAAAAGAAAATTGCCCTCAAATGAATGAATAGAACACTTTACATTTTCTTAACGTGACAACGACACCAACAACGCTACGATTCAACCAAAAACAGCCATAACAGATCAGCCCTGAGAAACAAATCCGGCCTCATTTGGTGCGTCCAAGCGCTTCAAACAATCCGTGACGGCTGTTCCGGCGCGAGATTGCGGGAGGAGTCATGAAGGGAGAGTTGGACGCGGCGGTGCTGATGCCTGCCGAAAGCGGTGGGGTTTTGGCCGGGACTTTGGCGGGGATGGCAAAGGCATGGTTGGACGCATTCATATTCGACAGGGTTGCCTGATTGGAAAGCGACGCCTGGTTCGACAGACCATCGTTGGAAGCGCTATCGCTCACTGCGGCAAAGACAAACTTGCGTCCGCTGCCAGCAGATGCGCTTGAAGCACCCACAGCCTTGGACTTGGACTTTGGCTGAGCATCAATCTTGGTCAGCGTCTCCTGGTCCATGTGCAAAAATGAGCCCTTGTGTGACAGCGATGCAGCAATGGTCGCGCTCCACGCAAAGCCAGTGCCGCCAGTCACCGTCGAGGTGGACTTGAACGAATTTGAGCCAGTGCCCAGTGCAGTCAACGGCTTGTTCGTTGCAACAGAGCTGAAGGACATGGATCGCTTGAATGACGCCTGAGGGATCATGTTTGAGAAGGAAGTCGCGGCAGTCCCCGAGAGGCTGGGCGAGCTTCCCACGCTGCCACCCGAGACTTGCCGAGACACGGAGCGGCTAGTGTTGTTAATCATGGTCAGAATATCCTGGCTATCTTGACCATCCAGAATGGACTGGGCCTTTGATTCCTGTGTGACAAAAGCCAACAAAACAAAAACAAAGCAAAGGATCGAGTCGGTGAGCATCACGCCTCAGCCATTGATTGCGAAATGCAGCCACATCCACGTACGGCAGAGCGCAAGAAATTTCGACGCTCGAGCTGGTCACGCATGGCCTGAGTGTCCATCGGCTGCTCGTCGGCGTCTGCATGAGCGCTGAGCGAAGCTGCCTCGCGTTCGCTGCGAGCAAGTGCCTCCATCACCAAGGAGGATGGCGAAAACATGTCTGCAACAGAGTCTGGAAAAAGAGGTATGGATGGCAGGCAAAAGTGAATGACAAGTCCAACGTCACGAAAGTAATGGCAAGAGCGGGAGAGTTCCTAGGTGGCTCTGAGGTACCTTCTCGGACCAGGCGTCGTGCGCGGCTATTGCGGTTGCAGGCGTACCGATTGATGGTCGAAAGCAGCTTTTCGCCCATTTCTGCCGAGCCCATGGTCGATCCATCGCCGACAAAACCGCCATTGTCCTCCATCTCGTTCTCGTTGTCGTAATCACGATCAACGGGAGGCGCGCGACCGAGCTCCTTCCAGTCTTTGCCGTCGCTCTCGAGATGCTCTTTGGTGATAAGTTTGTCGACGAGCTTGTCGAGGTCCTTCTGCTCGTCAAGTCGCATCTTTTCGCTGTTCCAATTCAAAACACAATGAGGAATCGTCCAGAGTCAGTCACCCCACGACGCACAATCAGACTCCGGCCCAGCTGTTCACAATCAACATACCGCAACAGACGAGCCGCCAATCGATCGTTGGTATGGTCCACGACGCCATTGTCAATCAGCCCTTCAGCAGCCTCTGCGATGAGCTCCTCGTCGTACTCCTCGGCCTCCTCGAGCTCGTCCAATTCCATGTCCTTGCGGCGCTGAGCCAGCATTTGAGCATCGTCCATGTCCTCGTCGTCGTCGGAAGCCTGGTCGAGCAGCATGCGTCGTCGGAGCCGTTGGCGGGCAGCGTCCACATCGTCCACCTCTTCGCCGTCAGAATCATCACGTGCGTACGCCAGAATGGCCTCTTCGTCCTCTTCGACGTCCTTGGAGCGTGCGAGACGCAGCTGCTTGGCATCCTCGTCATCCTCGTCGTCCACCTCGACTTCTTCTTCTTCGTCGTCGTCATCCTCCTCGGCCTCTTCATCGTCGCCCTCACTCTCATCGTCAGCATCGTCGTCGCCGCCTTCTTCTTCTTCCTCTTCCTCGGAAGCGGCGCCGACATTCACCTCGGCCTCTTCATCCTCGTCGTCGCTGAAAATGGGTGCGCGACGGCGCGGCTTTTGAGATGCCCGCTTGGACTCGACTGCTGACTCGAGCTTGGTGCTCTTTCGCGATGTAGAATCTGCCTCGCTTTCGTCGGCCTTGCGCTTGGGCACAGCAATAGCCGGAGGATCCGATGCAGTTGGTGCGGCATCCGCGCTCGCAGGCTTGGGAGCAGGTGCTGGACGCTTGTTCGCGGCGAATAGCTTGGCCAACACGCTGTCTGCTGCTGGTGGCTTTTTGATTGTGTTTGTGGCGGCTGCCACGACGGGCTTGTTTGCAAGCGGCAGCGCAGAAGCCGCATCTTGAGCGTTGTCGTCAGAAGCAATCGCCGCCTCGATGGGCAGTGTTGGAACGCTGTCGATTTGGAAGCTGGCATCAAGCTTCAACGTAGCAACGTTGTCCGATTCGGGCCGTGGTGCCTCGGGCTGTTGAACCTTGGCCGGGCGTGGAAGGCCCGCAGCGAGCGCAAATGGCAAACCGAACGCAGCTGGTGGTGCAGCACCCCCGTCCTCAAAGAAACCAGAGCACATGGCAAGCAGCTCGGACGGTTTGTCGGCTTGGTGCATGGGTTCCACCGGCACTGCGGATAGTTGCATTGGCGTGTTTTCCATAAGTTGGTTTGAGGTAGAGACGTCGCCAAAGCTGCCGAGGCTGGAAAGGTTTAGCGCAGCCTCCACGTTATGCGAATCCGTTGACGGTTCCATTGCCATGGATGGGGTGTGAGAGGAGAGAGGACGATGACGAAGGAGGCTGTCATGCACGAAACAAGGTGAGACAAAAGCATGGATGGTCAGAGTCAGATCGTCAAGCCAAGTAGCCGAGAATGGAGTCACACACCCATCCACGCACCCATCCACACACTCATCCACATCCAATACTTACCCGTTGGCATCAAAGAAGGTCTCGGAGGAGGCAACGGCGCTTTTACGAGCATAAGTGCGCAAAACATCAATATCATAGTTGGTCGAGTGGGCGGGGCGCATCAAGTGCAAGCGCACGTCAGGGTGCTCGAGGTCGTCGTGGGAGAACGAATCGTCAAGGCTGGCCGACTCCTTCTCGGGTTGTTGCTTCGCAATCGCAGCGACAGCAACGGGAGCCGAAAAGTTGACTTCTGGCAAGTCATCCTCGTCGTTGTCGTTGTCGTTGTCGTTGTCGTCGTCGCGATGGCTGTTTGGACGGTGTGCACTCTTGTTACGGGCAGCATCAGCGTCGGAAGCTGTTTGGTCTTGCCCGACCAGGGAGAAGGCCGGGCGTTGCGGTGGCAAGGAATCTGTCAACCGGCTCGCGGCAGTCCTGTGCTTGGAGGGTGAATGACCATGGCCGTGGCCAGCAAACGCCTGCCGAGAGGAGGCGGGCAAGCCAGTAGCTGCTGGAGTGGACGAAGCGGTCTGCGTTGGACGAGACTGGCTTGGTGCTTGACTTTGGTTGGAGCTCTGCTGCTTGCGCTGCTCTTTAAACTTGGCCGCCATTGACGCGATCGAGACAATCTTGGGTTTGGCGGTGGGTAGTGCGACATTGCCACCTGCATTGTGTACAAAGGAAAGCGAGCAATTTCAAAGCAAGTCAGTAAGCGAGATGAAGGAGCTTGGTTCCCACCCACCCCCTCTCCATCCCAGTTTGCTGAAAATGAGACCAGCATGAGACCAGCTGAGTTATTGATCGAAGGTGGGGGGGTGGCGGACAGAGAGAAGCTGTCAAAAAGGGAAGGCTAAAAAGCGCGGGAAAACCTGCTCAGCTCGAGTTGAAAACCATCGCGCCCAAGTTCGCGTTTCCGAGCTGCGCCTGAGCTCTGCATGTGACTCGCTATCATCATGCCACAGTGAACTAGGTACCGAGTGTATGTACTCGGGATGAGCGCGGGCGGTCGCACAAACCATCGCTGTGCATACAGGCGGGCTCATTCAGGGAACAAGTCAAACATTTCCCGCCAAAATGAACAGCACAAACAAGACACGCAACAGAAGCAGCTCTGCTTCCCCCTCAAGCGCAGTGCGTTTGCATGCCAAACGAATGAAAAACGCCTGTGGCCTCTTGCTTCTGTGAGCAGCGACCATGAACGGGGTGGAGGAAGTGCAACTGGCGCCCAAAAGCGAAAAGGAAAAGCGCGCTCAAAAACAGAAAAAAAAAAAAAAAAAAAAAAAAAAGGACCAACCTCGAATGTAGCGCTCCGTGTCGCGCCGCAGCTGTGCCAAGTCTGTGCTCGACATTGTGGTTTTAGGGTTTGAAAAGGAGTGAAATGAGAACGCAAGAAGCAAAAGAAGACAAAGAAAGAAAAGAGATGAAAACAACGAGAGAAAAAGGCAAAATGGAGCGAAAGATGGACTGCAGGCAACAAAGAGTGAGAGAAAAGTTGAAATCGTTGGATTTGCAAAACGCAATGCAATGAGTGTGAAGGGCGAGGCAACTGCGTAATGTCCTCAGTAAAGAAAAGGAAGATCAGGCAAAAGGTCGATTTTCACTGAGAATTGGAAAAGAGACCTGCGAACGATGCGCCTTCTTTCATTCACTGCTTTGCGTCTCTGTCTGCATGTCATCAGAGAAGCTTGTTGTCGTGAATGGATTTGGTCGGGATGCAGTCTCAGTTTTCTAGCGCCAACGACAACAAGCGGGGAAATGAGCGGAGTGGGCGCAGTGCAGCACAGCGCAAGCGATCCAGGACCACCGACCGCGCGCCCGACCTACGAGCAACTCGAAGAAGAGAATGAGCGTCTGCGCCGCGAGCTCGACATTGAGCGTGGCCGCGTCGTGCACCTGCAGAGCGACATTGCGCAAGTTCGCAAGCAGTCGATGGACATGGTACCCGTCCTTCTCGCTCTCCTTCTCGCCTCTCTCCTTCTCGCCTCGCCCCGCGTCCCCAGCTGCTGATTGTCCTGTTGAGGGTGTACCTGTGTGTGCTGCTCGCTCCTCCGCGGTTGAGGTGCTGACGTCGCATCAAAGTCGAAACGAGAACGAGCAAAAAAGCTCACCAACTCCATCGCCCCACCACCACCACCACCACCACCACCACCACCACCGCCATCACCATCACAACAACAACAACGTTGAAGCCCCAATGTGCATGTGAGTGAGCACAACAGATGGCCTTCAGCTGATGCGGCGTCATCGTTGTTCAATCCCCAATCCTTGTCGAGATTTTTTTATTTTTTTTATTTTTTTTTTATTTATTTTTTTATTTATTTTTATTTTTTTGTTGTTATTTTTATTTTTATTTCATTCAAGCCAAGAATCGCCTTTTCAGTCCTCTGCGTTTGCTTTGAGCTGTCCCTCGCTTTCGGCAACAACCATCCAAGCCAACCTTCTTCTTCTTCTTCTTCTTCCTCTTCTTTGTACCCTCGTTTCCTCACTCGTTCTCGTTGTCGTCATTCGAAAATCATCCAACATACCTGAAAACTATTTTTTTTTTCGCTTTTGCACAATTCCATGTGAAAAAATAGTGACGTACAATGGACAGTCATTCACGCCCATCATCGTCATGGTGCGAACTGCGGGGACTGTTCATTTGCTGTAGTAACGTCTTTGTGCTGCTGGTGGATGGCATACGACATCGCTCGGGGAACTGCTCGGCAGCTCCCAAAACGCCGACTCCCACTGAAACCATGGGACATTCTTTTGTTTGTTGTCGCTCACTTTGATTTGCACCATTTGTGATTGTTAAACCTTTTGTGTTTATTGTAGCAACTGCAAGTCGAGGCGGAAGAAGAACATATCGCACTGACGCTGCTCAAGCGCATCGACCAGCTGCAAAAATCAAAAGAGGCGTTGGCGCTGCAGGTCGAACGCGAGGAAGAGTACCTGACCAACACGCTGCAAAAGAAACTGCTCCAGCTGCAACACGAGAAGGAGCACCTCGAGAAGATCCTGGAGCACGAGCAGGAAAACGTCGTCAACAAGATGAAGCAGCAGGTAGATCAGCTGCAGCGTGAGAAAGTGCTCATGTCAAGCAAGCTGTCAAAGGTAACGCGTGTGTGCGTGTTGGAATGGTGTGCCAGAAGTGGTCCGCTGACCACCCAGAGTTTTGTGCGCAGCTTCAAAATGAAAAGGTCCAGATTGAAAACGCGCTGGAGCAGGAGCAAGAGTTTATGATCAACAAGCTGACCAAGCAAATTGAGCACCTTCGATCGGACAAGAAGTGAGATTTCTTGAAGGCGTTATTTGCAGCATTGGCGTGGTTGTGGCTGACGGGAATCTGCTTGTTTTTGCTCTCGTGAATGTCCACAGGCACCTTCAGGAAGAGCTATTCAAGTCACCTCGCTCCTCGGGCACAGATCTGTCCTCTGAAATTCAATCTCTTCGCCGCCAGCTCCAAGAAAACGAGGCCAAGCGTACGTCCTGTCGTTGTTGAAGATTCGTTGCTCATCTACTGTTGTCTACTTTGTATACTACTTTGTACTTGCGTGCTGACTCTGCGATTCAATTTTGTTAGGAACGGCATCCCAGCAGACTTCGTCGCACGACTTGGAGGAGCTGCATTTGGAAAATCTTCACCTGCGCCAGCGGCTAGCTCGCGAGCTGGAGCGAGTCGAGGCGTTGGCGAGTGAAAAGACCCTTGATGAGTTTGAAAAGGAGACGTCGGAGGAGCGCATGTTCAATCATCAGCTCACAGACGAGTTTGATTCGCGCCGCTTCCGAAGCCACTCCAACCCCACACCACCTTCCCATGCTCCGCCAGCACGGAGAGGCAGTATTGATACGTCCATAGCTGAACCGAAATGGGTGAGTAGGAAGAAGCGAGCGTTGTTTTGTTTTTCTGGTTTTGTTGGGGTCGGTTGTTGCCTGTCTCACTTTCCAGCGTTTCGGTTTTTCTTTTTCTTCGCGCCCGCCTCAAACCCTTTTCGATACAGTGGTCCGAACGCACACCGTCCATCAGCAAAGACCGAGATGACGGCGCTCCTCACATTTCGCCGCACTCGTCCATGCACGGACTCCAGCTTCCTTCACCTCAGCTCTCGCCAATTCAGCATCACCACCAGCACCATCACGCGAGCCCACATGGGCATGGAATTCTTCTGCACAGCATGAGCTCGCCTGCCGGTTCGCACCTTTCCACCACAACGGCCCATGCACACGATCTGCATTCACCCGGTAGCGCAACCGTCCACTCCCGGCAATGAGGCAAATTGGAACCAAAATGCGAACAGCTTCATCCCACCCCTCAGTGATCTGTGCCCCCTTTTTTTGTGCGTTTATCGGTTGTTCAACAAAGACAAAAATCCAAAGTCAAACAAAAGCTGTCCATAACTTTTCTTTCCTGTTGCCGACGCCTCATGCTCCATGATTTTATTGTGAATGTATGCTGAACATTTTATTTTCCCCAGTCATTTTCTCGCTTCGTAGCCTGCAGTCTTTCGAACTTGCTCAATCGCGAGTCACCTGCTCTTCCTTTCCCCATTGTCTAGAATTCTCCCCGCTTCCACCGCGTCCCCAACCCCCGCCTGGCAGCCAAACGTCATCTCATTGAGAGCAGCACTCACACACACACATACAACAATGTACAAACCAACGTTCGCTGACGGACGGTTGTCGCTGGCGTTTCACGAGCTGGACGACGTTCCAGCCAAAGTGGCAGCGAAATGGGCGCCCAAGACCAAAGAGCTGGACGTGAGTCACAACAACCTCAGGTGAGTGCCACTCCACCGTCAAATTCAGCGGGCTCAGCTGTCTGCGTTGGTCATATCCTTGAGGTGGTTTTGGCCGGTGAAAGGAACACCTCGTTGGCCAAATCTTAAAACCGGATGGATGACTTTCCACCTATCATCATCATCCATCCCCATAGTCCCCATTGTCGAGTCGTTACCATCATGACCCATTGCAGCTACTCAAACAGTTACTATTTTCCTTGATTGAGAATTTTTTATTATGGACGTATTGTTGTGTGTGCTTTGGAACAAACGAGTCGAACGTTGTGGTTGTTCAAATTTTTGGTACGAACGGCAAACACTACTCGACTGACTTGCTGTATTGGATTGGATTGGATTGGATTGGACAGGGATTTGCGATCGCTCGAGCTCTTCCGAGACATCCATACGTTGGTGCTGGACGACAACAAGTTGCCGGCGCGAATCAAATTCCCAATCTTCCCGCTGCTCAAGACACTCTGGATTAACAAGAACAACATTGCCAACCTGGCTGAATTTATCGAGGGGGCGTCCGCTAGCTTCCCGGAGCTCGAATACCTCAGTATGATGAACAATCCAGCGGCGCCGAGCTTTTTCAACGGCGGCACCGTCGAGCAGTACAATGATTACCGCCTGTTTGTGATTAGTCACTTTCCCCAACTCAAGACGCTCGATGACACGCCGATATCAGACCAAGAGCGCGCCAGCGCGAAAAAAGTATACGCGCGGGTCGCGTCCATGACAAAGCTCATGCGCACGTCCAGCAAGCCAGTTCTTGCCAAAGATCGCGATGCCGATACATTTTCGCTCATTGGATCGGTATGACGCGAAAAGCAGGGGCGGGGCGCAAAGGGCGTGATCTGCTTTTGAAACTAACTGCTTTGTCTTTGTTTTTTGTTTGCTGTGTTCATCTCGTCTCGTACAGTAATCATGGATCATGACGTTGGAACGTCTTGTGCAGTTTGTTTGAGTTATAATTGCTTGCATGAGTGTTTCAAAGCTCAAGATGAAAAAAAGTTTCAGGAACAACTCGTCATTCGAATGTTTTGTACTTTACAAGTCCAGCAATAACAATCCATGCAGGAGGAGGGTGCATCTTGCACGTCAACAATGACAGCAACAACAACAACAATAACAACAACAACAACAACGACAACAAAATCAACAACAATAAGAAATCTCACACAAAACTACCAGGTATTATCGCAACAAAAAGGACCAATGTTTTCAAAAAAACAAAAGGCGCAACAAAAAGCTAAGTTGAAAGCCAGCCTGAGGCAACGCTTCCAAGAGCGCAAAGCAGCGCAACTAATAGTGCGACTGGATGCGCTACGTGTCCTCCGTTGCCAGAGTCTTTAAACACGTCCGAAAAGCTCACCAACGCAGAGTAGGTTCCTTCCAACACGTTTGCTTCGATTGGGGCGAACGTCGTCACATTGTTGGACTGAATGAAGCGCTTGTAGACATCCAGCTGAGCATACTTGAACTCGGCTGAGACGTAGTCGCGGATGGTAACGTTCGCATTGTCGAACGCCGCTCGGCCGGCAACAACGTACTGATACGCATACACCAGAGCCTGGGACCAGGCAAGATGCATTCGCAAGTACCGCACGAGGAAGAGGCGATCGGAATGCAGCTGGACATGCGAAACGAGCGCGGCGTCAATCTGCACTTTGAGCTGCAGCATGTCTTGGATGGTTTCGTTAAACCGTTCAGAGTTCTCCACATACTCGAGCAGGTCGAACGTGGTAAAGTTGGACCACGCTGCTTTGAACGTGTTCCATTGATCAAACACGGAGACCGGGTCGAGCTCGAGGCGCACAAAGAGGTCGTTCCAGATGACACGCACAGGCTGGATGTTTGCAAAGTCGAGGGCCGCGCTCACATTGGCAGAAAACAGCTGCGTGTTTTCCGTCACCTGCTGCATGAGCCGCTGCAGCTGGGTGGTGGTGCCCGCTTGCTCAAGCGCCGCACGCAGCGCCACCGTGACCGTCGAAGTGGTAAGAACCTGGCCCTGGATATCGCGCAGCTGCGATCGAGCGCGCTCCAGCACGGCGTAAGAGGCGGCAGTCAACGCGCCGCCAGAGCGGCGAATTTCGTTGCAGAAGGCAACGCAGTCCAGTGAAAAATCGGCGGCCGCGGCACTAAACGCGCGCGCGAGCACGCAGCGGTCTTCGCATGAGAGCAGCAGCGTGGCTTTGCCAAGACCTCCATTGCCGCCGCGCGGCCCGGTGATGGCATTCACAAGAGCAAGTGTGTCCACAAAGACGGGATTCACAATCAAGGCGACGCTGAACGTAGACGCCTGCTGGATTGTAAATGCGTACTGAGCCGACTGCCAAGCGACGAAATTGGCCAGCGTAGCAGCCCGAGTTTCGTTGGTGGTGCTAAACTTGGCGCGTGCGGCGATGGCAAAGCGCCAGGCGTTTCGGAGGGTGTAGCTGGCCACGTACTGGAAGCTCACGTAACGCGCGTACAGAACGCGGGACGTACGAGGCGCGTTCCCCTGCACAAGGGCGGCGTAGACTGCATCCAGGCTTACTTGTGTTTGTTGAATCACAGCTGTCAGGTCGGTCAACTTGTCGTTGAAATTGAGCGGTGTGAGTTGAGTCGAATTATCCGCCCAGTAGGCTTGGAAGGTGGCCCAGTCAAACACAACGGGGCTCAGAGCGGTAAACAGCGCGTTCCAGTTGGCCTGCGTGCCAGCAAGCGCAATGTAGGCGCTGAAGCGGTTGGCTTCCGCGAGGTACGAGGCGCTGGCGTTGGCAATCGTGTCAATCAGCACGCCAAGGGTGGCGTTGCTGACGGCGGCTGCATACAGGGTGGTGTTGGCGGCACGCGCAGTGTTGGAAACGTTGAGAGCATTTGCCTGGTACTGCTCCAGGGTTGCAGCCACCCCCGAAACGAGGCTGGCGGCAGATCCCGTCAGAACGCCATCGGCAGACGCCACAGCCGCACAAAAGCTGTCACAATCCAAAGCATACTGCGATTGCGAAGTGGCAAACACCTTGAACAAGAAGCAGCGCTCGGGGCAGGTCAGGGTGTACGTTTCTTTGAGGTCGCCACCGTCGGGTGTGGGAACGGCGGTGGTTGTTGGAACGGGGCTGGCCGTCTGCGCCGCGACATGCAAGACCAGCAGAGCTAGCACAAGCGCAGCCGATGACATTGCTCCAGTCATGTAGCTGCTACGACGCGGCATGGCACGTAGGACGGGAAGAATCAGTCAGTTGAAGCAGGACTCGTCTTGAGTCTTGAGCGTATCCGAGCCACAGCGCACGAGAAATTCAAGACCTTTTACTACAGAGTTTTGCTTCCTAAGCACAATCAAGCAGAATTGCACAATGTAGAGAGTGGGAGAACGAGGAAGTGAGTGCGCAGAATGGGTGATTGGAAGATCATTCACAAAAAGTACCGTCCACCGCAGACACAAAAGCAAAGCATGCAAAGTAAAGGGCGACCAAAGGAGCGGTTTTGAGTGTACTTCAGGATGATGCATCCAGGATGAGCTTGCGAGTGTGAGAGCGGGATTGAATGGGATTCAGCTTGCGCCGAGGCTCCAGACCACTTCCTCCTCTCCTCCCCCCCTCCGCCTCCACCTCGACTGGCGTGTGCTTGTGGCAGTCTCCTCGCTGTTTCTTCCTGCAGTCCCCTGCTGGCCTGGCTTGGGCGTGTGACTTTTGAATGCAATAGCGGTCTTTGTTTTCGATCCTTCCGTCCCTCGCTCCAAGTCCACTTTGCGCCGCGTCACTTGGCTCGCTTTGTCGAGTGCAACTTGCATCTTGCAAGCGGACACGTCGAGAAGGGAAAGTTTTTGCTGCGGACGGGGAAAAAAAGGCGGCTGTTCGGTATGTTGATTGCTTACCCAAAAAGAAACAACACAATATGGGAATTTAAAATCAAAAAAAAAAAAAAAAAAAAAGCAATGGAAAATGACTGAAATGAGATTGACAAGATGGTGGCGAATGCAAAAAAACAGAAGCGGGAGGAGTGATGACGGTGCAACGACACGCAACGAATGGGTGAGATGAAGCTTGTGGTTTGACGGGAGTAAAGTGGAGGAAGGGCAACCGCAAAACATACGACCACCAAAAAAACAATAAAAACAAAAACAACAAGACCGCGCCCGCTTTGTCACTGAATGTGAGATTATTAATCCCACGAGTTAGGGCTTTCGGGGAAAATGGCCAGTAGCGCGGCGAATTGGTGCAAAAATGCGAAATGAAAATCAATTCACATGCTTTCCAAATGCGCCCACAACCACCGGCTTCCTTCGAAGTCTGGACGGACTAGGCTCTCCGTCTTGATACTAAACTGTCAAAAATATAGTTTTATCATGGCTTTTCTTGTCGAGTGGATGGAAGAGTGCCGAGACGAGCCCATTATGGGTCGTGGAAAAAGCTCACCCATGAAACTGCCGATAACTTGGCAAGTATTCAATTTTTTCTGCCCTTGTTGATAAAATAGAAACTATGCATTGTTTTGTACGGTATGTATAAGTATGGTATCGTCTGGACGTGATTGAGATATTTTTGGAGAAATAATGCCGTCTTCCAAAAAGGTGTTTCAAAATCCTTGTGGTTCCATTTTCAAATCGAAAAATCGCGTTTCGTCCGTTCTAAAGCCTCCAATGCAAATTACAGACTCTCTATATGACGACTTGGATGTTTTGCGGAACACAAGATTGATACCAGGCGTTGTACTTGCAATTTTCAATTCGGCCGCGACTTTGCCGCTCTTGTTGACGCATACCTGTTCTTGTGCGTACTCTCGCTTTTAACGAGTTGCTCAGCTCGTCATCTCTGAGAATTTGGAGATGCAGACAAAAGACGGCCCGGTCAGCGCTCACCTCCACCATCAACGCGCTTCAAGAACGCGCAGATCATGAGCCTGTCTTTCCCTACTGCTCATGAAACAGCTCGTGTTTGCAGCTTCATTTTGCTCTATTGTTGGTCTTCCCATTGGCTCCCCACGTTTGTTTGCAGGTCGATGATGATGTGAAATTTGAAATTTTGTCATAAAACAACAAGCACAGCAAGTTGACGTTCGCCAGCCCCTCATTGGTCCACTTGCATCGGAGCCGGCTCATCGGTCGAAGGTGGCTGGCTTTGCTGCCCTTCTGAAATAATTTTGGCGCTATCAAACAAGGAGAGATCCAAACTTTTGATGGCTTCGCGCAAGTCACTCAGCACCTCTGGCGACAAGGCTCCCGCTTTCAAAGCTCTGTCGCAAAGACCCCCCCCCCAACCGACCAATGCAATAGAGAGCAGACGCATACAATCAGAACGACAGTGAGTCAACAGGAAATGCCAGATTCATCGAGCTCTCCAAAAACAACGAAAACATGACACTGACTTGACAAGATTCTCCATAAACGCAGGGGTGCCAGGCTCCCCTTGAATGCCATGCTCTGAAAATCGCTTGAGTTTCGTGTAAATCTCCTGCTGAGCGGCCTTTGCACCGCGCTCGAGCCGGTCCGTCCCGGCGGTCAAGTCGTCTCGCAGGGCACGGAAGTGGCGCAATGCTTCCTGCGTTGACGTGTGCTGGGTCTTTAACGCGTCGACCTCCTTGCCCAGATCCTTGGATTTCCGCATCAGATCTCGAAGGTGCGACTCGCGTCCTGCAGGTCAAGCCGAAGGATCCAGCCGAAGGATCCAGCAGTGAGCGCGGCTTGTTTCGCACGTTTTCCACCCAACCACCACCGCGCGACAGAACGCTCACCTCTATTGTATTCCAGAAAGCTCTCTGAGAAGACGTTCGATGCAGACAGCGTGCTCCAGTCCTGTTGTACGCAACGAGGTTTCAGATGGTTGAGCAAAACACGACGGCGCGTCATTTGCCGTTGCACATTTGCCGTTCAATGTGACCGGGGCCCCTGATTTGTGCACGTACAGGCTCTGTGTCATGGGATTCCTCGGCGTGGGGCTCGGCGGCCGCGAGTGGCTCTGCAGCGGCGGGTGGAGCTGCTTTTGGCGGCATTTTACTTTCTCAATGTTAAAGACTGAGTTTGTTGTTCCGAGCAATGGACCTGAATACTGCTCGATGATGGATGATTGATGATGGATGATTGCTTATGATTGCTTCACGCCGACGCCGATCGCCGATGCAATGCTTGGTGATGGATCTGCCGTTTGAAATTGAGATCAAAGCTGAGCTTTTGTTTTCCATCTTCTTTCTTTGTTCAAACTTGACTCTTTTCATTTTCTTTTATTCATTCATTCATTCTTTTATTTCATTCATTTCAATCATGTTTGGGTGGAACAAGAACAAGGACAAGAAGGACAAGGACGAAGGGTTTGTTCAAAATGTTTCTCTCTCTCTCTCCCTTCATCTCTTCCCCTGCCCCCACTTGCTTCAAACCCCCTTTCAACAAAACCACAAGAGCAAACAAAAGCGAGAAGGTTGATGAGCCGTGGAGCAGTGGAGCAGTGGAGCAGTGAGGCTGCTTCTCATTGCTCGTTTCTCATTTTTTGCTTTTCTTGTCCCTCTCCTGTCTCTCCCCCACTGTGCTCTGTCTCTGCCCCACAGTGTGATGCTTCCATCTCTCTCTCTCTTTCTCTTTGTGCTGGTCCCTCCCCCCCTTCCTCTCCCTCTCTCTTTGCTTTCTTCATCGTGACAACAATAAATCATTTACTTTTTTTTTTTTTTTCCCTTTTTTCCATTTGTCTTTTCGTCTTCGTCTTCTTCTTCTACTTCTTGTTCTTCTTCTTTCTTCTTTCTTCTTTCTTCTTTCTTCTTTTTAAATCGATCGTTTGCTTGACTTTCAAATCTCAACTCTTCGCTTTTTCGTTTTTCAATCTTTTTCAATCTTTTTTCAATCTTTTTCGCATTCTTTTTTTTTTTGAAAGTGAATTTTTTTGATGTTTTGGACTTTTTTTTTTTTTTTTTTTGATTTATTATTATTTCATTTTTCATTTTTCTTTTAGTGAGCGATTTTCGTAGCGCGTTTCCATTCTAAATAGCTTTCCATACCACTCCACTCACTCCAGTTCCGAGCGATCTCCTAACTTTGCTAACTTTGCGTCGCTCTCAACACCACAGATCGTCCAAGCCAGCACCTGCGCCCGTGTCCACCGCACCGCAAGCACACCCAGCTGCTGCTGCTAATGCTGCTAATGCAACTGCCTCTGCTACCCCACCGGCGGCGCCAGCGTCAAGCAATCCTCCCTCGGCAGCCTCTGCTGCAAAGTCCAGCACCACCACCACTGCAGACAGCGATGCATCCGAGTCAAGCCTGCTGAGCACATACGCATCGAATATCGCCAAGCCCGGCTCGCAAAAACGCGTTGGCAACTCGCACTCGGGCAGCGTGACCAACATTGCCGCTCCAGAGCCCACTCACCAGGCCGTCACACCCCAGTCCGCTGGATCAACTGAAAACATTGCTGCTGCTGCTGCTACTACTGCGCCCACCAATCTCAGCGTCTCCACCTCGCAACTCAGCGGTCCGCGCGGTCCGTCCCCCGTGAACGATCCTCCGTCGGGTGGCAGCAGCCTGCAGATTGTCGCGCCGGCCCTGTCTGCGTCGACATCGGCCTTGAATTCGAGCACCCCGTCACCCACGCCACACGTAGACTCGCCAACACGACGAACATCGCTCGCAGCCTTGAGTGTGCACTCGACCTCCTCCTCCAGCACAATGCCCAGCTCCTCCTCCTCGGCGAGCGCAACCCCACGCTCAAGCTCAAAGCAAAACATTGGCACCATTGGTCGACTGTTTGGCAAGCAGATGAAAGGCGGCGTTGGCAGCGACGACGCCGTCCACTTGCCCGACGCCAGCAACGAGACGCAGGCGCTCGAGCAAAAGCTGTTTTCGATTGCTCTCTTTATTGGTGCCAACTCGGACGCCAAGAACGAGCTCACGGCGTACAAGGACCGTCACTGGACAGAATACATGGCCAAGGCCAACATTGAGAACATGTCGAAGAAGGAGAAGAAGCAGCAGGAGGTCATCTGGGAGTTGTTTGTCTCCGAGCTCAGCTACATTGATCATTTGCTCATCATGAAGGAAATCTTCCTCACTGCACTGCGCGAGCTGCAAGAGGATGGCTACTGCCGCGAAATTGACGAGCAGCGTCTGTTCTTCAACATTGAAGAGTTGTTGAAGGTCAACTCTGCCTTTGCGTCGCAAATGCGTCCTTCCGATAACAAGAAGCTTGAGACGACAGAAGGACCGATTACCATTACCAAGATGGCCGGTGCTTTTGCCAAGGTAGGGGGTTTGCACTTAACAAAGGGAAATGGGGGATGAGAGCTGGTGTCTTTTCAATCGAGGGAACGGCAACTTCTTCTCGATGACATGGGTGGAGAAAAAGGTGTATGGGACCAACCCCTTTGCTTCTCTCACCGACGTCCTGCCATTCCTGCAGTATCACGAGAAATTCGAGCCCTACAATGCCTACTGCGTGCACTACGCCAAGTCGGTCGAGTATTTGCGCACATTGGAAGAAGATCCCAAGTTTGACATGCTCCGAAAGGTACCGGAAACAAAAAAACCACTGGCTGTTCCCTTAAGTCTCGCCAGCTCTGTTTGTCGCCCTTCTTCTGACTCACGTCGCCTTGTTTTCCCATCCACAGTGGTGCGAGCAACGCCCGCGATGCCGCAAGCTCAAACTGACAGACATTCTTGTGGAGCCGTTGCAGCGCATCATTCGCTATCCGCTGCTACTGCGCGAGGTGGCCAAGGCAACGAGTGAAGAGCCGGAAAACCTGGCAGCCGTGAACGCCATTATCGACAACGTCTCTGTATTTGTGGGGAATATCAACAAGCTTGTCCGATATGGTGAAAATACCGAGAAGGTTGCTGCTCTGCAGTCCAAGATCGAGTGGCCTGTCTTCCCGGAGGATGTTCCAGACGTATGCATTTTCTGCCTTTTTGGTTTTGCTGTGGTTGGTTATGACAACGTTTTGTGTCAGCAGCTGTTTTACTCACCGTTCTGGATGGTGGTAGGTTCCTCAATTGAAGGACGTTCTGACGGAGCGGCTAGTGCCAGATCTGACTGCCGGCGAGCGCCTCATGCTTCACTCTGGCAAATTGATGCGATGGAGCAGCAGTAAATCGCCGTCCGAAGTGGAGGTCTTCCTTTTCCAGGACATGTTGCTGATTACACGGTTCAAGAAGAAGCGCTATGTTGTCTCTGCACCAGTAAGGCACCATTGTGACTTTACGATTTTTTTTGGTTCGCTCGACGACGAAAGGCTCACTGTATTGCTGATTGTTTTCTTCCTCCCAACAACAACAACAACAACAACAACAGCCAATCCATGTCGATTCCGTCATCGTCAAGGAGATTCCGGAAGGTGCAGGCGGCCTGAAGAGCGCATTCTCTCTTATTGTTGTTGATCCTGTTGGCGTCCCCACGCAAGTTTATACGCTGATTGCCGATGGCGAAAGTGGACGAAAACTGTGGCTATCACATCTCTTCTCTGTCGTCTCTCCCAAGTTGAACAATGTAATGCTTTGGGTGATGCTGGCACTCGTCCGCTGTTTTGCTTGCTGTTGATGTGCATACTCACTGTGTGACATTTCTGTAACCGCCCCCCCCCTTTTACTTCTTGATCTGGTAGAGCGAGGCCATTGCTAGTGCCATTGCCGAGGCTGAGAAGCAACAATCTCAACCAGCCGTTTAACCAATCGTCACCGGTCATGCTCATTTCACTTTCTCGTCATTTCGTTTTTTTTTGCTTGTTGTGTATTTGTAACGTGAAGGCGGTCGGGGACTCGTCTGCGTTGTTGTTTTGCGTTCTGATTGTCCATTGTTTTTTTTTTTTTTCAAAATTTCTCAGTTCATTTTCCCGATAGCCCCTCATTTCTCTCTCGCCCCCCCCCGTCTCCTCCGCTTCCCTGTATCTACAATATTTCGGTTGGATGGGCGCCTGAACGCTGCTAACGTATTCATTCAAACCAAAAAACTATTGCTCCATTGGCTCAGCGGTACTTGCGGGCTCTTCGCTGCTGCTGGGTGCTTGCAATGATTCTGAGGCTGAGCTGATTGAGTCTGTCTGTACATTCGCTTGCTCCGCTTGAGTCGATGATGATGTCGGTTGTTGCTCCGAGGAAGTCGATTCCGTTTGCATTGGTACTGTGTCGTCGCTCTTTACGTCCATTGCAACAGGTGCAGATGCAGCAACTGCATCCACCGATGTGACGGCTGCAGCCTGTTCTGCACCAGAAGAAGCCGCAGGAGGTGCGGCGACTGCAGCAGCAGCAGCAGCCGAACCAGCCGAACCAGCCGGTTTGCCAATCTCGTTGATAATTTGCTGTTTGACAGCCTTGCTGAGCTCGGCAATTTCAGGATGTTTGGTAAAGTTCGTCAGCTGCGAAACGACAAACCCGATGTTGGACGTGCGAAGCACGTCTCGGTCTGCCTTTGTAAAATGAAGATTCTTCAGCCTCGTCAGCAGCTTGACAGCCAGATCGACGTTCTGCGCACAACAAAGACCATTTCACTGAGTTTTCGGGCACCTTCTTTGCCTCTGCTTTTTGCCCATAAGAGAAAGGAGCTCTTACAACAGGTTTGTCTTTCGGAATGGCAGTCATCAACCGTTGGCGGATTTCAGCCAGCTCCTTGTCTAATGGTCGGCCTGCCCGCGTTCAACATGGAGATGTGGTGAGTGAGCAAATTGAAGAAAGAGGCGCTTTGCAGTTCCAGCTCCCCGCCAGCCTAGATGCACGCAACAACATTTTCGGCTTACCCGCGATCGCCACCGCCGATTCCTCGTCGTCGTTCCCTTCGTCGGACGAGTCCGAGTCTGAGTCACTAAGGGCGCGCTTTTTCGTCGGCCTACTGGCCGCCGCCACCGCCGCTGCTGGCGTTGGCTTGGCTGTCTTTTTGGAGCGCTGCGACTCGTCGTCGTCCGACTGCGCAACCGTGGTTGACGCCTCAGAGTCGCTGCCCTTGGTCGACGATTTGGTCTCCTTCTTGGCCTTTGGTTCCTTTGGCTTGCGCACTCGGGCGGGCTTGGGCTTTTCCTCCTTTACGGGTCGCGGAGCAGACTGGAAATCATCCTCGTCATCATCGCCGTCGTCGAGCAAGGAAATCTTCTTGGGAGGCTGAGCCACCACGAGGGCTGGGGCTGCGACTGTGACTGAGTCTTCATTGTCCGAATCCTTGTCTTCGCTCTTGACTTTGGCAGACTTGCTGGTCTCATCGCTGTCGCTTGCAGCACCATCGGCGTTGGACCCTTCCTTCGGGTCCGGACGGCGCTTTTCCTTCTTGTCCTTGCGTTCCTTCTTGGGCTTGGGCTTTTCCTCGTCGCTGCCCTCCTCTTCTGCAACGTCGGCATCCGAGCTGGCGGCAGTGTCTTCTTCCAGACGCGGCTTCTTGCGGGAAGATTTGGCGGCCGATTCGGCGGCGCGCGAGGACCGCTTTTGCGGGCGGACAATCTTGCTCTGCGCCTTGGTGCGGATTCGCTGCTGTTTGCGCCGACGCGACGTGTCCTCGTCCGAGCTCGCGCTGGCATCGTCGCCATCGTCGTCTTCACCGTCCGACTGCTGCGCGCCATCCGACGCCTCATCGTCCTCCTTGTCGTTGGCTTCCTCGTCGGTCGCCTTCTTGTCGCCCTTGCCTGCGGACGACGACTTGCTCTTGCGTCCGCCCTTCTTGGATTCGCTCGCAATGGCTGCCTGCTGGCGTTGGTCGAACGCCTCGACGTTGGATGTGGACGCGAGGGCTGCCTTCACGCCTGCCGTGCGCAGCGCCTGGTCGTTCTCGCCCATTTTGCGCAGATTTGCCAGCGGCACCCATGAGCTACGATAACGGCAACAGGTGAGTCGACAAGCAAGGGAAGGACGTTCGCGCCAATTTCCAAGCCAAACACTTACTGGTCGAATGTCGCACCAAAGCGCACCTTGGCTTCCGTTCCCTTGATTTCCTCAACCTAAGCACACATACGCATACAGATTGGTCAAAAACATCGCATCCGCAGTCATGGCGGGAAAAAGGTCGACAACGAGTGGACAGTATTTTGGCGCCAAAACGAAAAAAAAAAAAAAAGAAATAAAAAGCGCAAAAGCTAAGTTGTAAGCTGTGCTGTGTCAAGTGGAGCACGGCATTGTCACACTGCGCTCGTCAGCTCACTTCAACGGAAACACATCTCACGAAGCTGGCTCTGTGCGGTCAGCGGCGCGCGGCCGAGCCAGAGAGCACCCCCCGCTAAAACGCGAGATCTCTGGTACTTCTCTCGCCTCGCACCTCACATGCACGCACCACAGCACGCTGGCAGTTCGGCATGCATGGCAGTGTTGATTCCCCCAAATGCACGAGAGCTTGGGATGGCTGGGGAGAGGGGACGACTTACCCGCGATGGCCAGTATGGGTGCGTTCCAAGCTTGGCCCATACAAAATCCTTCACTTCAAACTTGCTCATCGTTGAACTTTTTTTTGCTTGAGGGATGACTGCGTTTCAAAGTGTCACCATTTCCCCATTGTGCATTGGCTGAGCAATCCAACATTCGACATTTCAGCTTGGACTCAGCCAAAAGCGAAAAACCCAGCGACAAAGCCCCAGCGTGCTGTCCTTGCCGATCGCCATGTCCTGACAAATCAGCATCTTCATTGAATCTCTTTTTGCTTGTTGGTGTCTTCGATTTTTCTTTCTCTTATTTTTTTTTTTTTGTTTCTTTTCCTATTATTTTCTAACTCGTTTTGGCGTCCAGTTCAAGCTCGTTCTCTCTTATTCTGTAAAGCCTTGTAAAAAGTTGCTCTTCAAAAATCAAAAAAAAAAAAAAATCAAAAAAAAAAAGAAAAAAAAAAAAGAAAAACCAGCGTGCTTTTTCTTTTTTTCTTCTGGCCGCGTTGTTCGCTTTGTCGTCGCGCTGTTGGGGGAGCGCGCTCAGCCACCATGGAAGTCCAGCACGCAGCCGCAGCCCACACGGCCCACCGGCATCGGCAAACAGCGGTCTGTAAACGCCAGAACAAAAAAAAAAGAAAAAAAGCCAAAAGCCCGTGTGGAGATGCTTTTTTTTTTTGAGGGCCTCTCGCGTTTGTTCCAGCGCCTCAGCGACCCCTTCTCAGCGTCTCCATGCGTTGGCTCGTCGTCGCCCACCTCGTCGACCAGCCCCATCTCGAATCTCTCGCAAAATCGCGGCTGGCTGAATGGAAACTGCAACGACTTTTTTTTTTTTGAAGGGTTTTTTTTTTACTCACTTTTTTTTTTTTTTTTTTGCGATCTCTTCATTTTTGCCTTTGTTCTCTGCGACCTTCCTTGCCGCTTGTTGCTCCACCCCAGGTTCTAGAAATGGTTGCTGCCAAGAAGCAAGTAAGTTCAACGACGATTCCATCGCTTTTGCCAACGAACAAGCAGACAAAGAAGAAGAAAAAGAAAAAAAATCGATTTTTTTTTCACCGCGTGGTTGATTTTTTTCCATCTTTTTTTTTTTTTTTTTGCTGGAGTTGCATTGAGTTTTTTTTTTTTTTTTTTTTGTGCTTGTTTCCTTCTGCCTCTCTCTCCTCTTGGCTCCATCGGGGTATTGCGCTTGTCCCATCGACACAATCTTCATAACGATTGGAGAAGAGCAGCCAGCCATCGTTCCCTCCCTCTCCCTTCTAACGCACAATGGATTTTTACTCATTTTTTTTTTTTGCCTTCTCCCTACTCCCCCTGAGCAGAAGAAGTCCGCCGAAGGCATCAACACTCGCCTCGCCCTTGTCGTCAAGAGCGGCAAGTTCACCCTCGGCTACAAGTCGACCCTCAAGACTCTCCGTCAGGGCAAGGTCAGTTTCATTGCTTTTGCAAGCTCGTTCGACTCGATCCACGTTGCTTTTTTTTGCGAACGACCCTGGTCCTTGCCTGGTTGCTCCCCTTTTCTTTGGCCCAGTTGCAGCCCCTGTTGATGCTCTACAATGCCACATTTGCACTGCATCCACTCACTGGCTGTCGTCATTCCCCTGTTTGTTCTGTTTTCTTCCCGCCTCTATTCTTCTCCCTTGCCCCCAACGCAGTCCAAGCTCGTCATCCTGTCGGGCAACACCCCCTCTATCCGCAAGTCTGAGATCGAGTACTACGCCATGCTCTCCAAGACCTCGGTCCACCACTACTCTGGCAACAACATCGACCTCGGCACTGCCTGCGGCAAGTATTTCCGCGTCGGCACCATGAGCATCACCGACCCCGGCGATTCGGACATCATCAAGTCCGGCGAGGGTGAGGATGCTGAGCCCCAGGTTGCTGCCCCCGAGAAGGCCACCAAGAAGAAGCAGTAAAAAGCGTTTTTGCTGTTTTTGCCCTAGCCCTGATCTTGCTAGGCAGAGCAACAAAAAACCCCCTGGCGGAAGTGCACTTGCTTCCGTGTTGTTACTGTTTTTTTCTGTTTGTGTTGTGTATCGACTTTACTGGACCTTGTTGACTGTACAATGCAATTTCCATTTCACACATACCTTTTTTATTTTTTTTATTTTCTTTCAATTCACAGAATCCAGCCACTTTTGCTCAATGCCCACGGGTATATCACCTCTCGAATCCATCCCCAGCCACTTGATTCATGGCCACTGACCGTTCTATGGTGGTTGCATTCGGCATCAATCCTCGTGCGATCGCTGCTGTTCACTCCATTCTGATTTTCAGCCATTTCCCCTATCCCACTATTCCACTATCCCACTATTCCACTATCCCACTATTCCACTATCCCACTATTCCACTATCCCACTATTCCACTATTCCACGATTGCACTTGCCATGGTGGATCGACCTCGCTTTCGCTGCCAGTCTTCCATTTGAACACGTTTTTTCGCTTCGCATCCAATTTCCAACCAATCATGTCCAAGCAAGTCCTCAACTTTGCCGCTGGTCCGGCTGCGCTTCCCCGCGAAGTCCTTGCCAAGGCCCAGAGCGAGCTTCTCGACTACGCCGGCAGCGGCATCAGCGTCATGGAGCTCAGCCACCGCTCCAAGGAGTTTGAGGGCCTGCTCAACCGCGCGATTGCGGACGTCAAGACCCTCCTGTACGTCCTGCCCTTCCCACAAATGCAAATGGGGCCCATTCCTATTTCATACTCCATCGTGACAATTGTACAACATGTTCACCCCCCCCCCCGCCTCCTTTGACCAAGCGGTGATCGACTTCCCGTCCAAACCGTGTTTCCACGCATGACGAGTCAGCGGTTTGGCCTTGTGTGGTAGAAATTCGCTCTCAGTTTATGTTTGTGTGTGAACACTGCCGGGCCCCCTCTCTGGTTCAGGCTGCACGCCCTTTTTGAGACTGTGAAGCAACATGTGCATTTGATTTTATGGTCTGGTGTTATTATGAGGGGTTTGGAGCTGTTTTCAATGGAGGCGGGCGTTGTGGGTGTTCGGGCCCGCCTTGTGATTTGTGCTGTGACCCCCCCTTTGCCCGCCCGCATGGTCGTCACTAAGTGGGGAAGGGAAGGAGGCTGCGGGTATGGATGAGTGGTTTAAAATAGTACACTCCCCTTCGCTCTGCAAATCATCATGATCACCAACTCCATTTTTCCCAACCCATCAGAATCACTGCAAACGAATTCACACAGTGGCACCCCGATTTTTCAATGTTCATCCCTCTCTGACTTACACTTTGTACACTACACATCGACGGAATTGCATTTGAATTAGGAACGTGCCCGACAACTACAAGATCCTCTTCCTGCAAGGTGGCGGCTCGACCCAGTTTGCTCAGGTCGCGCTCAACCTGCTGGGCGCCAAGGAGGGCAACTCGGCCGACTATCTCGTCACTGGCACTTGGTCGCTCAAGGCCTACGAGGAGGCAAAGCGCTACGGCACCATCAACCTGGCCTTCCCTCTGCCGGCCAACAAAAAGTACGTGACTGTGCCTCCTCAGAGCGAATGGAAGCTCAATCCCGCGGCGTCGTATGTGTACTACTGCGCCAACGAGACTGTCGATGGTATGTGTATTCGAACGGATTTGGTTGATGAACACTGGTGATGCGGCTCAGAGCCTTTCTCGGGTCATTGACGAGTACATTGACTCATTTCCCCCAACCCTTCCCCAGGCGTCGAGTTTGATTTCGTGCCGGAAACCAACGGCGTGCCCCTCGTCTGCGACATGTCGTCCAACATTCTTTCCCGCCCGGTCGACGTCGCCAAGTACGGTCTGATTTTCGCTGGCGCCCAAAAGAACGTCGGTCCTTCTGGCGTCACGCTTGTCATCATTCGCTCAGACCTGCTGGACGTCAAGCAGCACCCGGCAACCCCAATCATGCTCGGCTACAAGCTCATGGCCGAGAACAACTCGTTGTACAACACCCCGCCGACGTTTGCCATTTACATTTGCGGCCTTGTCTTTGAGCACCTGAAGGCGCTCGGCGGTATTGCCGAGATGAACGCCCGGAACGACCGCAAGAGCCAAGCGCTGTATGCGGCGATCGACAACTCGAATGGCTTCTTCACCTCACCAGTCGTCCCCGCCTACCGCTCGCGCATGAATGTCCCATTCCGAATCCGCGGCGGCGACGATGCGCTTGAGAACAAGTTCCTGAAGGAAGCCGAGGCCCAGAACATGATTCAACTCAAGGGACATCGCTCCGTCGGTGGCATCCGTGCGTCCATCTACAACGCCATCTCGGAGGACAATGTGACTCAACTGGTTGCTTTCATGAACAAGTTCCTTGCTGCAAACAACGCATAGGCCTGATGTTTCATGCAGCCGATCGCTGCAGCGCTCAATGTTGCTCACAATACACTTCATTTTCATGTCGGACATCGGTGTTTTTTGGTACAGAACAGCCTTTTCCCCCCACGGACATCCACGCCAAAGCAAGCAAAGTGTTGCACCAACGCAGCATCAGGGAGACGAAGAAGGACTCGCCATCGCATTTTGACAAAGTGTGGACAGTTCCCTCTTGAGAATGGTCAGATTGGAGTCGAGGAACTCGTCAGGGGCCAGGCGACGACGCGCACGCTTGTCATCTGGCACCTCGTTTGAACCGACGGAGCGCGCTCGGACCCGGCGGATCTGAGGGTATAGGAAATTTTTGGAGAAGGAAAATAACTTTGCACTTGAGTGATGCAGGTGACAAATCAACGCATTTGTAGCACGACTCGTTACCGAAGGAGACTGAGATCCCAGCAACAGATCATATCCTGTGGGCACACTTCGATCGGACGGCGTTGGCAGTAGGGTAGTTCGACTCGGGAGCGTGATTGACAAGCTTGTCATTGTTTCCGGACTGGAGGTGCCATTGCTTGCCATCGACGGCTCATCAGGAACAGGAACAGGAGCAGAGGACTGTTGCCAGTTGGGTGCGGGTTGCGCTTGATGCACGAGCTGCTGCTGCTGCTGCTGCCCTTGCATTTGATGCAGCAGACCGATGATCTGTTGGTGGCGAACTTCCTGTGCAGCGACGAGGTCACGCGTAGCTCGAACCATCATCTATACACAACCATGTGCACGTCAGCCAGCATAAGAAAACTCGATTCCTTTACGAATCCACTGGAATGGCGCAAGCTGACCTCGTTCAGCAAGGCAAATTGATTGCTCGTCTGCTGGGCTTCAAGCGACATGTCGTTCGTGTGATCCTCAATCACAGAGCAAACTAGAGCAACACGAATGAATGTCAAGGCGAGAAGTTGGCACGACGACAAAGCTTGCGAGACACTTACGACCTGCCACCTTGTTCTCCATGTCAGTTTGCTTCCTGTGTAGCTCGTTCAGTGAGGTTTGCACCTTGTCCAGCTGTCATCATTTGCGCAACAACAACAACAGCAACAACAACAACAGCAAAAAAGGGTGAGACGTCGCATCGTTCGGCAACAGACATCAAAAATACGAACGAACAAACCTTTGTTTCCATGCCGGCGGTAGACTCGAGGCTTCGCGCCTGTTGCGGTTGCTGCTGCTTGGGAGTGCAACCTAGACGCAAAGCCGACACAATCGGCGCGGGTTTGGTTGGACGCGCAGCGGGGTTGTTGCTCGGTTTGTTGCCTCGACTCGTCTTTGAGCAGAGCTGGGAACGAGTGCGCATTCTCGAGGGGACGGACTCTCCAGGTGACTGAGCGGGAGCTGTGCCACTAGCGGACGCGGCGAGTTTGGGCTTGCGGCCAGGACGACCAGCGCGACGGGTGACTTCTGCTGGACCCGATTTCGCGATGGACTTGGCCGGAACAACCGACTTGATCTGCTTGAGAGCTGGGCGAGCGTGGGTTGCCGTTGTCTCGCTGTCATGAGAGCTGGAGTAAGAACTACTGCTCTCCTCCGAGCTGGTCGAAGAATAGCTGGAGACGGAGCTGACTGGACTCGCGGGTGTGACAGCGGAGCCATCTCTGGCAGCAGGGGCGACATGACTCGCAGGCGCAGAACGAGAAGCAACCTCATCAGTGCCTGCAGTGCTTCCGCCTGCATGAGAATCATGCCAGGTGTTAATGTAGCCTTGCAGTGCCAGAATGTCAGCGCCGAATGCTTGGCGCAAGGCGACCGCAAGAACCGCATTGTGGTCCGAATTGGCCGCGGCCGGCTGCACAGAGGGTGCCAGCGGCAGGGGTCCCACCGCAGCTGCCACAGCGGGTGCAGTCGTGGCTTGAGCGGATGCCGAGCGGGGCCTGTTCTCCTGAGCCGCTGTTCTCGACTTTGACGGTGCCGCCGAGCGCTTTGCATTGCTTGCAGAGCTGCTCGAATGGTCGTCCAGCTCAACAATGCCAGAGGAGCTGCTTGACTTGGATGCTCTAGCGAAAGCAGTGCTGTGGCTACCAGGCGCGGGAACAGAGAAAGCGGAAGACAAAGTCTGCGTCGCGCCCGCCGGACCCGCATGTGCCACCAATGTTGCTGCAGCAGGCTTCACAGACACAGTAGCAGCAGTAGCAGCAACAAGGCTCTTGTAGTACGCCAGCTGCTGGGCCGAGAGTTCGGAGCTCGGTGGCATGGTCATGGCGGGAGTTGCCATTTTGGCGGGAACGGGTTGAACGCCTCGGATGAACGCCAAACTGTTCGCGCCAAGACTGCTTTCGTTCAACGCGGGCGCCGCCGCAGCAGCAGCGACCGACGGCCAGTGAGCGGCGACTTGGCTGCTCTGGCTCTGTGCAGGAGGGAGCGCGCTTGGACGATTTGAGTCAGGGACTTGCAGCATGGACGCGAGGGAGGCGAGCGAGGGCTGTGCGGCGGCGAGCGGGAAGAAGCGCTCGATCGGCGGCTGGATGAGCTGCGGCTGATGCTGCTGCTGATGCTGATGCTGGGACTGTTGATGCTGGGATGGCACAAGCGGCAGGACCTGCCACTGCGACAGAAGGTGGGGATCTTGCGAGCAGCCGTCGTTGCTCGGCCACAGGATGGATTGCGACGGCGTTTGCGTTGGCTGCTGCGACAGAGACACGCACGGCTGCGACGACGTTTGGAACGGCTGCGACAGATGCTGCTGCTGCTGGAACTGCTGCTGGGACTGCGATGGCGGGAGAGCGAGAAGCTGCGTTTCGTTGGGAGCGGATTGGATGTAGGCGGCAAATCCGCCGTGCTTGCTTCCAGCAGACCCAACCAGGCGAGGCAGACCCATGGAAATGGCCGGTCGTGCACTTGGGCGGATGCCTCCATGATGGTTTGGAAGCGCAGGCAGCGAGATGGGGCGGCGTGCGACGGGCAGCGGCATTGTGTGTCAGTAGTGTTTCAAGAGTGAAACAACAGGAAACGAAACAAAGGAAGACTGAGATTTGGTGAGAAGTTCAGACGTCTCGATTTGGAAGTGGGTTTTTTTGAAAGCCAGTTCGTTTTTGGTTGTGCTGGCTTGGTTTTGAAACGAGCGTCCAATGCTGCCAGAGTGGCCCTCCAGGTTTCCGTTCTACTGTACTGTACTGCACAGTAGTCTCATCTTCACGTTGTCGATGGGACCTTGAAAGCGTGCTGCATGCATGCCAATGAACGAAGTCTGGCAACCATCAGAGTTCACAGAATGTTTTTTGGATTTACTACACAAAAGTATCTTTCAAGAAAACACAAAGAGAAACGAATCGGAACTCAAAACAGCCATGACTCCGTGCCCACGCGACGCAGCTCTCGCAATGTTCAATTGCCATAGTCGGTTGCATTATATCCTGGCACGTTAATATTCCAATTTCGCTCTAGCCAGCACAGAAACAAAGGACACAAGCGTGAGACGAAAAAGTCTCTCTTCCCTTTGCTCATCAGGTCGCGCGAGCTGTCGTTTTCCATACCCAAATGCGATGCTACGTCCTTCACGTCTAGTGTGTTTGATTGTCGGTGTCGTGCAAGGCGACATGCGAAACTGGCCACTGATTCGATAAACTCGTCCGCCATGTCCAAGAGCAACTACACGTCCAGATCCATGTGCACATCGCGTTAGCATGATAAAACGACCTCTCGTAAAACAAGTACCATCAACGCGTTATTGCACCTTCAACGCCACCCATCAACATATACAAGATCATCCTATTTCGTGTTTCCAGCATATACCTCCTGGACATCGTCGTCAAGACGCTCGTACGGATCGATCTGATGGGCAATGTTTGCCAGGTTTGTCCTCGTGATGGACCGCGCATCGTCGTCGATGGGCGCCGCGTCGTATGCAGGGTGCACTTGGTGGAAGCCCGAACCACCGGCAGATCTCGACATTGGCAGGTAGTCGCCGGACATGGACGCGCCAAACATGGACGACGACGGCGTTGCGGTGGACGACGACGACGACGCAGCAGCAGCAGCAGCAGCAGCAGCACCGCCAGCACCACCAGCAGATGCACCGCTGCTCGACGTGGACGGAGCACCGGCGCGGTGGAGCTCGCGGTCGAGGGCAGCGCGCGACGAGAGCGACGCAACGCCAGAGCCGTTCACAGTGGCAAGGCCGCCACTCGATGCGCCGCCAGCAGCAAACACGGGCATCGGCCCAGTGACGGGCCCCTGCGACGGCGGTCGGAGCGCAGGAGCACTGGTTGCTGAGGAGTCGGCTCCACTCGGCGGGCGAGCCGTGCCGCGCGGTGGTCGGCCTGGTCCGCGCTTTGTGTCCATTGCTTATTGCTTGTTCGAAGTGGTGTACAATGCAGGTGGGATGTGGAAGGTGGGAGGTGGGAGGTGGGTGGGTCCAAGGGGTTGGTCGAAAAAAGATTGAGGACTGCGATTCTCAGACAGTCCGCCGTCATCCCCAACATAATGTTGATGTGCATTGCATGCATTCATAAGCGTCACTTTGAGCAGCGTCTCGATGTGCTGTCTGACCGACGGGGTTCAGATCGTGGCAAAGCGATTGTTCATTCACTCATCATTCATTCATTGTGTGATTTTTGGAGTATTGTCAACTTTAATCTCAATCACACCACTTCCGAGTCAGTTTCGAGATGAGCACAACCGCCAAAGTGGACGACGCAGCCCTTGTTCGGCTGCTGGTAAGGCTGAGGCTGAATGAACTGTGGAGCTGCATTGGACAAGATCGACCCAGGCTCACCCCGCCGTGTTCTCCTTCGCATTGATCATTTTGACTTGGCCCGGGATGCTTGTTCTTGTATTTGTTTTTAGGATGCTGCGATGAGCGAGCTGTCGTGGTGCAGAGCGAGCACGCGTCGCCTGTTTGAGGACATGTCGACTGGCGAGCGATCAGACGAGGTCCTGAAGCTCTTCCGCGACGGACGCATGGCCATTGAGCGGTCATCGGCGGGCTTTGCTCAGGCGATCGCAGCACTGCGCGCGGCGGGAGTCACGTCGCTGCCCGCACAGAGGCTGATCAAGCAGCAGACGACGCGCGCAGAGACGCTCCTCTGGTCGGACGCCGCAGCGCAAGACCACCACGACGCGCCAGGCCAGGTCCAAGCGACACAGCTGATCACCAAGCAGGTGCGCCATTCAGACTGGGAGGTTTCTTGGTGGTGGTGATGATGAGAGGAGTCTGTTTCGCACTCAACGACAATCCATGTACTCGAATCAGATGCACCAGCACGGTAAAGTCATGCACGACGCACTGCAGCGACACTTGAGTCCTGCGTTTCCTCAGGTGGATGCGGCGGCCCCATCCGCTCCAGCAGGAGCAGGAGCAGCAGGAGCAGCAGCATCAAGCTCGCAGCAGATGCTGCTGGTCGACCTGCTCAAAAATGCTCAGATTGCCTTTCCAAAGTAAATGCGATGTGATTGTTGTTTTGACTCTGTGTGCCTGAGGTGTACCCTGTGGATGCTGTTCTCTGGGCTAACTCCCGATTGGTCTCCGCTTGCAGACTCACGATCGCACCGATTGTCGTCAAGCGTCGGCCTGCTCAGTTCACTCCGCACCCGGCGCCGCTGGAAGGTGACGATGCCATGAGTCAGTCAGACCAGGCGTCGGAGGTCGTGTTTGAACACGGGCCGCTGATGCTTTCGGGCTTTCAATTTACCGTCCGCGACGTTTTGAAAGGCCGTGTTTTCTTGCAGCCCTTGCCATTGACACTGTCAACGCGTGCTAGCGAAGTAGTGGCACTGTCGGTAGTAGTGTTTGGCCTCGACGAATCAATGGACGTGAGCTGCAGGCCACAGACCGCTCCAAGAGGCGGTCCTGCGAGCTCATCCATGCTCGACGACTCGGCCGTCCTTCATGGTCGTGGTTCTGCGTACCACATGTATCAGCAGCTCAGCGACTTTGCGACGTCCGTGCTGCCATTGTTCTTCGAACAAGCTTCTGCCAGATCAAGCGCCACCATGCCTCCGCTCTGGCGCCTCTTCCGATGGTTGCACGGATACTACCATCTGACCTCTGCTCGCTGCGGAGCATGCCTTACACATTTGCGGCTCGACGCCGGCGCAGGAACATTGCTGCCGCCGATCTGTCTGATGCCACCCGCCAGCTCCAGCGCCACTCCACACTGCTTCCATCCCCAGTGCGTGAGTTCAACATTTACACAGTCATTCTTGCATTGAACGAGATTGTCCTGAATTGTCTTAAATTAACAACATCCAAACGAAACCACAAATTCCAATGCGGAAAGCTGCACGAGGGTGCATAAGAAAATACAGCATGAGTTCACATCAACCCATAATCCTTGAGATTCTGTTGGAGAATCGTGTCTTTAACGGACATGAAGACAAAGCGAATGTTTTCCGTGTCGGTTGCGCAGGTAAAGTGCGGGTACAACGCTTTGCCGTCCATACGGTTGAGGTCGGCAAACTTGGTCAAGATGAATTCACGAGCATGGTTCCCGTCCTGATCAGCACCTGTGATTTTGAAACCACGCGATTGTGAGGTTGGCAGGACGCTGAGCAGAAGCAGTGGCAGAAAAACAAACAACAACAACAACAACAACAACAACAAAAAAAAAAAAAAGCACGCTCGTACCATCGTATTCTGGGAAGTAGTCTCGGAGGTTGGAATAGCGAATTTTCTCGTCAAAAATGTCAGTCTTGTTCAAGAACAAAATGATGGATGTTTTCGAAAACCATCGGTAGTTGACAATGTTGTCGAATAATCGCAGACTCTCCTTTAACCGATTCTGGAGGAAGAAATCAACAAGTGAGAGACCATTGGTGTCCTTCCGAAATGCAACACGAGGAAAATAAAAAAGCGAGCTCACCTGTGTCTCCTCTTCAAAGAGTTGCTGGTCGTATTCGGACAAGGAGACTAGAAAGATGATTGATGCTACGTTTTCAAAGCAATGAATCCATTTCCGTCGTTCCGATCTGCGCATGAGAGTTCATCATCGACACGGGGGGGGGGTTGCGAAGCGTGAATAACAAAAGCACCACATCAAGCCGTGAATCATTGGCCAAATCAGCGACATACCGTTGCCCTCCCACGTCAATGATGCGGAAGATGGATTTGCTAATCTCAAACTGGTTTTCGACAATGCCCGATGTCGGCACACGCACCCGCAGGACGTCTTGAATGGTCGGAACGTAATCCGCCTCGGCGATGCGGTCTATGCTGTCGAAATAGCTAAACAAAGAAATAATACAAAAGAATGAGAATCCGAGTGCTGCTACACAAGACATCAACACAAGACGAGTTCGAGGGCCACAAAAGACACAAAAAGACATACTATTTGGTCGAGTCGGTAAGTTGGAATTCTCGTGAGCGTCGAAAGCAGCGTTGCACGCCAATATCGGCCCAGAACGCCTTCAAAAAGGCTGCGTCTTCTCGGAACGACTTGTACTGTGCAGCATCGAGTAGAGCGATGCGCTTTGCAGAGTCCTACAAAAACCGGTCGCTTGAAATGAGCACCTCCCAACCGCACGAAAAATCGCATTGCGTTTGCTGAAAAAGTCAGGCTCAGTTCGTTACCTTCAGGTCTTCATTTTCAAAGGCAATGCGCAGATCGACCATGGCGCCAACCAGTGCTTGTGTTGATCGTAGAATGTTCTGGAACACCAAGTGTTTGTATTCCAGGCAATCCTTGGCGTTGAAACCTTCGCCATGAATGATTCGCATCTGCTTGACGAACGTGCTCTTCCCGGACTCTCCGGCGCCTACAAGGATGCAAAAAAATCAATGGTAAGCGTTTTTTACTTCCATGTCCGACTTTCATGTTTCGTTTGCTTTTATGGGCAATGTAGAAAAAGATCTGTAAATCCCAAAATCCAATACAAATCCCAATTCAAAAAAAAAAAAAAAAAAAAAAAAAAGGATTGCTTTTTGGTTTTTATGAAATTTTGCATCGATTTGAGCTTTTGGCGAGAACGACCGCGACGCAAATCTCGAAGGCAGACAAGACTACTTGTCATCCATGTGCGAGTGTCCTTGGTCTCGTCGCGCTTCGCAGAGAGCTCGCTTCGATTTTCCCATCATTCACATAGTCACACTTATGCATTGTTGTGGATTTGTCGCTCCTTTACACTATCAAACCGCAACCTGCGACGCCTCAACCGCGCCTGCTTCCGATGCAGGACTGTGCCCCCCCCCCCTCAGCATGCACAACCATTCAGTTCCAGCCAGCTTGCCGGCATTCGTGTGTGGAGAACCGCACAAAGAACGAGCGAGCTGCCTCTATTCGCATTTTCATTGATGCTCCGCTTCTTCCGGCAGCCAACCACCCCGCCTTCCGTCACGCACAAGTGACTAACTGTACGGCCGCTTTGCCGCTTCAGAATGCAAGGCGGTCGGTGAAGTGACTGACCGAGGAGCAGCAGCTTGATTTCGCGCTTGACAAGCTCGCGTTCCGTCCGCAACTGTTTCGCAATGTCGGCGTCTTGCTGCTGTGCCTCGCGCTCTTCAGCGCTCATACAACACGGCAGGGGCATTTTGGGCGTGACTAGCGTAGTAGTAATGATGGCAAGCAACAGCGGCGGGGGTCAATTCGGATCCTTAAAGAGAGAGAGAAGAAAGCCAAGAATTGAAAATCTGGACTGAATCTGCTTTGAAGTGGATCTACCCGAGTTTGGGTGAATACGCCGGGGTCCCAGAGTGTTGGCGCAGCGAGGTATGTGGGAGATAGTGCTTCAGTCAGTATTCTTGGGGGAGCGATGCGGAACGAATCAAGGGAGGACACAAACGACAGCTCGGATAAACGCAAAGCCGGGGTCCCAGAGTGTTGGCGCAGCGAGGTATGTGGGAGATAGTGCTTCAGTCAGTATTCTTGGGGGAGCGATGCGGAACGAATCAAGGGAGGACACAAACGACAGCTCGGATAAACGCAAAGAACGAGCACTGGCGCAAAAGCTAGGAGATTGTATTAACTGAACGCAACAGAACGAAAAAGAATCGAAGCACAAAACGGGAACAGCAATCAACATCGAAACGGGCCGGGCATTAAGAGGTTGGGCGAGAGAGAGAGAAAGAGAGAGAGAGAGAGAGAGGCGCGATTTCGCTGCGCCACGCTCTCCAGACAAGACGCAGTGACCCAAGGTGAAAAGTGGGAACAGCCAGCACCCGTCCGCCTCACCAAAGAGAACAATTGCTCACAAGAAGAAGGCGAGTGGAGGGCGGTGAGGCCAATAAGAGTTCTTTTGCGGCACGGAAAGGCCGGCGCTGGGAGCTGCTACATAGATGCCAGTGCTTGAGTCTGGGGTCCCTGTCGGGTTGGTGCAGAGAGTCGCTTCTACATTGCCGGAGCATGCATTGTTGGTGTTCTCGCCAGCCTGTTCCTGCTGCTCGTCCGTTTGGGGCGATTCTTCTGCTGCTGTGACTGGCAATGCTGTTCCGGAAGCAATCTCAATGCATCGGAGCAACTCTGCGAGCGGTGCAGTGCTAAAGACCGTCGCTGGGTAGATTCGCGTGTGCCACTTTGGATGTGACATGATTTTGCAGCAGCCAGTGTTGATCACTGGATACTTGAGCAAGAGCTCGTTTGCCAGCACGTCCGGGTAGCACGACGCGCCACGCTCGCCATAGACCTGCGTGATGCATTTCGTGTACGGTGAGTGTGTTGAGTTTGGGGGAAATGCGTCATGGCCGACCAATCGCGCGAGTAGCAGCGGATAGCGGCAGAAACAGCGCGCGTGGGAGAGCGAAAGCTCGGTCTTCCGCCTGCTCTCCGCTCACTGCTCCCCCGAGTGAGGGACTCTACTAGCCTTGCTCCTCTTCTCTTGTCTCGCGCGAGCTCGTCCGACCAGCGAGCCTCGCCAAAGGAGAGCAAACGAACGAGCCATCATCAACGTGGGCCCTCACTCTCTCTCTCTGTCCTTCCCCTCTCTCTCTCTCCGTCGCCCAACGCACTTTCCACGCCACTTCTGCACTTGACGAACAAAATGGTCCCACAGTCCAGCACCAAGCAGTGTGTGTGTGGCTGTCCCCCATTCTCACTCTTCTCCATTCCCCTCTTCTTGTTGTTGTTTTTTGTTTCTACCTCCGACAAAACGCGGCCTGCTTCCAATGCATCATCCCTCATAAGCATGCTTACCGGGTATCCCGAGCATGGATCCGTCATGTCTGCCCAGTGTCCACGCTCGCCCAGCAGCTCACAGACGCGCGATGCCCAGCTCATAAACTAAAATCCAAACAACAAAAAGCAAGCACAACAATCTGAGTCAATGCGAACAACGCAGCGTGCTTGCCGCTATTCCAAGCCAAAGTCCCCCCCCCACCCCATCCCACTCATCATCCCAACTCATCATCATGGATCAGATCAGAGCAGTCCCGCTGGCGTACAATCTCAAGCAGGGCGTCCTTCTCGGCTTCGACTGCAGGACCCATGCCGACAAGGTCGTTCGTCGAGCGCAGAATGACGGGCAGGATGAGCAGACGCTCGCGCTCGAGGGGCTGCGGGAAGACGCGCTGGACTTCGCTGAACATGTACGTGGGGCATGCGTGCACAGAGACCTCCATCGGAGGAGGACGTGGCAGCGCAGAGGCAGTCGTGGATGACGATGGGAGCTGCAGCACTGTCGGCGGAAGGAGCGGCATTTTGGGGAAAAGTGCGAAAGGAAGACTGACTTGACTGAGATTGGGATGCTCAGAAGCTCAGACTCTGTTTCGCTCATGACTTTGCAACAACTACACGAGCAACAAGTGAAACTGACATGGGATGGGCCCCCGAGTCAATCTGGGAACAAACAGCTCAAAAGGTGAAACCGAGATGCTCAAGTTGGTCCACCGACCCTACTGTACCTCGATTTCTGTCTTGTTTTTAAAATCCATGCCAATCTCATCTCAGTCTTTGTTCTTGTTCGTGTTATTTGCTATCGTTGTTTGCTGTTACATGTCTGATGTGACGATGCCAAATTCAGCGTCGCCTGCGAACGTGTCCCTCTCGACCCGATTCCACACATGGCTGAGCGCCGTGCCACTCGCCACGCGAGCAGTGCTGCTCGTGTGCACTGCTGTGTTTGTCTTGGCTGCGACCGGCGCTGTGCCCCAGATTGTCCAACACGGCGCTGCTGCTCCGTACCGCGACTTGACCCAGCGTACGTTCGCCAGTAAAACCCACTGAGCACTGGCACCTCGCTCGTTGCGTTGCGTTAATGCGCATTGGGTTTGAACCTCATTGCTTTGATTTTGTGGCTTGATTGAATTTCGCGGGCAGCTTGGCGGCTGTTCACACACATGCTCATCCACGAGCAACTCTGGCATATTGTGCTCAACATGATGACGTTCGTGCCTCTCGCAGCGGCAAGCGAGCGCGCACATGGATCCATTGCGTTAGTGCTGCTATTGCTAGAATTGTCGTTGCTGGTAAGTCATACGAGGTTGAGAAATTTGGTCTTGACGAAAGTGTTTTCCTCGATTTGGCTCACACTTCAACTACATGTATCTCTCGCTCCATTTTGAATATTCCAATATTCCAATAGGGTGAATTGGTCCATGTGGCGATCGCCGCGCTCTTGCTTGCAGCGGGATTCCCGGCGGCCTACTACACAACCTCCATTGGCATGTCTGGAGTGATCTTCTCGCTGCTGGTTATTAGCATTCATCGAACTGCCAACGCCAGTGCTGCCAACGAGCAGCGCAGCCTGTGTGCCATCTTTACCGTGCCGAGTTCCGTTTACCCATGGTGCGTCATTTGCTGCCAAACGCTGCATGGCTTTCCGGCGAGCAAAAACTCATCCATTTTGGAGGTTTCGGGGACTTTTACAGGGCATTGTTATTGGTCATTCAGGCCTTCATTCCGTCCGTGTCCTTCTTGGGGCATTTATCTGGCATTCTCGTTGGGTATCTTTGTACGCGACATGCCTCTAGCGATCGATTTTTCTGTTTTGGCCCCGATGGAGCACTGACTCTCTCTTTCAATGATGTCTTGTTCCAGTCTGCTTGGGTCTATTCGATTTGATTGTTACCCCACAGTCGATTGTTTCGAGACTTGAGGGATCTGTGCTGTCACAGCGAGGCGGCTTTGTTGCCAGCTCGTCGAGCATTGCCTCTGTGCCTCGCTCCTCTCCATCAAGCATCCTGCATGCATTCCGCAACGGGCTTTCCGAAACATGGGCTTCCTTCAGAGGCGGCCTTCAACACTTGTACGGCTGCCGTTTTGATTCGAGAGGAATTTCGTAAAGCTCACCGATCCTGAATTTGGGTACCTGTAGACGAAATCGCTTGTTCGGGAGCTCACCCCATGCCCACGGCCCTGCCTATTCCAATCTTCCAAGCAACGCTCCCGAGCCCGACGTGGAAGCCGGCGCGTCGGAAAGCGGCGACAAGCGTTTCCCCGGAACCGGACATCGTCTCGGCGGGTGAGAGCGTTCTTCCCAGCGCTCTTTTTTTTGTCATGCTGTGGTGTTTTTGTTTCCTCGTCTGTTGTTTTTCTTTGGCTCCTTTCCATTGTAAGCGTTTAGAGGTGTCGACTCCGATTTGGCTGCGATTTTCAAATTGCATGTTGGTTTATTCGCGCAGCAGGTGTGTCAGAGTCGACAAGAACGACAGCGACGACAAGAAAATATCGCATTCACTATCACTGATAATTACACAGGCCAGACGGGTGCGTGGGCCGGTTGCCACAGGCACGGCTAGCCTTGACGACAAAAGCTCACTCAACGAGTTTGCTGAGTGGCGCAGAAGCTCCCTGACCCAAGCCAATCAGACAATCCAAATGCTCAATCAAGCAGGCTTGCACGTTGATTTCTCGATCGTCGGTTGTCGGGTGGCGTGTCAGGGCATCTCGCACAAACCACCACAATGTTGAACGCTCCGAGAGCAGCTCGACGGTGTTCTGTCCAACGATGCGAGTAGCAATGTAGTAAGCAACAGCCTTTTCAGCTGCCGAAATATGGGGCAGGAAGATTGTCCAGTCCAGCGCATCGAGAAGCAGGCACGAAATAGAATCAAGCCCGTCACGCTCAATGAAATCGAGAGGGCCCTCAGACAGATTGCCGTTGAGAAACATTGCGACAGAATCTGACAGCGCCGGCAAGGTCAATGGTGCCGCTGAAGAAGCAGAGGCAGAGGCTGGCACCGAGGAAGCGCCAAGTTCCAAGTTTGCCATCGGCTCGACAAGCGTCGCGGGGTCACCGGCCGGTGCGACGTGCATCTCCATACAAGACGGCGATTGCTCAATGAGGCGCGATAGTGCGGTCTCAAACACAGCTCTCGGCATGTCACGGGCTGGACCAAGCAGCATGTGCTGGTTTTCATCAGCTTCAACCGGCAAATCGCTGTTGATGTGAAAGATGTTCGGGTCGATTGGAGGCTGAGGCTGGCCCGACAAGAGCTTGCATGCTGGGTCCGGTTTCTCGAGCTGCTTTGGATGCAGGCGCCAGCAAGAGACGCCGTGCACGGTCGAAACTTTCAGAGCAAACAAAACAACACAAATAAGTCTTTGACATGAGCAATAAACAAACAAGATCAGCAACGTGTAATCCTACTCACACATCACATTCTCTCCACTTTCATCAAGCAAGATGTCTTGCCGACGGGCGTTATCAGTTCGGTCTTCCTGCTCGGCTAGGAGGAAGAGGGTCGCGGGGTCTTGGCCGCTCCGAATCGCGCTCTTGGCAGCGGCCCGCGCGCTCTGGTAACTCTTGTCCGCGCAATGTTTCGCAACCTTGCCGAGATAGCTCACTTGAGTAACAAGACAGTGCGTTTTTGGGAGTTCGAGATGACTGGAAGAGATGTGAGCGTGAGAAAGAGGGCTGACGGAACTGGCCGGTTGTTGTTGCACTGAGGCGGTGTGTGCACCAGAAGCTCCACCGCCAGACACTGTGAATCCGGCAGTCACCACAGACATGGGCGCCACTTTGCAAAGTTAGAAATACGAGTGAGTTGACCATTCGATCCGAGCAATGTTTTCGCTTCAGTTTGTCGACATTGAGACTCGGACTTTTCGACCCCAGGTCCGGATAACATTTACACATTTCGCACTGGTTTCTGGGACCCTAGGAAGCAGATTTTTGGCCTTGTTTGCAGAGGGCTTTTGAAAAGCAGGCGAGTCGGCGTCGATCTCGAGCAAATCTCAGACGTTTGGCAATTCCCTTCTTCGCCTTCCCCTCTCCTGTGAAGCACACGAATCTTAATTTCGTGTCTTCATTCACCCAAACGTGATTTTGACTGCAACCCAAACCCTTGCTTTCTCAGTCTATTTTGCTTCGTTTCGTCTCGTCTCATCCAATGCCAGTTGAGAAGCTTCAAGCGGTCGCGCTCCTCGGTTTGTTTTTCCTCTCCTTCCACTCAACCCTCTCGCCACTTCACACTTCGCCCGCCTTGACTTGCACGCTTGTTGAACTTGAGCGTTGTCTCTTGTCTCGCTCTTCAGCCAACAAAATCACAGCCGCCCCGAAACTGCAACAACGAGACGAGATCTCAACTAAAACCCGAGTCACTTGATTTTCCAATCGTGATTCAACCAAAGTCAGATCACAGCTCATACTCACTTTTGTTTTGCTGGATTCATCGTTCACAGAGAAGGACACGAATGGCGATACGATGTGGACGTGGGTCTACCCGGCGCTCGACGCGACCTGGCGCGAGCTGCTCCAGCGCAAGAGCGGTTTGGAGGCGGCGTCCGCCACTGTCGAGCTGCCTGCGTTCGTCTATGGCCGATTCGCAGACACGTACTTTTACATTGTCAACCTGGTGACATCCCCAGGCGCGCCCGAAGGCGAGACGCCGTCACCCGCAGCCCCAGACAGCTCCGATTTGCCAGTCCTGCCCCGCGTATGATTTGCTTCAGTTTCACACTTTTCACGCACGCAAAAGTTGATCTTGCTTTCTCATCGTTGGAATGACTCTGGTTTTGTGATTTTGGTTTGGTTTTTGTGTGGGGGCCAAATGGCAACGTTCAATCACTCAGGTCACGGCCTTCTCTTTGGTGCTGCTCGCCAAGGTCGGGTTTTCTTTTGGTGTTTCGTTTTTCTTTGTGTGTGTGCATGATCACTGACTTGGATTTTGTGTGCGTGTGTGTGTGTGTGTTTTGTCTTTTTCAATGGCGTGCAGGAGTTCCACCCTGAAAAGTACGAGGCGATTGCCCGCCTTTGCGCTGCAGAGTACACTACTTCGAAGGGCAACACGGTCGCCGTTGTCCAAGCGTATCTCAACATCTTCACGCTTGGTCGCCATGGCGACTTTGCGGAGGAGCAGTACGACATTCGCAAGTCGTATCTCGGCGCCTCCTTGAAAAGTAATGACGTTGCGCGAGCTTTGCGAAAACGAATCTTGACAAAGGAGAATCGCTCGGCTCACACTCTCCTCTTCTCTTCCCGTTCTGTAGACGTCATTCAAACCTTTGGCCTCGAAACCATTCTGCTGTACGCTGCATTGCTTCTCAAGAAGAGGGTGGTCGTGTACGCCGACACTCTGGACACACTTTATGATTTTGTTCGGTAAGGACCTCGGCAACCCTTGGATTGCCTCAACCACCGACGCACATATCTGACTGATACGTCCCATTCGGAACGTGTATGTGCAGCCCGCTGCCGTTGCTGGTGTGGCACCGCCAAAACTGGGACTCGCTGCGTCCGTACGTGAGCGTCAACGATTCCGAGCTGGCTGATCTGGCAGCGTCTGGCAACTTTGTCGCCGGCTTTACCGACGAGAACATTGAAAATCACAGCGACCTCTATGATGTCTTTGTGAACGGTAAAAGATAAAAAGCAGGAGAGCAACCGTGAGATTCTGGAATTATCTTTGGAACCAACACTCACCTCTTTTCCGATTATTTTTTGTTTTTCGGTTTTGGACAGTTAATACCAAGTCCGTCAGTCTAGCACCGCATGCACAAGGTATGCGAAAATGCGGTCGTTTCAATCAATTGTCACAGCTTAATTTCATGTTCTCACAAATTTGGTTTTTCATTTCGATTGCAGAATCTCTGGCACTCGGCAAAGTCCACAAGGAGCTGGCAACCTTCCTCACCCAAGTTGCAGCAGACGAGGCCCGCAGCGAGTCTGCCGTTGTGAAGGTACAACACAACGCTGTGTTTTCGTTTTCCATCGCTCTCCACTGGGGTAGCCGTATGCCTCACCGATTGCCCTTTCGTCTTCATCTAGGCTATTGCTGTCCGCACAGGCGAGCTGCTCACGAAAATCCGCTCGCTCACGGACGAGTCGGGCCGTGTCACATACGATTCTCTCAAGGCACTCGAACTTCCTCCGTCCTCGATCAACTTTTTGTGGAATGTGGCCTTGTCGGAAGCCATTGCCCATCCTTGATTCCTTCATGCATGCCAACTGGTTGCTGTCCTATTGCCAGTGACTGGATTGAGTTGCTTGTTGATTGAGCTTTTGTTGATTGATGATGGCTTTTTTTGTTGTAATTTTTGTCTTGTTTTTGTTTCATACATTTGTGCATCCCCTCCATCATGCTTTGCTCCAAGAAAGGCCGTCGTCTGAATGGAGCCAACGTCAGTCAATCTCAGTCTTCTTCTCGACAAATGGAGTCGCTGCAGCATTCTGCGTGGGTGCCATTCACCCTGCCCGGTCGCTCGTACCTCGTCAAGGCCGCGTTCTCGTCCACCAACTATGTTATTCTCATCACGGATCTCGTGCACATGTGGTCCGAGTCCCACCCCGATATCGACCGCCGCAACACGGTAATTCCAAACTCTGAGATTCAAACTTGAAACAATCGCCTCCTCACTCTCATGGCCGTCGCTCACTGGGCCCACTCTGTCATCGCACTATGCCGGGCTGGTGGTTGTAGCAACTCAATCCAGGCATTCGTGCTGGAACCGTTTCGAGAATCATGTCGCTGCTGCGCGAGTCGCTCGAGCAGCAAGATCCAGCAATCCAGTACTCGGTCACGATGATCGAGTCGGCGGCAGCCAGGCGCCAGGGCCATGGCGCCGAAAGCTTGCTCATGCAAGGCCATGCTGATCCCACCTCGGATGGCGGCGCAGATGGAGGCGCTGCTGGCTTTGGAGACGCGGCATTGTATGTTCCAGCGAGTCTCAATGCAAGCCTACTCGCCGCTGGAGGACTGGATGATTACGACTCTGCTGCAGGCCATCGTCGATCGTTGGCATCGTCGAGCTCAACACCATCTGTTGTTCGACCGAGTGAAAAGTGCCGATTTTCCTTTGTCACCGTGTCTGACAAAAAGTTCCGGTTTCACTGGAACTTTGATTGTCGGCTCTGTCCCGACAGTGCAGCGCTACTGTACTTGCATGTGATACAACCGTCGCTGCTGCTTGTGCGAGAACTCACTCTTAAGAATGAGGCCTTGTCGGAGACGTTGCGGCTGAGCAACGAGGACGTGCGATCTCTGCGCAGCTCTCAGGCCCTTGCCCAAAGTATGCTCGAATGAACGTCGATGAGGAAGCGGAAGAGAACGAAGCAAAAAGCAGCGGGCGCGATTGTAGTTGCTGTTGACTGCTGGACACCGAGGTGTGTGGTCTCACAAAAAAATGGGCAACTCTTGTCCTTTTTTTTTTTTTTTTTTTTTTTTTTCCTACTTGATTGACTCGCCTAGGACCAAAACCGACAACCGAAGCACAACGGCAACTGTTCTTCAACCGACAGCACCTTGAACAACATTCAAACCCATCGGTAGGAAGGGTTGGTGTTTGTTGCAGCGGTTGCGGCCTGCATTGACCGAACTGACTTTGCGTTGCATCCCACTCTGCGCAGGATTTGGTCTTTGGATCTCAGTTGCGCACGGTAACTCCCGCCGCCGCGCTCGCTCATCCCACCACGACTCCGCTGTACCGTCAAATCATGGAGCTGCTCCACCCAGTGGCCTCAGCGGACCAGTCTACGTCGATGTCAACTTCGTCCAGCTCGACAGGACCAGCTGGCGCGGTTGCTGAAGCCGTGGTGCACGAGAGCAAGCTGCCAGAGGTGGTGGCTCAGCCGGACATTCCGTCGACATTCGCGGATGTAGACGATGACCTGCTGTCCGTGAGCCAGCAACCAGCAGTAGCCGATGTTGGCGCTCGTACAGCGTCTGCATCGACCATTCCACGACGAGCTCGCGAGGTAAGGGTTGAGAATGGTAGTTTTGAATGATACTTGAGCTTTTTGCGTCGATTCTCAACGTTTCAACCGCATTGGCCAGGCACCACCACAACAACAACAGGTGGTCGCACCACCGGTCGACGAGGTCGAAGAAGGCCTGGCAGAAATCACAAGAATGCGCGAGGAAAAGCTGCGCAAAAAGGAGGCCAAAGAGCGACAGGAAGTTGCCGTCAACCCTAGAGCAAAGCAGCGGCGGTTGTTTTGAGTTGCTCTTCGGGGCACCGCATCGCTTGGTTATATATCAGTTGAGTTGTAGCAAAAAAAAGTATGTTTTTTTTTCTTTTCTTTTCCTCAACAGACACATCGTTCACTCGAAAACGATAACAACAATAACAACGAGAAAGAAATGAGCTAAATTATTCCCATCCGCCGCGCCGAATTGAGGCCCGGTCGATCGAACTTCCACCACCACACTCGGCTCAGTTGACGAGCAACAAAAGCAACCACGCCATGCAGCCAGCGCGGGATTCTTTTTTAGCGCCGAGCACCAGGAGCCATACGGCCGCCACCGCCGCCACCTCGAGCGCCAATACCACGGCCACGGCCTCGCATGCCGCGCCCGCGACCACGGCCACGACCAAGCGCGATGGTTTCTCGCTTCTTGGTGGATTTCTTGGGGACTTCCTCAATGAGCAGCGAGTCCAGTGGCAATGAGTCTGGCAAAATGTAGTGTCGAATGTTGTTTCCTCGTATGCTGAGTGTCTCGAGCGAGACGGGGTCCTTGTTCTTGACCGTGAGTTTGACGTTTCGCAGCATTGTGTTCATCAAGTGATCGACGCCTGTGAGAACAGAGAACGGGGAATGAACGAAAGTGAGCTCAAAAGGGATTGGTTTTGAAGGGAAGCGGCAGCGAATCGCTCAAACCCGGAGCAACCGAACGCAAGCTCTGTGCAGCAGCATTGATGCAGTGTTGATGCAGTGTTGATGGAGCCGAGAGGGAGCCGAGAGGATGGTGAACGAGACGCATGGAAAACCGCCAAATCCATCCCGCTCTCTGCGAGCTGGTGAAGCGCACCACATTGCGCAGCTTGGCATCGGCATCAACATGATCGCTTTTAGCACCACGCATGCGATCGAGCAACGCAAAACTCATTCAGCTGAACCCCGGCCTGAACTCCAAACGGGACGACGCGACAACGATCGCTGCCACAGCGCAACCACGCTCCTCAGCAGCAACAGAGTTCCCCCCGTTCTGGCGAACACTCGACGTGCTACTCCTCGACGCTGTTTGCAAGACTCGACCTGAGCGACCATCCCCTCCCCTCTCAATGAGCCAACACCGACGCCAAAGCCGAGATCTGCTCAACTTTTTTTTTTTTTTTTTTTTTTTTGGGAGTTGATCTCGCTCGCTATCTCTCCAGCTGGATCAGTCCACACGGAAGCAGCAAGCGTCAATCAAGCAGATCAAGCAGCGTGCAAATACAAAGGTCGAAGCAGAGAGGGAGCAGCGCTGGATGGGGACCACGCACCAACGATCGTTCCTTGGACGACTGTTCCGTTCTTGAGCTCCACAATGACCGTCTCAGAGACGAGTCGCATCAGAAAGCGGACGAGCTTCATGGTCTGAAAAAAAAAGAAAGAAAAGAAAGAAAAATGAAGAGTAATCCTGCATTCAAGTTGTAGTGATATCTTGAGGTGATGCGAATGACAGAGCAGTACAGTAATGATCGAACATTTTTACTGACGCTTTGAACAGAATGTTTTTGCTCGAAACAAGATTGTTATTGTTGTTGTTGAACAAAAAAAAAAAGGCGCTCGGACATTGTGCGCCAACCCAAGGGCAGCATCAAACGCCACAAAACACCACAAGAGAAAGACCATACACAAAAAGAGAGCGAAGAGGAAAAAAAAACCAAAAAGGAATCAAAACAACAAGCAATGGCGCAGACTCAAAGCTCCACGCCCTGCTCGAGGGAACGGGATGTAATCTAGAAATGTTGAGCGACGTTTGTTTTATTCGTCAGCAGTGGCAGCCTCAGCCTCAGCCTCAGCGCCGTTGCTCGAGGCGCCAGCGGCCAGAAGGGAAGCAACCTGCTCCTTGAGCTTGGCGACCTCAGCCTTGAGCGAGGCAACGTCAGCCTGGAGCGACTCGACGGCAGCGTTGTTGGCACTGGACGACGCGGCAGCGGGTGCCGATCGGGCAACCGACGACGAGGACGACGACGAAGAAGAGGACGACGACGACGACGAAGCAGCCGGGGCAGGGGCAGACGAGCCAACCACCTTCTTGGGGGCGGACGAGACAAAGGTCTTGGCAGCGGGGGCCTGGAAACCGTCTCGGAGCGAGATGGTCTTGGGGTTGGCGTTCTGGCCAGCCCACCACTCGTCAGCGGTCAGGGACGCCTCGTAGGCGTACGTGTCGGGGAAGAGGTCGGCCTGGAAGGTCTCAGACTTGCGGGGCACAGTGAAGCTGATGGGCTCGCAGAGGCCAGAGGCGTGGAGCTTGTAGAAGCGGGCAACCTCGCACTGGGCAATGTTGCAGCCGCGCTTGGGCATGAAACCGTGGCCGCGCTGAGGGGTGTTGGACTTGTACTCGGAGAGGAAGTAGGCGTTGATCTTGGAAGGGCCCTCAGAGTCGTCAATCTCATAGTAGCGGATGTTGCCGTCACCCTTGCCAGCAAGGTACATGACGTTGATGTCGGGGTCCCAGTACGAGAGGAGGACACCCGACGAGGTGTCAATGTTCTCAATCTTGACGGGGTTGGAGAGGTCGCTGGCGTCCCAGAGGGCGTACTGGCGCTCGGAGGTCTTGGAGAAACCAGTGGTGAACAGCGCCTTCTTGTCAGCGAGGAAGGTGACGCGCGAGGCCTTGGAGCCGTCGTGGCCCTTGCCCTCCTGGACAATCTCGCCAGAGCGGGGGTCGAGGATGCGGATCTTCTTGTCCTTGCAGGTGGTGGCGAGGAGCGAGCCGTCGAGGTTGAACGACATCGTGTAGATCGTGTCCGTGTGGCCCTCGATGGCGCGGAGCTCCTGGCCGGTGGCAACGTTCCAGACCTTGATCAAAAAGTCAAACGCAGACGAGAGCAGAATGTTCTCGGCAGTGGGGTGCCAGAGCACCTGACCAATCTTGCGATCGTGAGCGGCAATCTCGAGGAGGGGCTCCGACAGGTCCTCAGTCAGGCCGCCTTCTGGGATCTCCCACAGGCGAATGCAGCAGTCATCGGCGCACGAAGCTGCGGGGGGTAAAACAGAAACAAACGGAAAAGAAGAAAGGAAAGAAGAAAGCATTAAAGCCGAAAAAAAACGAAAAAATAAAAATAATAAAAAATCAAACAGTTTCAAAGTGAGTTTCAATTGGCAAAAAAAAAAAAAAAATCAAACAAAATAAAATAGTCGGTTTGTTCGTTTTTTTTTTTTTGTTTTTTTTTTTTTGGACGAATCGCTCTCCAGTCATCACCGCATCGCTCGTCTCCCACTACAGCGATCGCCACACTAGAGATTGACAAGTGCACATCCCTATGGGGCTTGGGAGGCCCGAGCTGCCGCTGCTGCTTTGCCACACTGTGATTGTTTTGCCTTGTTTTTTTTCTTTTCTTTTTTTCCCTTTGTTTGCATTGTTGTTTTTGTTCCACAGTTTCGCTCAAGAAGGCAACTCTTTGAATAAAAAAATGTTTTTTTTGTTTTTCTGCTTTTTGTGTAGTTTCGATCGCAGCACATGCGCAAAGAACGCGCAGTGAAACGGCGATGAGAGGCAGATGGCAAGGTGTGTGATGCAGAGATGGAGGACGTTGCTGCCCGCGAGCTGCAGGAGCGGCGGGAAGCGCCAGATCCGGCTGCAGAGAACGTGCCGCTTCAAACGCACTTGAGTCGCCTCACGAAAATAAAAAAAATAATAATAAAAATAAAAAATAAAAAAAAACGGCGATCCGACAATTGATCAAAAAAACAACCAGAACTCAAGTCGACTTTCTGCAGACACACGGTTGGGCCGCAAGAAGGACAAGGAGCGAGGTCGCAGAGTAGAGAAGAATGGAAAGAACGGATTTGCACAGCGAACGGCAGAGATGGCCGATCAGAAGGGGCAGCAGTAGCAGAAAACAAAACAACAAACAAAACCTCAAAACCGCGAAAATTAAAAAATAAAAAAAAAATAAAAAAAATAAAAAAAAAGGGGAGATCTTGATCAGATCTTGATCAGAGCGAGGCAAACGACAAAGAGGGACGACGACGTAGAGGAGGGGAAGAGAGGTTACGCACCGATGACGTTGTCGTTGAAGGGGTTCCAGGCAATGTCCTGGACGGCACCGCGGTGGCCAGTGACCTTGCCCTTGTCCGCGGCAACCTTGCCGGTCTGATTGAGGGCGATGACCTGGAAGGCACCACCGCCAGCAGCCTCAAGCACGATGGCGACAAACTTGGGGTTGACGACGCAAAAGTCGCGATCCCATGCGTTGCGAGTGACGCGGATGCCGTCGTAGCAGCTATCGCGCTTGTTGGGCGCGCCAAAGACGTGGCGGAACTTGGATGAGCGAACAACTCGAGACATGACTTTTGTTTCCTTTTCTTTCAAAATGGACTGAACTAACTGAACTGCACACTTGCCTATTCGGAAATAGCAAGTCATGATTCTGAAGAGTGAAAAAAAAATGTGTGATGTGCTGTGTGATTGTTTGTTTTGTTGTTGCTTGGAAATTGACATTCAAAGAACGGGGAGAAGAAAAGCCGGGAAGCGAGTAAAATCTTGATTTGCACACACACACAACACCGTGTGCATCACAGGGGTCGCCCTTCGCGCGAATAGATTCAGCTCCCAAATAAACAGTGCTACCTATTCTATCGTGTGTCTTCATCACCTGCAGCTACCCTGGCTGGAGTTCACTCTTTTTCGATTCATTCTGCAATTCTACAATGGTTTGTCCCAAACGAGCTTCGTTGGACCCACCGCTGGGCTCGGTTCCAACAAAAGCCTCACCGTTGTTCCTGCCAACTCTTTGACCACCACGTTTGATAGAAATTCCGCTTCTGTGGTGATCTGGACTGCCCCGACTGGGTTCTCGCCGAGATTTCGCTGCTCTCAAAGATGGTAACGCTAGGCCGCCGCCGCTCTCTTCCTCCAGCCGTTCTCCATCGCGCTCCAGCCGTTCTCCGCGCTTCCGTCTAGAATCGCTTGTTGTGGCGAGTCAGTAGGACGGACACGGGGGTGGGGTGGATGCGGTTCTGAGCCGACAAACCAGAGATCTTTCCATTGTCACTTGACTCGTTTCCCATTCATCATCATCACTCCGCTCCACTCTCCCCCAAACGCACTCATGATCTCACAATCACCTTGGATGTCGTTGCGTGGTTCAGACTTCCGTCAAGATGAAGCTTCTGGTCGTCCAAGTCATCGACAGCATCATTGGTGGAAACATTGATGTGAGTTTCGCTTCATCGTGCGTCAATCTTGATTGTTTGTCCCCCCCCCCACCATGTCCTGACGTCTCGTTTTCAATCGTGGCAGTACAACAAAGTGTTCAAGCTGACTTCTGATGCGAAATACGGTTGGTTTGCGAGTCGAGAATGTGGCGGAATTGCAATTCGTTCCAAATTCTGACTATGCTCTCGCGTTCAACCGTCATCACACAGAGCTCTCGGATGTCAAGGCCTCGATTGCTGCCATTTCCTTCATTATCAGCTCGTCCAGCAAGTATGCTGTCGATGGCGAGTCTCTGTCGAACGAGTTGCAGCAGCTCGGTTTGCCGAAAGGTAAAGGGGAAACTCTACGACGACTCCTTCTCCTACTAGAAACCTCCCGCACTCACCATTCCACTCTATGGACTCCAGAACACGCCGGTGCATTGTGCCGTGCCTACGCCGACAGTCTGGACAAGCTGCAGACTCTCTTCAAGGCCCAATCGTTGCGCCGTGAGTTTTTCGACTTTGCTTGTCTGTCTGTTGTGTTGTTTCATTCTGCTTACTCCTTTTTGTCATCTCGACGCCAGTCCCTACGCTGAAGGACTCGCAATGGCGCGTGGACTACCTCCTGAGCTCGAGCGAACTTGAAGTACGACAACAATTGTCAAACATTCAGCGCTCTTGGCTTGGTTGCTCACTTTTTATCAACCTCGACCCACAGACCATTGCCGAACCCTCGGTCACGCTGAACCTGACGTTGGAGACTGCCGTCCCGAAGCAAACCAAGAAGAAGCCGGCCGAGCTCAACGCTGACGGCGAGGCGGTGGCTTCGCAAGAAGCAGAGCAAGCACAGACTGTGACGAGCAACGTGGCATTTGAGATCTCTTCGGACAAGTTCCGTTTGCTATTTAGCGGTAAGGAGTTTGTTGATTGCTGCCCAGTCGATGATGGAAAAACAACCCCAGGCTCAAGGTCTCACGGCAAATTGGATCAAAACACAGAGCTGAAGCACGCACACGATGTCTTGAGCGCAGTGTAGGAGGCCATTTCTTTGTTAATCTGTTGTATTGTTGTAGTTCTTGGTGTTTGTGCTTATTTCCCAGTGCTTTGTTTGCTTCAAAAAAAAAAAGTTGCAACTCGAAAATGTCAAAATAGCGTTATCTTTTGTCAACAACTTATTGTCTTCCGCGAAGGAACTAGTCCTTGTGGAATATCACAACCAAGCCCAAAACACCTAGTAGTACAAATTTCAATTGCGGGTATGCGTTCATGATGATGGTCAGCATCCCGACGTAAGGAATAAATCTGCAGATTCGGGAGCAACAACACCACGATGCTGTGAGTCTGGCGTACTCTGTCAAGTCCCTCTCCCTTCAAACCCTTCTGTCTGCCTTACCCTCGAGCGCGGCCCACAACGTCCTCTTGCTTCAGCCATAGCTGGCCTTGTGCGTACAGACCCCGATCGTCGATCGTGTTATTGTCGCCCTTGGTCAGGAATTTCACTGTGCCGTCCAGACTGCGAAACAACGAAAACAAGAAGGCGCAGGGGTTGACGTGTGAGTGTAAAATCACACAATCTGGAACGAAAGCAAAAAACAACAACTGCTCCGTGCGGATGTGACTGCACGAGTTTACCTCTCGTGGACCTTGAGCACACGGTGCACTATCGGAATATCGCGCCCTGAGATTTTGAAGACGACAATCTCGCCAACGCGGATGGGATCGGTTGCGTCGTTGGTGAGGAAGAGCAGATCGCCTCGCTGGAGGCCTGGCAGCATACTCCCACTGAACAGACCATCGTCGTCGTCGTCGTCGCAATTGCACAAACAAAACAAGTGAGATCAATACACGACACAAAACGACGATGAGCACGACACAAAACGACGATGAGCGTGCTCGTCGTAGTATGAGTTCAAACCTGAGGACGACAACGATCGGTGACTCGCTGCCAGTGTAGACCATCAGTCCCTTCCAGATCATGAGCGCCGACGCGACGATCATTGCAAAGTTGAGGAATTGGAGCACCGTCTGTTATCAACAGTCAGCAGTCAGCAGTCAGCAGTCAGCAGTCAGCGCCAAGCCACGTCAGAGTGCAGTGCTGTGCTGGTCGATTGGAGATCTCCATCCCTCAACCGCCCCGCCCCCCGCCAACTCCACCCTCACTCAACCAGCCAATGGACACCCCCAACAGGTCGGACATCTAGTAGTTTGCCGAGCTCGGCTTGGGCTTACGTCGCGCTTGTTTGGCCCGAGTGAGAAGGCGTCGAGCAAACCCATATCTGTGCTTGTCGGTCTGAGCCTGTGTGAAACAAAAGTGCGACTGAGAAACACACACAAAAAAGCAACTTAACGAAAAGCGCATGGTTGCAACAATAATGGATGTGATGTGGATGTGGAGCAGCAGACTGAACGCTAAGCATTGAAACACCAGAAGCGGATTCACAATGCCAAAGCCCTCACGATCGTGATCGTGCTGTTGTAGTGCTGCAGTGTTGGAGTGCACTCAAACACTGTTCGACTTGTAGTTGATTGCAGTTACGCTCCACCTCAGTTCGCTCGGCGGTTGGCATCGAAAATACCTCAGAACGCTCAGAACGCTCAGACTCAACCAAAACCAAGCCAAACCAAACCAAAGCAACTGAGCTTTGGGTGTGAATCAAAGCAAACACAAGACTCACTGCTGTTGCAAGCATAACCCAACCTGCTCAGAACCTGATTTTCCCGCCAAAAACCCAAAACGGCTCAGGTTCAGTCTTTTTCCCCTTTTTCCCCGTCTGCCAAATGGCCACGCCGCCCGGGCAGCGACCTCAGCTGCAGCAACAACAGCAACAACAGCAGCAACAGCAGTCGCCACCGCGGCCGTCGATCTTCCGCGACCTGCGCGATCGTGAGCAGTCACCCAACGCCCCTGCCCGCCAGCCACCGAGCTTCCATGGCTCAGTGCCCATGACGGCGGGCTTCTCCGGGCCACCCGCGTCCGCATCGTCAGCGACATTGGCATCATCGCTGGCGTCCATGACTCCAGGTGGCTACTCGAGCTACAACCAAAGCGCAGCAGCAGCAGCAGCAGCAGCAGCCAACCATGCAGCCGCAATGGCAGCCATCACAGCCGCAGCCGCTGCAGCCGTCGGGCAGCTCTTCTCGTCACCACTCGCACAGGCCCAGACTCAGCAGCAGCTGCAAGGCCCAGGGCGGTGCCTGGAACAGCGCGCAGCCGCCACCTGGCCGGGCGGCGTCCTCGTTCCCGTCCTCTGCCGGTGGGATGACCACCACTACTACTACGACTACTACTACTACAACAACAAGCCTACCATCATCTGCTCCTCCAGGTCAAGCGCAGTCCATGATGGCTGGTGGGTTTGCCGCGTCGTACTCGAGCGATCGCCAAGCGACCATTCCCCCGTTCCTGGGCGCTCCGAATGCTGCTGCTGGTGCTGCTGGGGCTGCTGGTGCTGCTGGTGCTGTGCCAATGTCGGCTGCTCAAGTCCAGATGCAACCGCAGCAGCAGATGCAGCTCCAAGCCAGCCGCGGCGCTCATCCGTCCACACCGGCTGCCCCAACTGCTGCTGCTGCTGCTGCAGGTGCGAGTGCTGGAGAGCGCAAGCTCCCAGGCAAGGACGTGATTCTCGGCCAAATCACAAAGCTCGAGAGCGACATTGGCGAGCTCGAGCAGCAAATTGCATCCCTGCGAGAGACGGACGACAAGGTACTCGAAACTCGTCTTGCGATTCTGTTTTGAAAGTTGTCTCGGCTCGATCCTGACTGTTGGTGTGCTTGGATTTGTTCTTGGATTTGTTCTTGGTGGTATTTGTTGTTGGATCAGAGCGCTCAGAGCGAAGAGGTGGCTCGAGAGCGCCTTGCACTGGAAGCCGCATCGGAGGCAGAACGCGCTCTGCCCGCCAAAGTCCAGTCAATCCAGGACGACGACACGCTCACAATCGTTGAAAAGATCTACAAGTCCAACCGCACCATTGCCTCTGGATCGCAAGTGTTGCCAGTCCCTGCCTACATGCAACCGTCGGATTTGCCGTCCTATCGCGGCGTGATTGAAAACCACCATCGGGTGCGTCCACGACTGATGGGCGCGCTGCACATGCGTCGACAGGCCACCGAGCGCAAAGTCACCGAACTCCGAACCGAGTACGATACGCTTCTGGCCCAATGGCAGGAGCGTCTTCGCGTCGAGGATTCCAATCCAAAGAAAATGTGAGTCCTGCTACCTACCTTTCCGACTTGCGAACGCGTTGTGTTTCTGTTTGGTTGTTTGTTGTTAAAGTTGTTGTGGAAATCTCACGACTCGTTGCAACTCGTTCTGCGGGGGGCCGCGCAATGCACACCACCAATGCAACAGAAGTCGAGATGCCAAATTCCGAGAATTTTACGAGTCCCAGTTCCCAGAAATGTTCCAGCGAGAAAAGCGGTCTGGACGCCAGACAGATGCAGCTCGTAGCGATGCCGAGTTTGACCGCATCATGCTCAATCTTCTTGCTGAGACCGCTGTATGTTTCGGATGAACGTGATTGTTTGCCAATGGTGATTCATGCGCTCATTCCTTTTTTGTTTGTGTGTGTGTGTGGGGGGGGGGTTCGTTTTGTCGTTGCGATGCACACCTGCAAAACTCTCATCTATTAGGGCGACGATCGTCACGTCAAAACACTGGCAGTCGTCACCAACATGATCCTGGATCCGTACGAAAAGCAACGGCTGCGCTACGACAACCGCAATGGCCGCATTCTTGACAGCGTCTCCCTTGAGAAGGAGCGCAAGTTTGTGTGCGTTTGGTCCGATGAAGAAAAGGCAATTTTCAAGCAAAAGTGAGTTTGACCAATCCGAAACGCGTTGCACGCGCAATTCAGTGATGTTGTTGTTGTTGTTTTTGTAGCAGGAGTAGTAGTAGCTGCTAATTCTGAGCCTCAATGATTGTTTTAGGTTTTTGTTGCACCCCCAAAA